TTAAATGTCAGATACAGGTGTTAGTAAGTAAATTTGCCCATATTTAAATTATATTTTCTGATAAGATTGGTAACTTGCATGTCAACATAATTAACTTGCTTGTTGACATAATTATGTTGCATGTCTACATAATTATGTTACATATTAACATAATTTATCTTGCATGTAGGGGGCAGAAATAGGCCACCATAATTTTAGATGCAATCTGCAAGATAATTATGTAGACATGCGACTTTTTTATGTCAACATGCAAGATAATTATGTCAACATATTTATGTCAACATGCAAGATAATTATGTCAACATGCGACTTATTTATGTTAACATGCAAGATAATTATGTCAACATGCAAGCTATGTAAGTTGATATGCAAGTTATTATCTTGAATGTTGACATAAATAAGTTGCATGTGAACACAAATATTCTGCATATCTACATAATGTCTCGCATTATGTATCTCGCATGTTAACATAAGTATCTTGCATGTTGACTTAAATAAGTTACATGTCAACATAATTATCTCGCATGTTGACATAAATATCTTGCATGTGTACATAATTACCTCGCATGTTGACATAAATATCTTGCATGTCAAAATAATTTTCTCGCATGTTGACATAAATGAGTCGCATGTTGACATAATTATCTTGCATGTAAACATAAATAAGTCGCATGTTGACATAATTATCTTACATGTTGACATAAATAAGTCGCATGTTGGTATCATTATCTTGCATGTTGCCATAAATAAGTTGCATGTTGACATAAATAATCGCATGTCTACATAATTATGTTGTATCTTGCATCTAAAATGTCAGGTACTGGCGTTAATTTGTAAATTTGCCCATATTTAATTTATATTTTCTTATAAAATTGGTAACTTGCATGTCAACATAACTATCTTGCATGTTGACATGATTATCTAGCATGTTGACATAATTATGTTGCATATTAACATAATTCATCTTGCATGTAGGGGGCAGAAATAGCAACCATAAGTAAGAAAATTTACCCAAATTTAAATGATATTTTCTTATCAGATTGGTAACTTGCATGTCAACATAATTAAGTTGCATGTTGACATGATTATCTAGCATGTTGACATAATTATGTTGCATATTAACATAATTTATCTTGCATGTACGGGGCAGAAATATGCCATTATAAGTTATAAATATAGTAAAAAATCATGTTTTTCAAGGACGGCGTGACTGTAAGTTGTCAATATCGGGCTGCAGGATCGGACGATTTCCTTGTAGTTGTGGTAGAATGTGCAAACGGGGAAATGAGATACTAGTATGCTGTTTTTTTTCATTGCTTCGATGGAATAATTCTTTATTGATAACAGGCGCATAGAAGTTATAATTAAAAGTTAAAAGTCGCTGATAGTTAATCTCAATGGTTGTAATTAGGTTTCAGTTTGTCTTAAAGTTTCATTTATCATTAGATACCGGTATTCATTAAATTATGATTTTATACGAAGTTGTTAAAACTGGTCCTCAAAAGGGTGTGCGTGAGCACAGGGGGTGGTAACATACTATACTTCAGTATTTGATTTTACGTAATCACCATATATAAAAAAAAGAAATATATATTTTGATTTTTTTTTTTTTTTTTGGATTTGTATTTTAGAAAGCAAATAATCATATGAAAATGTTTTTTATCGTGCGCAATTCTCTTTGTTATTTCCATAAATTTATTTATTTGAAAAACAATAGGTGTCGGGTGGGAAGGGTGGGGATGGGATGGGACACTTTAAGAAGGGCGGTAGGGGCTGTAGGGTGTGTTATGGAATAAAATTTCATTAATCCAAAAGAAATATTTTATTTCCAAGGTCGATTCTGTTTGTCGTTTGGCCAAGAGAAAGACCGGTGGATTTTATATACAAAAAATTGCTTATTCAACAAACAAAGGCCTTCAAGAAGCATTTGCATTGGCATCAGTGTGATCAATTTTCACATACGTTATAAAATATCAATCATTGTTACAATTTAGTTACATATAGAAAACGTACAATTCGACATTATGACATATACGTGTATATGAAATAGTCAAAGATAGCGAAGCCTAACAATTGGTATGAAAATCGTCAGTCAAGGATAAAAAAGGTTTGCCAACGAAGTATTTATAATTAACATATAATTTACACAGATTGTTGAAATTCCTGTAACATCAACTTTTTTGTCAGAAGCATGTTTCGGTCGTATTTGGAGATTGCTCGTGAGTATCAGATAAACACCATCAGCAGGTGACAGTATGTTTAGAATAAAAATAAGGAAACTTGACAATTGTCTGACAAAGGCTAAAGTCAATGAAAAAGATGTGACAGGCTCTGTGGTGTCTCTTATTGTGAGTTCGTTCATTTGAGATATGGCATATCGACATATAAATATATCTGAATGTCGAGTTTGAAGTTGATTTCTTCGTGAAATACATAGATAAACGGAAATAAATCAAGCTCAGAAGTCCGCTGGAACCACAGGCCTTCAGATCGCTTTCATAATTGACCGACATGTATAAAAAATATATATATTTAATGTTTTTTTATGTAAAGCGATCTGAAGACCTGTGATTGAAACAATAAGAAGTGGGATCTCAATATTCCTTCTTTTTTTAAAAAATAAATTCTGCTTCAAAGGAATATAAAACAGGCTGGCTTTTGGAGCACAATAGCTTTTTGAGAGGGGGAGGGCATTTGTTTTATTCTATTTTTATCAAGAGATTGAGATCAGTATGAACTGAAATCATAATCTTTTCTTGTTTGCGTGAGTCAGTCGTTTATGCGTAACAATGTCACTTTGAAACACTGAGGTCATTTGAGTACAGAAAAACAAAGATCCAAATGGTAATTTTATATCTATCTATTTTAAATTCTTATTTCATCCCGTACTGAGGTAATGACTATATGTAGAGGTAGTGAAAATTTTGAAAATGTAGCGATAATGATACGCACCCCTGGGGATATGAAGCGTATCTCTCTCTCCTTCTCTATATATATATCCACGAGAGTGGTTTTCTTATATGGCTTAATTTTGATAAAATTCACAAAAAGCATTCAATATAGATTAATGTGGTTTTTCAAAGCAAGCTCAGGGATCTAACCATTGTCAGCAACGCACATGGATTCTCTCCATCATCATTTGCTCAAAACGGTTTTTGCACTGGCGCATATCCAGGAATTGTTACTTACTGGGCGCAAAAAGTAGGCATGGGATTTTGGGGCCTCCTTCAGGCTCCCAGTGGGTCCAGGGCAAAGGCCTGGTGGGAGCCCAGGGGGCAAAGCCCTTGGAAGCTCCTGGATTCGAGATTATGGAGAGTAAAATGAGATCTAATGAGTAGACATATTTACATTTTCTCAATGAAACTATGTCTTATGCTTACTTTGACCATTTTAGGGGGAGGGGCGCAGGGTGCACCCCCCCCTTAAATCCGTCACTGCATCCTCTACAGTCTTGGTTTGCAATGATGCAAGTCATTGCAAGTACAATGAACAGATTTCTATTACTAAAATCTCAGTTAATTTGACACTTAAGATTACTCAAAAGCCAATGTGGTAATTAATCACCCTTAAAAAAAGGATGTGGACTACCGTATAAATCTCAAGGACATGTGTTTACTGTTTTATTAACACTAAGTATGTTTTATTTAAAACCATTTAGACATCTTGACAAAATACCCCCCCCCCTAAACTTAACAGGAAATTCATTTGAGAACTTTGGCAACTTATCAAAGTATCCAGAGAAACAATGTCATATTTAGGTGGTGTTCTCAAGTTCAAGTTTAAAAATAAAGCTCTTGTAAAATTGCACTAAAATGCTGGAAATGTTATTGTATATTCTGCATGATGCATCTAATCTGTAAATACTGATAATGACTACAGCTGGTATAACTGTATTAAATCAGACCAGCCCCCTCAAACAAATGATAAATAATATACAATTTCTGGATCATTTAGACAGAATAATGTTTGGAAAAATGGATTCACTGAAGGTGCAGTGTGCAGATTAATGGTGTCCAGATTAACATGACTCCACTGTAAATATGTAAAACACACTTTCTTACAGGAGCTCAAGTCTCTCACACATACACCGTAAAAATCAAACAAGAATTGACATCAAAGTATGACATTTATTATTGTAATTATAAAACAAATCACATTTTTTTTCAATAACAGTAACATAGATACTATGTTCAACAAAAGACCACATTTTTATATTTACATGTACTCGCATACAAAAGAAATTATACCTTTAATTCAATTCTTCAAAAACAATATTTTTTCTTACTTTTCTTTTTTTTTTTAGATACTTTGGTATGCAGGAAAAGCAACAACCTTATTTTACTTTTTTTATCAATGAAAAAAACTTTGTTCAAAATACAAGGCTGTTTTTGACACCGTTTAATAATTTTGATTGTGATGAAATTTACATGATCAATGAACCATGATTTTGATCACTTAAAAAAAGCTTTGTGGAATGGAAAAACAGAAAAGTTTGTAAAACACCGACAATTTATTTCTATAGCAATAACAAATATTTTGTATCCCATCTTATTTTATAGATCGCCCTCTTCCTTTAATGGTCAACCCATTGATAATTTCTTCAGTAATAATCAGTTTTTTAATCTAAATAACTGATTTAAAATGTTTCAAATAAAACAGTAAAAAATTAAGAGATTCAAAGAAAACATAAATGCAATGAAGTGATAAAAGCAATAAAATTTGACTGACCCTGTGTATTAATTAGGTAACTAAACTAGATGAAAGCATAAAGCTAACAAATAAGCGCAATTACACATAAGTTTAAAAAAATCATATTGCAGGTCTACAGTAATAAATGAACAGGGAAAATTAAAATAATATTGCAAGAAAAAGCATTAACAAAGGAGAAGCAAAGTTGCACTAAAGTTATGAGTTTGAAAAAAGATGGTGGGGAGATGTTTTTTTTTTTCTCTATACATACTTTGGAATTAAAATAAAAATTCAGAATTTTTATATACATGTACACTGTTAGAAATGAAAAAAATGAAGATTTATACAAATTTATAGTAACAAGGTAATGTTGAAAGAATGCTGAAGTTTTAAAAATGATGCCCCTAAAACATATCTGTGAGCAAAACATTAACACATATGAGCAATTTTTTTTAAAGCATTAATGATCTTTTACATTTTTAATGTAAGGCTAATGGACAAATAATTTTGATTTTCTGTTTATAGCATCTTTTTCCTATTTCAATTTAGTTGCTATAAATAAACCATTGAGTAAAACTTAAATAAAATCTGAGTCCATTAGTTAATAAATTTAGAGAATGATCACATTTATCTATAATGCAAACAAGTTACTACAGTAATCTTTCATGCTTCAAAAATAACAACTTTAAAACTGCCATTTTCATAAAATTCAAAATGTTATAGATTGATGTCTTGCATATAATTATCTCCTTTTTTGGCTCTGTAGGTCACCAATTTTTTGTGATAATAATACAGTTTCATAAGTGAGACAAATTTTTCACAAAATCTGTTTACTGCTAAGAAAAATATAGGTTGGAATGAAATTTTTGTGAGTAGACTATCTGGCATAGTTAAGTAAAAATAAGTTTCTCACAGATAAAATGTCATTTACAATATTAAAATCAAAAAAATCATCTGTGGTATATTTTTATACAAATATTCATTACTTTCATAAAAAATCTCTTCAAAACAACCTTTAAAAGTACCTTTCAACATTGTTTTATTCTAATATGACTTTGATCACTTCTAAATATTAGAAGAGAGAGAGAGAGAGAGAGTTTGAAGTTGTAAAAAAACAAGATACCCTGAAAAAATAAATCAATTTATTTCAATCCTTGCTTAGACATAAAGGGTCAGTTTGTACAAGGAGATTTATAGTACATTTCACTCTCAAAACATGTGAAAATGTCAAAAACATCTTGGGCATACATAGATATGATACATAGATCTGCTTTCATCACTCCTTTTTCTTAAAACCCCAAAGCAAGTGTATCTACTATTGATAAGGAAATACAAAAATGTTCATTTTTTTAAGTATTTTTATCAATGGATATCATGTATATCTACTCAAAATCTCTCCAATCATCGTTTGCGTGTGTATTGGGGGGGGATGCATATTTGCACATGCAATATGAAAAAAGAAAATGGAAATAAAATTGTGAAGTATCAATATGAACTTTTGATCATAATATTATTAATATATCTATCACTTAACATATACAGACACAACATAGGAAGATTCTTAACATAAAAACTGAGACAACAATGTTGTCATACACACAGGGAACAACTTGAAGCTAAAACAGCTAGGAGACAAAAACAAGAACTTATTAAATAACAAACAACTTCAATTTAAAAAAAACAGTATCTATAACAGCATATATAATCTCATCTATAACTGTACACAGTGTTAAAAACACAGAGAGAAAAAAAATATTGACTAAAATTCATGATCTGTACGTAAACAGAGCGAGGGCCTGCCCCTTTTTCTTTAACATGACAGATTTCATCTGCTATTGGTTATTTCTCTTCAAATTTATCTCCTTTTGGCACTTTTCTGGATTATTCCTTACACTAACCATTACAATTCAAACATTTCACAAACTCTGAACTTGGAGCACATAGCATCTATTTCACAAAGATGCTTTAATTCAGGAGTCTACAGTGTCTTTCCCAAACAATGCCATAAAATATCACCAAATTTGCCATTTAAAAAACGTTTTTGTTAAACAAAATTATGTACAAAACAAAATATTATCTAATATACGAATAATTTGCACTTTGATAATACAGAATAAGGAACAAAGATTTGATCAAAAACTATTTACACTATGAGTCTCTAACATTAAAATAGCACTTTTACTCCATATTACCCTCAGAGTGGGGAGGTACCGACATTGAATTCACTTCCCCTGAATCACGCATGTCTCCCCCACTAGATGGCTCTGGATTTGGAGTCGTTTCTGATGACCTCTGACCTGCGTCTCCACCAGCTCCAGCCTTTTCTGCTGCTGCTGACTGGGCCATCATTTTCTGACGAACTTCCCTAATCTTCAACTGCAAACAAACCTTGCTGGGGAAAACAGAGGCATGCTCTGCCTGAAAATTGGCTGTATCTTGGGCTAAAAGGGAAAAAAATATACTCATCTACAAGTTATACTAAATTTAACACATCAAAATTCATATAAGTATGTAATACTGCTCTATGTTGTGAAATAAATAAAATAAATTACCAGAGGGAAATAATCCAAATTGTTCAAAGAGCTGCATCACAAGTTGTCTTCTCTGATCAAGGATTCGTCGCAAAGAAGAAAACTGTCCTGCTGGGGAGTTAGGAGTCCTGGGGGAACAAGCAATACTACCCTCCCCAAAATCCTCTGTAATAGAAAAAAATATTTTTAAAAAGACTATTTTTCTCCTTTTATTTATTTTAGTATTATGACATTACATGTACATGTATATTTTATGTATAAGAAAGCCAATATGTTTAGTTGAAAGCAGAATCTCTTCTATTAGAAGCTCCTTATCCCCTTTCTATGAAAAATATACATATCTTCATTTATTATCAACATAATTTAAAAACATACTTGAATAACCATTGTCACACAGAATACAGAGTAGTTTCTATGTGTTAATTTTTTCTTATACCTGCACTTTTTGATAGTGCCATTTGTTCAATATCAAAGTTTTTTCCAAAGAACATGTTGTCTTCAAAACGAGCACTATGGGGGGTATGAGGGGTGTTGGCTTCCGATTCGCTGGACATTTTCTTGTAACTTGGGCTAGGAGAAATTCCCTCCATTTCTGTTTCCCTGGGAGTTAGCTCCCCTGTGGCTGTAATAAAAAGATGATGAAATTTTTATTTCACAGCACAGAATGATGACGTTAAACAGGTTATTGTAGAAGCAGTATTTGGGTACTGACCTAGAAACTGGATACATTTTATGCTCCATCGTAAAAATATTACCAGGTAATTTGGGTGTGTGCTTAAAGTTACATTTTCTTTAAGCATAAAGAATATATTTTCTAAAATTCTAAAATGACAGTGCTTGGAAGATTAAAAGTTGATTTTTGTATTTTGTATTAAATTAGAAATAAAGATACATTCTACACACACTCAGGCACTTCGCATATAAGCTTTATAAAAAAAATCTTTCTTTTATAATATGATGATTTAGGGTGATTTAAAACAAATAATACTTGCTAGGAAATCCATTAATGGCATCTCATGATTGAAAACTATTTGATGTTTGATGCATTACTTTATACTCACAAGCATTGATCTTATGGATTCTTAATTCACAAACTGACCTAAGGACATTATTATCCCTAACATTGAGGCTTTCATAATCAGAACACTAAGTTAATGTAGATATTTTTAAGAGCTCTGACCTAATGATGACATTTTCCTCTTGCGTTGTTTGTAGTTACTGATGATTCCTCGAGGGCTCTGGGGGAGAGGCGAAGACATATCTGTCTCCTCGGGGATAAACTGGGGCAACCGGTCAAACTTCTGCTCAAAGTCAACCACCTGTAGCACTCTGAAATCAACAAATCATAAAGTACAGAAGCGCAAACACCAAGAGCAAAATTTATCAATTATGGAAAATATTCAAATAATATTTTATAGAAGTAAAGATGTTACTACTGATGTGGCGTTTATTTGCTCATTTCTGAGAGCTTAGATTTTAACAATAAACAAGACCTAGCCCTTGTTCTTACTTTTCCATTCCATCCTCACATTTCTTCTTGAACGTGACCTTCTTTGGGCTCTGAGCTGGACTTTGGGAGGGAATAGAGGAACTCTGGGATAATGAAACAGGCAGGGGAGGGGGCTTATGTTTCTAAAATGGACATCATTAGAATAACTAATATTCTACAGAACAGGACATATATTTCTGCAAAATGATAAATGCAAGGAAACTTATTTACAAAGAAAGATAACTATTTTAAAACTCAGATCTTCTCATGATCATTGTTAAACTATCATCTAAATTGACACACCATAAAGATTGAGGGTAATTCTTTTTTAATACAGTGGTCACAGTCACTGAAGTACTCCTGTACTTACTGGTCGTGGGCTGAGGGGGGTCCCAACTGTTGTGGCAGGAGAGGGGGCGGGCATGCTCTGCTCTGGTAGTCCAGCATGTACTGGAGATTTCTGGGTAAAATGGGTGCCTGGTGACTTCTCCTCACTGGAATCAGGTCCAGAACTGCCCTTAGAGGTCTGGAAAGAACCACACAAATTTCAATGTTATACTGTGTAAATTGAAGAACATTTCCCTATAAATTTTATCATATTTCTAAACAAACTGAATTAAATCTAATAACAAGCTAGAAATATGTCCATAGGACATGAATGCCCCGCCGAGGATATATTAGTAAAGCAAATGAAAATTTGTATGTGTATGAAATTTGATCAGTTTGGTTCAGGTAGGGCTTATAGTTACTTGGGAATAAAAATGTAGGTCAGATCCAGCATCCGAAGCAAGTCTGGTAGTGTCCATCCCTAGCTGCATCATCCATGCAAGTTTGGTTCAGGTAGGGATATAGTTACTTGGGAATGAAAATATAGGTCAGATCCAGCATCTGAAGCAAGTCTGGTAGTGTCCATCCCTAGATGCATCATCCATGCAAGTTTGGTTCAGGTAGGGCTTATAGTTACTTGGGAATGAAAATATAGGTCAGATCCAGCATCCAAAGCAAGTCTGGTAGTGTCCATCCCTAGATGCATCATACATGCAAGTTTGGTTCAGGTAGGGCTTATAGTTACTTGGGAATGAAAATATAGGTCAGATCCAGCATCCGAAGCAAGTCTGGTAGTGTCCATCCCTAGATGCATCATCCATGCAAGTTTGGTTCAGGTAGGGCTTCTAGTTACTTGGGAATGAAAATATAGGTCAGATCCAGCATCCGAAGCAAGTCTGGTAGTGTCCATCCCTAGCTGCATCATCCATGCAAGTTTGGTTCAGGTAGGACTTATAGTTACTTGGGAATGAAAATATAGGTCAGATCCAGCATCCAAAGCAAGTCTGGTAGTGTCCATCCCTAGATGCATCATCCATGCAAGTTTGGTTCAGGTAGGGCTTATAGTTACTTGGGAATGAAAATATAGGTCAGATCCAGCATCCGAAGCAAGTCTGGTAGTGTACATCCATAGATGCATCATCCATGCAAGTTTGGTTCAGGCAGGGCTTATAGTTACTTGGGAATAAAAATGTAGGTCAGATCCAGCACCCGAAGCAAGTCTGGTAGTGTCCATCCCTAGATGCATCATCCATGCAAGTTTGGTTCAGGTAGAGCTTATAGTTACTTGGGAATGAAAATATAGGTCAGATCCAGCATCCAAAGCAAGTCTGGTAGTGTACATCCCTAGATGCATCATCCGTGCAAGTTTGGTTTGGGTAGGGCTTATAGTTCCTTGGAAATGGACCTGCTCCAAAAACTTTAACCTGGTCACTCATCTGGAAAATGTAGGTCAGATTCAGCATCCGAAGCAAGTCTGGTAGTGTCCATCCTTATATGCATCATCCATGCAAGTTTGGTCTAAGTAGGGCTTATAGTTCCTTAGGAATGGACCTGCTCCAAAAACTTTAACCTGGTCACTCATCTGGAAAATGTAGGTCAGATCCAGCATCCGAAGCAAGTCTGGTAGTGTTCATCCCTAGATGCATCATCCGTGCAAGTTTGTATCAACATGTGAAGTTTGATAACACCATCTTGAATGGTATGTTTAAAACTGAGCTAAACACTTATTTAAGAAAAGTGAGGTCAAGGTCAAAGGAAAGGTCAAGGTCAAAAAAATGTTGATGTAGTTGCATAGCTCTCATCAATATCTATCAGCATATGAAGTTTGATGAAAATATCTTGGATAGTTTCTTTGAAACTTAGCTTTGAACAGAGCTAAATGCAAAGTGTGACGGAAGGACAGAAGGACGGAAGGACGGAAGACGGACATGACAAACACTATATGCCCCGGCCATATTCATGGCGGGCATGAAAAATATTAAGTTTCTGATTATTCTTATCAGAATGTGGCAAACAGAACTTACTTTTCTTTCCCTGCGTGGAGTTACTGCCCCTGTCTCCACTAGTTCCTTGTATTTTCGCCCCTTGCAGGCCCTCTCCTGGCGAATGTCACCCTCTTCCTTTCTCTCCTCCTCTGCCTTTGAATCTGAAGCTTCGACCATCGCAGAATTATCCAGTACCAGTGGAGACGGCTTCTGGGGCTTGTGCTGCCCAATCATTGCGGGTGGGCTCCTGTATGCAGGCTGTGGGCTAGGGGCTTTTGGGGCAGCAGGGCTGTTAGCAGCAAGGCTTGAGGAATTTCTTATGCCTTATAAAAAATATAGAACTTTTTAATGAAGGATGTTTTTAATTATTTAGTTCTTTTAAGTTTTACTCTAGTGACAAACTTCCTATAATTATTAGAGATATCAAGTTTTTAATTTACATCACTTTTCATTTTACTTTTCAGCATGCAAATTGCAAGTACTCTGTAATCTACCTTGAGAGGTTGGAGTGGATGGAAAACTTTCAGTGGCCACAGGGATATTAGCTATAGTAGCTTTAACCTTCAGAGGCCTTGAGTTCTGATTATTTCCTGACACAAATCCGATGTCACTTTTCTCTGTGGTGGCTATACCTCCTGAAGCCTTAGGGGTAGGGCTTGGTGCTAAAATAGAAAAAATACACTCAGCATGTAATACCCTAAAATCTTGAAAATAAGACGGATTTAATAATAAGCCGGTTTTGAAAATAAGCCCCCCATTTCTTGCATTAAAAATTACTCGAAAATAAGCCAGTTTTGAAAATAAGCCGGTCATGACAATGCCACTTAGGAAAGATGTTAAACGTTTGACGATTTTCTCGTCTTAAAAATCTGGACAAGTGAAAACTTTGACGATATTTATTTATTGTGCAAAATAAAAAGTTATCTTTCTTTAATTCGTTTAACCTTTACCAATTTCTGCATATGACATAGTACGAACGAGTAACGATGTCACAGTAGAACTAAGTCTGTAGCTACTAATAAACTTAAGTAAAAATACAAAATAAAGGGTTGTTTATAAAGTTAATTTTTTTTACCAGTAATCATGTCACGCTGGTTAAAAAAATTACTTGCGGAACCAGCTTAAATGGTGAATTTTTTTCATGAAATTGCTCAGAACAATAAATGCAAAGTGTACAAGCTAATGATGTGTTTGGGGTGGTAATTAAATAAGTAAATGGATAAAAGGAAGTTTTGTTTGTAAAGCATTGAACTGCCAGGTAATACTGCCCTAAGCAAGAAACCTGCTGATCGGCAGGGCTTGGTAGTAATTAAATATTTCAATGTACCGTATAGTTGAGTTGTTTAGATATGTGTTAGTTTGATTAATATATCAAGTAATTCAATTGCAAGCGGATATCTTATATATTATTTTTACTTTTTTAAAACAAGTTTATATTTCATATAAATTCATATGCTGTATACAATGAAATTAACTTTTAAGTTTTACTCTAGTGACAAAATATAAAGTAGACAATCCAAAAGAAAGTACTTTTCAGGAAACGCCAATGAATACAAGAGTGCTCTCTTCTCTTACCAGTTTTTTGCATTGATAATAAGCCGCAATTTGAAAATAAGCCGGTCTGATTATTTTGACACAAATATGTCACTTTTCTCTGTTCTTACCAAAACTTAAAATAAGCCGCGGCTTATTTTCAAGATGTTAGGGTATCTCATCAGAAATCAAAGACACTGAGAATTAAATAAATAAATATACATGAACCAATTCTAGCACATTCAATATTTTGCATATTTTAATAGTTTACCAGAACAAGTAAGTCATGTGATACTTTGTGCACTTGTTCTACATGTACATGTATAAGTTTTTCTTTGCAACTTATTTATTTGTAATTATATTTAGGTAGTGTGTTCATGTAGTGGTTACCTAATAGTTGCAAAATATGATAAAATATGTGACATACTTATATAAGTTCATGATTAGAATTAATACATTGCAATTTATTTAGAATCTTTTATTTATCAAACTTCTACATTTAAAAGATACATGTAAGTAACAAACACAATTTCCTAATTTATTTTTTAGCTATGAGATAAGTGCATTTCTATTATAATTAGTTAATAAATTAATCTATTACCTGAATAGTATACAAATTTTCCTTGATTGGTTGCGATGGTTTGCTGCTGTGGGATGTTCTGTGTAAGACCTGGACTGGCAGCTGGGGACCGCATGGCCTGGGGCTGAATCAGCACCTGTTGTACCCCTCCCTGATTATCTACAACAATTATCATCATTGCAAAATCAAAGACTTCATCTTTCATTGTATTCAAAAAATAAATCATGTGACTTCTGAAATCTGCATATGCTCCAGTATTTTTGCTCTTGCAAAAAAACTATTACATGTGTACAGCTAATTAGAAACATTTCCAATGCCAAAAAACATTGATTTTTCCCAATTTTGAGGCTAAAAATCCTAATTCAATTGCCAAGGAATAGACTGCAATGACATTGCAAATTTTTGCATAAAGTAGACTTTCATCTTTCATTTCTTTCCAATTTAAGTGGAGATTTATGTTGTAATATGACAGGACATTTTTTTGAAACTAGTGTTTGTTGAACAAGCATATCAATTGTTGATATGATATAAAATTTCAAACTGTTCTATTTTGATGCTATTTTTCCCAAATGAATCATTACTCAAAGCAAAGTAATCTCTTACTTGGCTGAATAGATCCTACATAGGTCTGAATGTAAGCTGGGGAGACTGCTGGTGAAGGGGAGGCAACTGATGCTATAGTCACTGACTGAGGAACCATCACCCTGAAAAGTTACAATATACATGTATTTAAAACTGATTTTAAGATCATAGATCTTGGACAGGAAACTGATACTACACTTGCATGTATGTATGGTATGTATTTTATTATTTGTCTTTTGTATGTAACATGGTTGTATGCCAACATGTTTGGTGAATCAATAAAGAAATTGAATTGAAAATTGAAATTGAATTGATAATAATACTGAGATAAGAAGACTCACTTTTGCTGTGTGGGCAGGAACTGGAATCTCTGTTGCTGTTGTCCCATGGTTTGGTACTGAGCCCCAGGGGTCAACACCTGGCTGACAGGGTACTGTTTAGCTTGCTGCATCTGAGTGACTTGCTGTAGCTGGGTGATCTGCCCCTGGCCTGCTACCTGGGTGGGTGTGTGTGGGGTTGGTATGTGGGTGGGGGTCTGAGGGTGGACTTGTAGCTGTGTGATTGTGGCCCCGGGGGTTTGGCCCTGGAGTTGTGTGATGGTTTGTTGCTGTTGTTGGAAGGCTCCCAGCGACACTATAGGCTGAGCCAGGGACACTGTGGGTATCTGATGTGATGTTCCTACAGCTCCTGTAATTTTGAGATGAATGCAGAAATTAAATAAAACAACAAGAGATTCAAATCTCACAATCTAACCTCTTTTGAGAAGTGAATGACTTAACGTGTGAGTAAAACCTTTCTTTCTGGTATAGGCTTGCATGGAGAACATGTGATTCTATACTTTTTATTGTTTTGCTGTCATTACTGGAAAAAAGTTTATGTTTGACTTTAATGCCCCTCAACCACCCAATCACTTTCATGATCATTAATAGTGAATCTCCACTACACGAACATGATGATATGCTTTCTACATTGTTTTCCCCCTTAAAACTCCTGTAAATTTATTAGAAATCCATGTAATGCTGTATACTGGCATAAATATAATGATCAAGTTTTTATGACAACTAATAAAAGGACAATCTTATGTCTAGGTACTTTGACATTAAAAGTATCTAAACTTTGATGATCTTCATGCAAAAGACATGAAACTAAACTACACACAACTAAAACAGAAAAACTGTCAATTAAAATACAAATGATGAGGATTATGTCATGTGCTTTTTTAAGAATGCCACGATAGACAGCTGGTTTCTGTTTACGTACATGTATTACTAACCTGTGGGTAATGGGGAGGCCTGGTTAACTATCTGATACTGGGTCACAGTCACTATTACTTACCTGTGGATAATAGGGAGGCCTGGTTAACTATCTGATACTGGGTCACAGTCACTATTACTTACCTGTGGATAATAGGGAGGCCTGGTTAACTATCTGATACTGGGTCACAGTCACTATTACTTACCTGTGGGTAATAGGGAGGCCTGGTTAACTATCTGATACTGGGTCACAGTCACTATTACTTACCTGTGGGTAATGGGGAGGGCTGGTTGACTATTTGATACTGGGTCACAGTCACTATTACTTACCTGTGGGTAATGGGGAGGGCTGGTTTACTATCTGATAAGGGGTCACAGTCACTATTACTTACCTGTGGGTAATGGGGAGGGCTGGTTAACTATCTGATACTGGGTCACAGTCACGGGTAGGGCCTGCTGTTTGGTGGCATTCAGCACAATCTGTTGTTGCTGCTGCTGGGGTTGGAGAAGATTGGCTTGACCCTAAAGAAAACAAAAAGGGAATGACTTTATCCAAGATTTCCTGCGACTTACTTGTATTATCATAAATCAAGGAAATTTAATATACTTACTGATTAATTCTTAAGCTTAAATTTAACTCAATATTTTTAATATAAAAAAAGTTCCTCAATATTTCAGAATGGAAGTGGTAGGAAAAAATTAACTTGGAGACAGAAAGAATTAAATGGAGGAAAGAATAAAATGAAAGTGATTTTTAATGCATGATTATCGGTAACCATTATGGAAGATTAAGGGGCATTATTTTTTGGTCTGTTCATCTATTAATCTTTCGATCTGTTATTATATGTTTGTCTGCAAACTTTAAAAATGCTGGAAACTTTTGAATGGTTGATGATAGGGCTTTCAAATTTCACTTGCATATTACTTGTCAGAGGACTTTTTTTGGTACCAAGATATTTTACCTCTTGACCTTGAAGTTTGACCTTCTTTGCAAAAAATTACTACCCATAAATTCTGACTATAAATTTTGAATGGCTTTGGTACTGAAATTTTTAAAATCCTAACCTTGACCTTTGATTTGACCTACTTTTGAAACCTTGATCATGGCATTATAACTTTTGAACAATAGGTTTCAGGAGTTTCATACAACACAAGTGCATTTTTGTGACAAGACCTTTCTTTAAGTACAGGGGTGTGCAATTAGCATCGCCCGACGCCCGGGGCTACCACTTTTTGGGGTCGGACTAGTGATTTTCTGCATGGAGGTAGCCCATCGGGCTAGTAAAAATTATAACTACACACGCAATACATGAAAAGCACAACCTGAATTTTCACTTGTTTTTGCTATCAAATTCCCATGTGAAAATTTTTCTGATAACATGCTCCTACTCTCAATAAATCTCCATTATCTTATCTGTTTTGCAGCACTTTGACTTATTTATTTGAATTTCCTCTATTCTTTCGTTTATGGTAAATACATGCAGATATCTCATTGAATTATTTACGATCACTCAATCAACTGAAAGATAAGTGTTTTATGACTCACATAAAATATATTTATAGTGTATTTAATGATTTAAGATGAAAACAAAATGAATTAAATTTCATTCTAAATGAGCTAATGCAATGTTCAGAAAAAGGGAAGATAATTTATCTAAATTCATTTTAATCTTCTTTCATTATAATTTATACATGATTTAATTTCATAGTGAGAATTAAACTTTAATTTTAAAAAGAATGACCTCAGTACCCTGACTTTTTCAACAATTAATAATTTTTGCCCCTATATTTGGGCTAGTAACTTTTCACTTGGGGCTAGTAACTTTATAGCTGCCACTAACCCGTGGGCTAGTTACTAATTTTTCTAATTGCACATCCCTGAAGTATCCACACTTATGACCTTGACCTTTGATGTACATTTGAAAAACTTTACCTTGCCTTTTATATTTCACAGGTATATATCCTGACACATTCTTTTTTCGCGTATCAACATTTTGAACTCTTGACCTTGACATTTGATCTACATTTGAAAACTTTACCTCGGCCTTGAGCTATCATCTGGGGCATCATTGTTTCATTAACAGATCTTATTCATTTATAAACCCATGAAATAAAAATTAATAAGCTACATTATCTTGTGAACTTGGCAACTCTTATACTGATACTTTAGACAAATTTTAGATTGGATTATTTTCATTTAAATAAATACAGACAACCAATCTTAAACTTCTGAAAAAAGATTGACTGATTCTTTAAGAGACATCCAAACAGCCTCTGACAGGTGTAAGCCCTGGTTTGTACCTGGAATTTGACTGGGCTTATCTTGATTCCGGACCCAGCTGGAGCCAGCTGGATCTTTTGTCCAGTATGAACTGGCTGAGGAGAGGGCTGTAATGGATAATGTTGCTGGTGCATCTGAGGTGGTAGTGGAGAATGTAAGGGAGCCTGTGATTGGTTACCACCAAAGGACAACTAAAGGTCAAAATGAAAAGATGTAAGCTGATAGGATGAACATGATGAGGCATCACAGCGACTTGAAATTACACTGCAATGGTGCTAACTTTCACCTTGTAAAAGCCTGATGAAATTCAAATGAAATACTATTGAACATGTGCTTAAATCATTTATTTACATGGGGGAATTCTTTAATAAAATAGTTCAGATTTATGAGAGAAAATAATGTCATAAATAAACTTTGAATATTCTTAAATATTGTTCAATGGAACAAGTTGGTACAAAGTAGTTCACTTTTGGAGTTTCAGTGAATGATAAGCAGATGTTCAACAGTCACAGGTATTCTGACATGAAAAACTACTCGAGATTTGAAAATTTGCATCTGATGATAGTTAAAGAGAAAAATGGTTTAGACTAGATTCTACATGAAATTTATGAATGCAAAGAAATTGTTATTAAGAGAGAAACTGAAAAATTAAGTCAAAATTATGTTTTTAGGTTTTGAGAGGGTGATCAAATTTACCTGTTGAACTTGTCCACCAGGAAGGGCCATTTGCAGAAGATTTTGGACTTTGCCCCCATTAGGAGTCTCCAGTCTCACTGAGGGAAGAATGTACTGAATCTGTGTTGGCTGAAGTCCTGGCTGGGAATTCACAGCATTCAGCACTGAAGGAGTAGCTGCTGTCTGATTGGTGGACTTCAGTTGCACCAGATTTGTATAAATAGTAGTAGGAGTTTGTGAAGGTTGTGACTGTTGGTTTTGAGGTGGGACAATATTCCTCAGTGTTGTGATGTACCCTCCAGAGACCTGATTGGTTTGAATTGTGGACACTGATGTGGTTATGGCTTTTGTAACAGCCACAGGGCTTCCAATATTTTGGGTATTCAAAATAGTGTACTGAGAAGCTGGAATGTTTTGCAGGACAATTGTGCTCATTCCTTTAACACCATTGTTGGGACCGGTCTGAATTTGCTGAATGTTTGGAACTCCTGCCTTTAGAGTTGTTGGTGTGGCAATATGTGCCTGCTGCATTGAAACAATGGGTTTAGAAGCAATGGGCACAGGTGTGGTAATTGGTTTGCCCATAGTTGAGAAAGTGGACATCACCATGTTGTTCTGTACCATATTTGTAGCTATGGTCTGATTGGGAGCAATCAGTTGAACATTGCTTGATGTGACTGGTTTGGTCTGATACTGTAAGGGTGGGGTTACAGCAGGCTGTATGGGCACTTGCTGAGAATTGTTCCTCTGCTTGGACTTTGTCACTTTGTTGATAACCTGGCCTTTGGAATTCTGCTTCCCAAGCACTGTTTCAGTCGTTGTGGACACAATAAGCTGTTGGTTTTGAGTTGTCATCGTAATGTTGTGGATCTTCATATTGCCCACTTTGATTGGAGGTTGCTGACAGAGCCTTGGAGTGCCGTCATGCTTGGCATGAGATCCCTCTAAAACACTTCCTGTAGAGGCCATTCTTGAATGGGCGTTTTTTGCTCTGAAGACAGCACCTAAATATATCAGAAATGCACCATGAATATTTTCTGCAAAGTCAAATAAATAGTCATTCTAATGCTTCTAACGTAAACATTAAAGGAATCACCATTAAAATTAAAGTTCAAAATAAAGATTTGTTAATCTCTCTACATCTTCCTTCACACGAACCTTTAGGCTGGAAACCAGAGCCCACACTAGATGGTCTTGGAATGTGTTCAGCCAAGTCAAGCCCTGCCCCAGGAATTGATGACTGAACAATCTTGGGCTGACCCTCAGGCAGCTTCTTGATTGGGGTGGGTCTAAAAACAAGAAACAAAATATGCATCTTAATCTATACTGTTATTTGGCAGAACAAAATTTAACACAGCTTTAATTTATGATACACTCATATACTATTTGTACATAAAATAAGACATGAAAAGCTGCAAAAAATTTCGCAAAGAGAAAATAATAAACTCAATCAAGGATTCCTCTCTAGAATGGTTCACCTACCTGAATGCTATATCAGCTGGCTGATTGGAGGGGGAGAATCGTTGCTGTGGGAAGGCCTTGTTAATTTTGTTCTCAGTAGGAACGTCCTCCTCTGTCTGGGAGTCTGTCTCGCTGTCAGACACATGCTCATGACAAATTAGGCTTTTACCTTCAGCGTCACTCTTATCACCTGCATATGAAACATGAGAAACCATTAAATAGGTATGTGTATGTGTAACTCAAAAATATACATTCCAGCATACATTTAACTCTTCTTAATATTTTGAACACAATTGACATTGATTTATTTGAATGAATTCACAGTTCTAACTTTCAGCCATGCTGCATTATACAATGCATATAATAATAGGTCTGATGATTCCAGGGAATGATACATTACCTTTATCTTCATCAATAACCATTTTCTCATCGTCACTTCCATCCCCATCTCCCCCTAAGTCTCTGGACCCTGCCGCTATTCTGGACTGAGCTTCCTCTATACTGGACACTGAGTGATGTCGCTGTATGTCCACTGGGGGCTGGGCCAGAGGGGAGGATTTAGCCAATGGGGAGGAGTGATGACTCAGGGATGACCGTGGGGTTTCGTGGGGGGAGGGCATTGATAATGGAGATTTCTGAAGACCCAGGCCATTTGTTAATTGTCTTCTTAATGCCTGTAAAATTTAAACATTGTAAGAGAAAGATGTTCAAGTTTTTAAACACAAGAAGTCTTAAAAAGCTTTATGTTTTACAAAGATTATAAAAGTACATTTAGTATGAAAGTTTCATGCCAGGTATTTGACATAATGACATCATTGATTTTTCTTCAGCCTTAAGGTCCCATACTTTAAATGAAAATAAAAGAATAATCTTAGAACTTTATATATATTTCAGTACCTCTGTAAATCCTCTTTGGTCCTCGTTTGGGTTGATATTCATCCCCGGTGGCATGAAGGCTGACCCCTCCCCATCTCGTGGGACGGCTGACAAACTCTGAGATCTTCCCCCTCTTATGTTTTCAAACAAGGATTCTCGATTCAAAAATACACTGTCTTCATTGTCCATTGTAGTATCTAATGTAAAGAATTAAAATATCATTTTTATTGTTATGCATTATGACATAAAAGCTTTTTCTACTATATGTAAATTTTCATTCAATACTTAATGTAAGCATATTAAACTAAAATTACTGTGAGCATTGAGCTCCCACTTGAGTATAATTGCTAAGTCCATTTTTTTCTATGAGAAACATCAAATATATGGCTGATCCAAAGAAAATGGGTGAGCTCTGAAACTATGTAAATAAAGTTGTGAAAATCTCGGTATTCCGATAGCGAAACATTGACACTGCCATTATTTCTGTAACCCATTAGAGTGTCAATGTTTTGCTATCTGAAACATAAATATCTGTCCAATTAAAATATAAAATAGGAGTTCACAATGGCACTTCATAATAAATATTCTTTGAAAGCATCAATAAATTTTTTACTCTGTGGATATAGAAGGAAACGCAGTTAAAAGATGGTACCCACCTCCTTCCTCCCCAAGTGTTATAGATGTATGGAAGGACCTATGGACGTAATTATGGACACCCCATCACAATATACCCTAGGCCTCCTTTTAAACAGGGGAGGTACAATGATCAGGCAAGATTTCCACCTAACTTGCATAAGATTTTCAAAGAATTCAAGTATTTTCACTATGTAATCTATAGAGCCCCCCCTTACACCAGAATATTACCTTCATCATAATTATGCACTTAGTTAGTTTATTTAATACCCAGGAGCAGAGAAGAAGATTTTATTAGAGCCCCACCCTGTGTCCTCCAATATGTCGTCAGTAGAACTAAGACGCTGACTACTTGTCCGCTGTTTTAACTTGTCAGCAATTGTTCCAGATTTCTTCCTGTCCCTGGAACACCATTTCCAGTCTGGATGAGCCTTGAAATGGGCCTCTTTAACCTGAAATTGTGTTTATATGTTATTGAATTGATTGAAATTGTATGTTACATGTATTTAAATATTTCATTTATATGCAAATTATGCAGACATACATCCAGGATGTCTTGAATACCCAGAATATCTATTATCTTACATGGTGGTCTCAAGTATTTTTTTTTCAATATCATATATATTGGATATATAAGCTTAAGAAAGGTGATGACTACAATCTTAATGTGAATCCCTTTTCCTACCTGATTAGCCAAATCGTTGTACTTTTGTTTTTCTACTGGTCCCAGAGCGTACCACCACTCCCCTAGGATCTTACTGACTGTCCTGTTGTCCTGGTTAGGGTGTCGCTGGTGGACCAAGTGTCGATGTCTCTTACTGAATATCATAAAGGCATTCATAGGTCTCCTGATGTGGTCTTTATCTTTTGACTAAAATAAGACAAATTTAAAAATGATCAGATTATATGAAGTACTTTCAATTCATGGAATACTAGCTTCTTCTTTCTATAAATGGATTTTTTATTGTTTCTTTATCAAAATTGCCATTGGGAAACTAATCTAAAAAATTCAAAATGTGAGATCTTTCATCACCTCCAACTTAAGGTGGATGATACCTTTTTGGGGCTCTTTTCCTCTTTGTCTTTTAAGGCACTAAGGCTTTGGCTACGTCTTTTTGCGGGGATCTTTTTTGGCTCAGGCTGGGGTTCTTCCTTAGTATCAAAGACATCATCGTCATAATCCTCCTCAATATCATCTTCAATGGGAGCTACAATCAACAAACAGCCGCCTTCTATCATAATGCAAAAATTTTTTTTTCTAATTAAAAAACATTTTTTTATCATATTTTTCAGTTTTTTAAGGAAATACCAACCCTGCTTACTTTTATAAAATGTAATAAACTTTATAAAGTTTTTCTTTGTTAAAGCAATAATTCGTTTGCTGCCTGTGAAAGCTTCCAAGATATTTTATTAAATACAGAAAGCTGGTACTTATAAATTGTCCTTGAATTTCATTAAATAGCTTACATATTAAAATAAATAAAGTACATATTTAATCTAATATTCTATAATAACTATATGTAATTACTGGTGCCCCTGATGGCTTGAACTTTAAAACTTACGTGCATCTGAAGCACTGACTCTTTGCTCCGATTGGCTGGCTTTCTTTGGTGACAATGTGGAGTTGACAGCTTGTGGTTGTTTTTCTATTGGTTGTTCTATGGTTGACGTAGGAACCTGAGCTACTGTCGGTGGTCCTGTGTTAGTGAGAAAAGGAACCAATGCGTGCCACGGAAACACAGGCACAGGCTTATTAGAATTAACTACAAAAGAAAAGGAAAATGCATCATTGATCACGTAACAAACATTTTGTTTATAATAAATTTTATGATAAAAAGCAAATGTGGGCACAAATACCAATATATCAAGTAAATTATTATCATTTACCATAAAAAAATAGCTAACTATGAAAATCCATAAACCAGTGCTGGACTTAAAGTGATATTCTGATAATCCCTTGCAATATTGCAACCTCATTTTATCACATTATTCTTTTACAAACCATGCAGATGATGCTAGTAAATTATTTTGAAAAATGTCTAATTATTAATGCAAACAAGTCTACACTGTGTATTGAAAATGAAAAATTATATTTATTAAACATTTTGTAGATCGCTTCCAATCTGGGTCAATGAATCCTTTGGGCATACACATTATATTGATAAAATTTTTTAGCTTCATTTTTTATTTATTCAAAATGACATTCTACACTGACCTTGACTGTATTTAAAAAAAAATGCTTTATAAATTACAAACTTTAAACAAAAAAGATGGGGATGAATTTCTGATTCAATTGAGGGAGGGGGAGTTATTAATATATGAACTAATATCTTAACATGCTCACCAATCTGCATGTAATTATCTTTTTTGTTATGTTAAAGTCAAAATAATGAATATGCCCATGTCACACCCCATTAAAGTATCAAATTCAAGCTTCTGAATATTTTATTTTTAAAAATCCATAGTCAATTAGTCATACCTTAACTACTACTAAAATTTAAAAAAAAATTGTAATTAGTTGTTAAAGTACTACTCATAACAGAAATAAAGCATCCAGATTAACAAATTTCAGTTGCCTTTGGCTGAACACCATGTATTCAAATTTCCCTCACTGCAAACAACCATTTGGTTTTTTGGTCTCTCACTTCAGTTTATATCACTTCTAAACAATTTTTTTTAGGAAAATAATGCTATGGCATACTATATTAGCGTGTGAGTTTTGTTACTTAATCTCCCCTTAAATATCAGTTGAAAAGCAATATATATGCTGGATTTCGATAAATACTTGGTTTCCATGTCTATTGAAATTTGAAATGTTACTTTGACATAAATGCCAACAGAAAATATTTCTTGCAACAAAAATCAATATTAGAATTAACTTCTTGCTGTTCCAAACCACCTTAGTATTAACGTCAGTCAATTTTTCATCAACAAGAACTAATTTGTAATATTTACAAGTACTTGTACATACATGGCATTTAAGTAAAGAGGTTTTTTTTGTCTATCAACTGCGGTGTCTTTTAAAATCACCTTCTGAACCAATTCTTAAAAAGGAAATTTAGCAAGGTTTAAGGTACAGGAACAAAAATATGTTTCTTAAAATCATCTCCACATATGTTTAACACTAGCTTGGATGCTAGTTTATAGGAGGAAATGTGTCATGGTGACCCATTTAAGAAAGATTTCATTCTTAATCAAGTTTTTTTATTAGCACAAATGTCCTACTGTCAACCCCCCACTCTCTTTGTCTAGAATGATATTCAGAATGGCAATTAGAGAATGCTATCTACTCAGCTTATTTCAAATACCTGTAACTGTGGTCAAGTTTTCTTTAGAAATTTTAAAATATATACCTGGTGCAGAGGTGACTGCTGTGGGTTGTTCATTCTTTCCTCCATTGGCTACAGGCATTATGGGTAATAAGGACTGAGCGGGAATTTGGTGTTGTAGCTGCTGTTGTATGACTGATGGCAGATGATCTGGACTGGACACTGGAGGCACCACTGCTGTCTGGGGTTTAATTGGTGCAGGGGCAGAATTTATCAGACTTTTCAATGTGGACATTGATGATTTTGAAATTCTTGAGGATGGAGTAGTGTTGCGATTGTTGAGCTCCTTATGACGATCGGGATTTGGAGATGGTAGAGCACTCATGGACAAACTGTGTGTCATTTTTCTGGCCTGCAAATCAGGAGTTAAAGGTAGCACAGAAACACTTCCTGTTGGAATCCTCTGCTGTGCATGCAAGATGGCAGAGTCATAAGTCACTGGAGCTTTGCCTGGTTCTTGGCCTGCTTTCACTGGATCTAGTTTAAAATTGCTCGCACTTGCAATTTTCTGATACAATTGTTCCATTTCAGGAGTATTGTACATGTGTGCATGAGATGTTGGAGGGAATCTGGGTGTGATTGGGGATACATGTTCTGATGAGGAGCTCCCCGACTTTGATGTACCTGAGCTCCAGCTACGAGTTGGAGAGGTCATGAAGCCCTGTGTCTGGGGATGAGGAGAAATAGGTGCAAATGATAAGGGATTACCCCTTGGTCCCATAGTACTTGGTGATTGCACAGGGTGTGGAGAAATAGGATGATTACTAGGGGTTGGTGAAAATGCTGGAGTTGTGGATCTTGAATTTCCTAAAGACACCAACATATTAGCTGCTTCTGTTTCATCAAATCTCTGAGGATGTTCTGGATCAAAGTCAGTGACACTACTCTCTCTGGTTGAACTTTCAGACCACTCCATATGGCCATCTTTAAACTCCCCCTTCCTAAATTGCTGCATGTTTCCTCTCATGCTCTTTTGTCCCTTCATAGACAAATGTCTAGAACAATAACCACGTCTCTGAGATTCTTTCGTACAACCCTCTTTAGAACACAATCTTCTCCACTGCTTTCCATTGAATTTCTTTCGAATCCCATTAGGAGTTGATACCACATCACCCTTTTTATACTTCTGCGTAGAACTTGGAGATCTAGGGGTACTGGATCTGCTGCTTTCACAAGACTGCACACTCCTGCTCCTTGAAAATTCCCTCTTTTTTGGAGGAGGACGGTTTCCCCCACTCCCTCCCTGGGACCGACACCCAGACCCAGGAGTAGCACTGCCAGATCTAGGGGTGCTTAGACCTGAATCAAAATCAAATTCTTCACTCTTCATTTCATCTTCAGAGGAATCCCCCCTTTCTATACTGGTGCTTTGTGGCAATGAAGGGGACCTTTCCAACCTGCCTTGCAATGGAGGACTTATCTCCATTTGTGGATTATAATGATGATGAGTTATAGGATGATGTGGCATTTGTAACTGAAGAGGATATCCCATGCTAGGAACAGGAGTGACTGGTTCTTGCTGTTCTGGTAGATTCTCAAGGTCTTCATACCATGGTGGCTGAATAAGTCGGAGCACTGCACGAGACACCCACTGAGGTTCCCTAAATTTGTCCTCATGGTGACCTTGTATCTTGACAAAATATGAAACAGGTTGTGACTTTTTGTCTATTATAACCCCTTCATAATAAAAATTTTCTTCAGGAATGATCCTCACACACACTCTGCTACCAACATTGGTCATCATAGCCATGGGACTATGGTCACTTATAATATCAAACTGTGTGCGCTGATCCAGAACATCATTAAAATATACAGTATTTTTGTCACTATCAAAAAGTACACCTATGTGTCTGTTTTGTTTGATGTCGCTGATCTGTCCAGGCTGGTAGAGGCCGTCACGTTTGGCTAGAACTCTCTGATTTATCCATTCACTCAAATCAATGGAATGTCTCTTAGATGGAGGGGAAGGCTCCCTCTCTATTTCATTCCCTTTTCGTTTTTTGGGAGGAATAGCTATCAACTTTTCATGAGTCTCCATCTCCTGTAAATCAGTCGATTTTTTCAGAGAGGAGCGGGATTCTGGTCTGGATCCACCACTTGATTGTAAGTCACCGCTTTGGTGGGTAGATTGTAGAGGAGGGGGTAGGCCCTGAGTTTCCACTTTCTGCCCCTCAGTAGAAGAAGAGTTGACCTCTGGATTGCTGGGTCCTTCTTTTGGAGGCTGTTCTTCTTCCTCTAATTTGGAGGATTCTGGTGGATATTTCTTCCCTCTACCTGTTCGTCCTGCATTATGATTGTTAAAAAAAATAGAACAAAAATTATGTCCTTCCCAATTTATGCTTGACATGCTTCAGATAAATCTACCTACAGTATATATACCTCTGTCAGTATCATTTATTAATGTAGTTACTATAAAACATGGCGTTAACCTCTGGATACTGTGATGTCACTGAATGTGGAAGGATAATTTTTCTTTTTCCTTTTTTAAACACAATTTTTTTTCAAGTAAAATGGATGATGAGAATTAAAATTACCTCTTCAAAGATTTTCAGGTATATATAGCTCATGTAGCCATGAAGATTAAAAATAAAAATATAATGACCTTTCATTTCATGATTTTTTCCTGGTGTTAAATTCTTTGCTGGATTTTATCATTTATATAATCTTAACATATTTAAATGTCAGATGACAGAAATATCTTTCATCAAATCAGCATCTTGTGAACATACCTCTGCCTGCTTTCTGTTTCTTTGCAGACTCTGATGGCTGTTTGTCCTCAGTGCCTTCTTGTGTGTCTGTCTGTAGGTTTATTATGTTCTCACTTGTATCAGATTTAGGAGAGGCATTTGGCTCTAAGAGGCCTCCCTTTCTTTTTGTCTGTCTGGTACCTATATGAAAAATGGACTAGAAATTTGGAAATACAAATTTTACAAACCAATTGCAGATTTATTATCACTTCTTATTGCATTTTTTCTTTCAAACTGCAAGAGTTTGAAGAAGAAATTCCCTTCTCCAAATACGCTGTATGTCATAGAAAATTAAAATACATCATCTCTATGTCAAAAAAAAAAACCTTGATATCTTCTCTCTATTTTACAAATCTACAGAAGATGAAATGCTTTGAAATAAAAAATCAGCTCCGTCTTTCATTAGGTAACATTCTACTTTACAAATTGTATATTATATGAATTATCAGCATTCATAATAGTTCCTCACATAAGTCCTTTCTCAAAATACTTCCTGTTTTGCCACAGAGTATTATCAGTCCAAATGGGGAAAATTCTGTGGCAGGTTAATATACATACCACCCCCCTTTTTATGTGGAACTCTCTATTCTTTCTATATAAGGCTTGCTTAACAACATCCCATCCCTTCTACTTGGAAATTATGTTTTTTTTTCCCCCCAATAAGTGTGCAACATGTCAACTTGCTTCACCCTTCTCTTGAGTTCTGTACCCCCCCACACCTTTTCTCATTACTTGGACACGTAGCTTTTTGAATCCCCCCCTCCCTTTAACCTGTACACTAGACTGCCTGACGTTTTACCTGGAGCTTTCTGATCTTTCTGTGACACAGGGCTGTTTGATTGTCCTCTTTTCTGTCTGGAGTCCCCTCGTCTACTCATGTTTTCTCACATCAATCTGACAAATGTTTAAGAAATATGCTTATAAAATAAGAAATGGCTCTGGGCTGATTTGTGATACATGTAATGATAGTTTCACCTGGAAAGCAAAATTCGGACAATATCCATTTGCAACCATAACATTCCTACCACAACTCTTATTTTGAAGAACATTTTAGATCAATGAATGTTAATTTAGTAAGCACTAAAAGGATGTCAGAAACCAAAAATTACATATCATTGAAATGGTGACCATCTCAACCCCCATCCCCCTCTCATTTTGTAAGAATCAAGAATGAAATAAACATCACAGAGATGAGGCCACAAAGAGGAAAATGTATGCATATGGCAAGGATTTGAAACAGAAGTCTGCTATAACCATGACCTTGAACCTATCAAACTGGTTCAAGGTAACTTGCATACCCATAAGCAACAAGCACTTCATGGGTAATTGTATATGAGTCAGACTGGGATAAGGAGAGAGAAGATGACCTCAACATATTAAAGATCACTACACAGCCTCCTCCAGAAAAGTAGGATTGAGCTGCTGGGCAGGGGCGGAGGTATGCTCTGGACAAGGATTTAAACATTTAAAGATGATTTTGACCTTGATCTACAATCCAGAAAATTTGTTCAAGATCAAAGTGACTCACTACTCACAGGCATTCTATTGGTGAAGTTTGAACCAGGAAGGATCAAGGAGAATGAAAATATGCTAAAGAGAAGGATTTTACACAAAAAGATTTTCTAACCTTGACCTTTGATTTAAAATAATGTTTCAAAGTCATTGCCCACCCTCTTGCCATGGGCATCATGTGTTAAGCTTGAGCCCAACTGGACAAGGGGAAAGTAAATAAGTTTTTCAATTGCAGATATTGAGAGAAATATTAAATCTGTAAAAAATAAAAACAGGCACAATTTAGATAATTCAAAAAGCTACTTAGGTTTTGCATACCCCAAACAACAGTCACAGAATCCGAGTCTGAAAATGAGGAATCCTCATACACAACAACCTGTGTAAAGCCAGGAGATCTGTGTCCTACAGAGATGGGTATAACTCCTAACAGCTCGAAGATTGTGAGGCAGGTTTTATGTCAGTCATGCTATTTTTATAGCTCACTGCGCACAATCATATCTTCCTCTGTTAAAATCAAATTGATGGGATTCTTGATCATGATTTAGTGTCTGTCTTTTTATTTTCACTCTCAGACTAGAATTGAATTGTGCAAACTTAGGTAAAATTAAAACTGAATTGTGTGTATTCATTTAACTCTACTTGATCAGAAACTAATTCAACTTCAAGCAGAAGATGAATTCTATCAAATTTTCTTTTTAGGTCGAGAAATAAAGCTGCAAAACACTTACTGGTACTTAAAATTTCAGAGGATTAATATGAATTGAAAATAATAAGGTAGATTTTTAATAGAAAATGATTGGGGTACATTCATATGGTTTTCTAACTTTTATTAAATTAAATTCTTAAACTAGGAAAAACAGTAAAGCATTGTAAAGTTTGGTTTCAGTCTCATTTTCACAAAGCCTCTAATGGTCCTGACCTAGATTCACTAAATCCACAGATTCTGTGAGTCTATATTTGGTATGTTATATAGCTTTTATGACATGGACTTCCAAAAATCTGAGTCTCAATATACAGATATATGGAAAATGACATGAGTTTCTCACATGGGTTTACAGAATCTCACTTATCTGTGAATCCATACAGGGAAACTTGCACAGCTTTCCAACATTTTTGTAAAATTATTTGTTCTAATTTAAATAATTTGACCAATATCCTGTGTCTTGTCCACATCTTAACCACTTTTTTGCATGGCTTTCCATACAAAAAAAAATCACAGATGATGGCTGAATCTGTCTATCACTCTGTACCATGTCAAAGCTGTGTGGACTGTGTTGAGAGGGAATAGTGGCACTCATTCAAATCAAAGTCAAGTTGATATACAGCTCAAATTTAAGAAAGACTGATAATTTTCTTTGGAGGAAAGTTTCTGACCATTATTCCATTGGCTGAATGTCATTATGTGTGTCATGGCTGTGTGAATATTTAAGAGTCAATGCTAACACTAACTTGAGGTCCTGTGAACAATGAGCTCACTTAATGAAACCCCTCGCCTCCCATATGAATATAATGACAGTGTCCATGTTTTGCTATGGGAAACCCAAAATATGTGTCAGATCAAAAAATAAAATAGGAGGTACACAATGGCATTATGTAATAAAGATTCTGTGAAAGTCTTATCAAATTTCATTCAGTGGTATGAGAGGAGTTGCGGATAAGATATGGGTACCCCAAAGCGTAGCAGACGGACAGACATACAGATGGCTGACAGACAGCTCGATTACTATGTACCCTCTCGCTTTTTCAAACAGGGGGTATAATGACAGTCGCTGTCAAATCTATATGTAAAAGGCAGACATATACAAACAGGTCACATCATCATGATCATTGGATATATCCTGTTTCTAATTTTATTGTCTATATAAGTACTTTTATAAAATATGCACCCCAGTATTCAATCAGCCATGATTTAAATACCTCGATCCGCCTACGTACGTGAAAGGGGTTACCTGGTTCTGTCGGGGGTTTGTGTTCATCGATCTTATAAAAACACTAATACCAAAACTGACATATATATGTTAAATATCCAGATTCGAAATATAAGGAGCCATAATTGGTGGCTATTGTTTCATCCGTAGAAATTGTTAAATTACATTTACCTTCTAAAATCAATGAAACTTCCTTTACAAAAATATGTCATTCTTTCCCATTTTGACCTCCATTGCGCACTTCGTTTTACCTCCACCTCAAGAAAAATTTACTCCCATTTACGATACACTGAGAAAGGAGAAAATATTTCACCTTTTCATTTCTTCAAAAGTATAAATTCATACAGCACCCGCGGACAATGGCGGAATATAGGCCGCATACCAAGGTTTATGTCGGCGTAGAGCGGCGTAGTAGTAAACTGGCAGGGGCGATTTGTACGCTAAGCTTACAACGGCCAGCTGATGCAGGGCCGCGATTTACAACAATGGCTCATAAAAACCAACAAATGGAAGTAAAAATACCCCGTAAATTAGTTTTATTTGGATAAACAATGAATCTATATAGCATGATCAGACATTAAATTATCTCAAACAAAAAATCACTTCGATGCATCTTACCTTAAACCCGAATTTAATCATTTTATGGTTCACCATTCGTCGCCCATCTTGCAACTAAAAAAGGTGAATGAGCAAATACCTTTTCATAAAACGACTTTTGATTGGCGATTTCATTGTCACGTGCTCCGATTTCACAGTTATGTCTAACGGGATTGGTTGATCCTGGCTTACTACAAAGATTCCAGTAATATTCAATCGCCCAGAAAATCTCCCTACCCTCAATGAAGCATCATCGTCATTTTGCTTGTCAGATCTCTTAAAAGCAACTTATGCACATTACAGTAAATAATAAGCATTCACGTTCTTTTACTAATGCCATTGTTGCATGCAGGGACACTTTATGTTGTTGAAAAGTATATGGAAGCACATTGTCGGCCTTCGACGGAACATTATAGCCACGCCTTTTTCTCTTCGACAAGGTTTTCAGCCAATGAAATGCAAGCTGAGGTGTACCAACGTAAACGTTACTACTATTTGTATGCAGTTACTATGTGACCTAATTTCTAATATGCCAGATCGGGGCCTATATAATTTTCTTGCAGCCGCAAGCACCCATCATATTGCGTCGGTTACTTATTTTAGACATGGAAAGATGTTTTAAAACTTATGTATAGATGTGCTATATTATCTCGAAGTTTTTTTATAATCAGAAAAAAAACGAAATCGTATGTCTAAATCATATCTTCAGCTACCAGGGACACATGTGCAGCTACACATGTATTATTTTTTAAAATTAAAACTGTGTATTTTACACATTTCTTTTTTGATAAATGTTCATACTAGAATATAAAAAATAAGCTATTTGGAAAAGTTTAGTAATTAATTTTATAACACAAATGGGACAATTAAATAATTGCCAATCTGATTAAAATCAGATCTTTGTTCCGCTTTGAAGTTCTGATGGTCGCTGTACAGATTGAAATAAGTTGCATAATATTAATACATTTACACTTAGCACGATTTATTGTTTTTAAAAAAATATAGAATTATCCTACCTACCTGTAAAAATAGTCATTGTTGTATCCGTAGGTACATATAGGATATGAGATCCGATTTCCACTCTTTTCTATCTATGGGTATTTTTCCCCACCTTTGTCCAAGTGAGTTTCATCATACTTTCATAATAATTTAAAGAGAAATAAATTCTTAAATTTCGTAAATTGCCTGTCCATATATGAGAAACTTGGGGGTGCAGGGGTAACAACCATGCCGGAAAAGTACTTTGTATAATAATGTTCAGATTTCAAATACATGTATTTCAGAATGTGAAAGTCGTTATTAATCAGTTAATTAATAGGTGCAGATCTATGGCATTATGGTTTTATATATTTGACTTTGACCATACCGCTACAGATCCCGTAATGCAAAAAGGTGCAATTTACGGCAATATTTTTTGCGCACTTTTGGGGACAACTTCTTCACTTTCTAGCATTGGTCAATCAGCTACCTTTCATTCCCTAATTCTAGATACCTTCTGCAGCCAACGTGTATATTTTATCCACCTCCCAACCATTTATAATGTTTCTTCAGGCAATAAACTCGATTGATGTGAATTTCCAGCAATCTAGCATATAATTTTAATCAAGCAAGTTTATCACTTGTAAAGACGACTATATAAAGGGTTGGGGGATGGATAAAATATATAGATTAGTTAAATAATGTGCCTAGAATTAGGGAGTGAAAGGTTGTTAATTGACTGATGCAGGAAAGTGGAGAAATTCTCCCCAACAGTGCGAGAATTTCTATATTTCTAGCAGCAGATAGATTTGCAGCTATCAGTTAATATAAGAAAGGATCATGAGCAATCAATATATTTTTCTCAAAGACCCAACTTTTAGACCTAATATCGACCCCCCCCCCCAAAAAAAAAACATTTGAAGGAAAGTGGTTTGGATTAATCGTTTTAATTTTTTAAAGTCAATTAAAAATTTCTGATTTGGATTTTTTTTTAATAAATTGGATATTCATCTACGTTCCCAGATAAAACAACTGGATCCGCACAAAATGCGTCAAATCGCAAAACTGTCGCTGGGTTTATTTTAGAGTTATCTTTCTTTGTACTGTAAAATGTCACATGGTTTAAGGTCATGACCTCGTTATAGCAACGAAAGACGCTACGTCAGAGTATTGTTTACATTTTGCAAAGATGTCGGTGACGGAGACAGACCCCCCTTTTCGTGCTATGGTAAGAGCTAGCGGTCTAGGCGAAGTTTGGACCCACAGCACAGAAGCCAGTAAATTCAACCAATTTGGCTGGAGATGTACAAATAAAGAAAACTCGTACTCAAACGACACTTTAATCGGAAACTGGAATGAGCAAAGATTCGATATCGATATAGAAAAACAGGCTAAACGGAACCCAGGCCAGGTATGTATAATTTAATTTACCCATAGCTCTTTTCAAATAATATATTTAACATCTTCTATGGGACGTTTTAAAACCCCCCCCCCCCCCCCGGCTGCATGCACAGTTCGAAGTGATCGGTCATTCATAATCATATTATATCAGTAAATTAGGCCTAGTATATGAATATCTATGGCACGCCAAATTCACAAAAATGAGATAAACCTAGTTTCACAATTGATAAACTAGGTTTATCGACTGTAAACTATAGTTTACAAACCGTAAACTATAGTTAACGATTCGTTAAGTATAGTTTTCATCTGTAAAACTGTATTTAACGGTTGTTAACTATAGTTTACGAATGATAATCTAAGTTAATCTGTCTGTAATAAGCGTTAACAATAGATTTTGTTGATAAACATAGATTCACGTTTGTAAACTATAGTTTACAATCGTAAACTATAGTTAAGAGTTGTTAATCATAGTTTCACAAATTGTGAAACTATATTTATCAGATCGTTAACTACAGTTAACGGTTTGTAAACTATAGTTTACAAATCGTGAAACTGTATTTATCAGATAATCTATGTTTTGCAATCGCAAATAATTGTTTTCGGTGTTAAGTATAGTTTACGGTTGTGAAACATAGGTTATCGCGTTAACAATGGTTTACAGATGTGAAATATAGATTAACGTTGTTAACTATAGTTTACGATTTGTAAACTATAGTTTACCACCGATAAACCTAGTTAATTGATTGTGAAACTATGATTATCTCATTTTTGTGAATTTGGCGTGCCATAAATATCGTTTACATAAGTTTACAGACGCTGAAAGTGTGGAATACTCAGCTCACAGACTTTTGCGGGAGATACTAGTAAATCAAGGGGGGGGGGTCTGATAAGATAAACATACGTGTATTTGACTTTGAAATTGTACAATCAAAGGCGTCGGAACCGGGGGGGCTAGGGGGGCTTAGCACCCCCACTTTTTTTCCAAATATATACTTAGTATAGACATTGAACATATCTTCGTAAGTTAAGCCCCCCCACTTTCCACAGATACGTCTTAGTATAGGTTAAAATTGGTAAAAGTGTTAATGTTTGGAAGAAAATTTTTGGTATAGGAGTTAACCTTGCCCCCCCCCCCCCCCCCCCCCCCCCCACGAAATAGGATTTTCGTGTTTGGGAAATAGACATTTCCTTTTTTTTTTTTTTTTTTTTTTTTTTGCATCAGGTTTTTTTTGGAGGTACAAAAATTTTTTTCTTACACTTAGCCCCCCACTTTCAATTTGCTTCCGACGCCAATGACAATAAAATGCTTAGGCCTAAAAACTATTGAATTTCGTGTGATTTGTTTGGGGTAAAGGTATACATGTAACATCCCAACTGTTTTTGTATTTTACAATGTACATGTACATGTATATATCATTGCATTAATTTTTTTCAGAATGAACATTACTTCGAATCAAGTTATGGTGTCAGCTATAATAAATCACCACCGTATGAAGTTCCTAAAGAGTTAATTCATTTGAAAGGTATCGATTACAGTAAACTTATATTCAGAGTTGAGATTGGAGATTTTGCTCAGATAGCTTAATATGAATTGTAACAATGTTTGTGCTGTATATGCTATTTTATTAAAGCCAAGTCCCTCAGGTAATATACTAGTATACTGGCCTCTAGTAATAGTTCATTTCTATTATTTGAGCAAGATTTCCCCCAGTGTTTCTTAATTTGAAGTTTTGATCAAAAGAGTTTTAAGTTATTTAATTTGCTATATTAACCAAAATCCTTTTTAATAATAATACAGAAAAACCAAGCGTAAAATTTTGGTCAGAAAAATGAAATATCTACATGTATGGCCTACATCATTATATCTAATTATTGTATAAGACAACCATGAATTTTTTTCAGCATCAGTTCAGAAGAGCTTCTAAAAAAATCAATAATATCTTTTACAGCAGTGATGAATTTTAATAATTTTTTCTCTCGCTGAAATAAAGAAAAGTACCTTTCCATAACCAAATTTTTCGCCACACAGACATAAATTGATTGATTTAATTTATATTTTATAGATTGTTTAATTTTTCAGATAAATTATATGTTTGAAGCCTATTCAATCAGAGTCTGACTCTATTTAATTTACAGAGAGACATTCTCATGCATTTCCTGGTCATCAACCTGAGATAGACAATCCTAAACTGAAGTCTGTCTATAACAGCTGGGAAACTACTACCCGCGCCGCCTACGTAGATCCTAAGATCCGCCGACAGCCCCTGAAAGATCCAACCAGCTAGTCAATGTTATCCATTAGAATAGAAGTCATATTTCATTTTCAAATATTGATTAAATTTAAAAAGTACACATCACGAAAGATAAAATATATTGAGATATGCAGTGTTGTGAAAGAAGATTTTCCTTACTCTTCACCTTTCTTTATAGAAAATATATATTTTGTAATTATTTTCATCTATATTTTATGAGAATATTTATATATTTTTCATTTTTCATTACAGTATTACTCCAGTATTATATAACTGTGCTCAGAGCCTGTGTCTGCTTCAGTATTATATTTTTTACTTACAAATTCTGCATAATTTCTTGGTGGTTGAATTATACCTGTACCTGTACTTAGCTCTGTAATGTTTTCTGCTCAATTTTGCATTTGCTATAACTTGCTGGATTTATTTCATATGAAATGCATATAATAGGTTTATGTAGCATATCTTTTTTTTACATTTCTATTTATTTGTTATAAGACAGAATAAAATTTTGGAAAAATATATTTTGACTCTTATTTGAAAAAGACAACGAGATGCATGTACTGAACCTTCCTTCTGCTTGCAATAGGTTTAATAACTCTGATCTAACCTGGAACGAGGTCGAGGTAAACATTACTTTGAAGTATACATTGTAATTCAAACTGTTTGAAAGGTGAAATCACCAATCAGTTTATTATATTGATGATAGTACAAGAAATATCTCCATTCACAAATAGTGGAGTATTCCGGGGAAGAGAAACTTCTATATAGTTCAGGAAGACCATCTTTTAAGCCTAATGATGTTTTGGACTTTGAGGTCAAGCTACGATAACTGCATCTGAAACTTTCTATCTTTTTCGTCCATCCCGTTTCTTTTTCAGACCAGAGATCTACAGATCTGCAGCAAAAGATACGAAACATTTTTTTGACTAAATGTACTGAGATCACTGAATGATACCCTCGCCTCCTATATGAGTATAATAGCCGTGTCCATGTTTTACTTTTGGAGTGTCCTTGTTTTGCTATGGGAAACTCGAAATATGTATCCATCAAAAGGTAAAATAGGATGTCACTATGTAACAAAGATTCTGTGAAAGTCTCATTGAATTTACCAAAGCGTGACAAACGGACGGACAGACAGACGGACAGTCGGACATCCAGATCACTATATATCCTCCCACTTTTTAAGTCGGGATGTAAATTTACAGAGAGGCTACATTATCAAGTAGATGTTGCATTCATTAATGTTCCCGATATATTTACGACCATTCAAAAAATACATTTGATTGATCATGAATTATTTTATTGCAAATATAAATGAAAACACAAAAGGAGTTATACAAAAGACATTTTAAGACATTTTAAAGAAAGCACATGCATAATTTTTGCAATGTATCATGCTAAACATATAGAGAAAATATTTCCTCAAAAGTATTGTGAGATTACATGATTAATAACATTAAATATAGCCAGTCAAACTTCAAGTATTCTTTTGATATAAACAATGAAAATTGATGTGCGAGGGTGTATGTATGTGCTCCGCATTCTCACTGCCTTAAAGGCTTCGATCTTTGTCTCGTAAAAAGTTTAAATTAATTTGTACCGAGTATTTAAAACAAAATATTTACATACATCTCAGAAATTACATAAATTTGTTTTTGCACAAAATAACTTTACAACCTTAATTATATTGAGTATTGATTAATGTCAACTCGTCAAAATTCCTCCTCGGAGTCGTGTTCGTATAGATTTCCTTGTTCTCGTAACGAGTCATACACCGCGTCCTTGTGTCTTACTATGGGCGGAGTGTCGACCGTGGTGTCCCTATACACCCCAGCATTTCTCTTCGACTTCAAGAACACCTCCATATCTCGCCGATATTCCTCGTTTCTTGCTCTTGAAATAATAATTTATATCTGTGGAATCAAGGGATATAGTAAAAGGTAATCACTGTTTTTTTTTCTGTTTTTTTTTAAATGTTATAAAGTGCTCTTTCAGATTTTAGTCAACTATTATGAACATTCTTTCGCATACCGTGTTCAATTTACATTTTAAACAATGAAATAGAATACAGTACATTTACTTTTGTGGGAATTATGATGCGCATTAAGATCACAAAATAGACATCCTTCATTTTATCATTCCACGTTAAATGTCGTGATTCATTGGTTGAATACCTTTGTCTAGTTTTACTATTACGAGATCTTGACTATACCTATGTCGTCGGTAAGTTATCCATGCAGCCAGAATCAGAGCAGCTGAGAACAGCAGTCCGAAAATCAAACCAACAATGCCACCTAATAAAAAGAACAATCCAATATACATTGTAAGTATTATTTAGAGTACGAGTTTCTTACTGTATCAGAGATACAGGGCGGGGCTTGAGGCGAGAGCGATAGCTCGAGCCGGGCCCCGCCCTGTATCTCTGATACAGTAAGAAACGAGTATTCTAAATGACTTGTGACATGACCTTTCCAAGGACCTCACTAATTTACATGCGTATTTGGGTGTATACCTCCCAACCAATCAGATGATTTTGCAGAAAGTTGATTTAGTATCCCATTTTAAGCATTCTCAACTGAAATGCCGAGTGAGATGGACGTGCAGGTATCTATCATTTTAAAATTATTTAAGGGATGCATAAATTAATCTGTTTTCCAAAAATTTTATTTGGATTTGATTGCGCAGGTTTTTTTTTCTCTGTGCAGCTCTCGCTGACATTTTTTTTTTATTAGTTTAAGCTACGATTTAATGCAAAACATTTTGATATATGAGAATCATGTGGGAATATTTTTGAAACAAAAATGCTTCGGGAGATCGTAGATTCTGAGAGAAATGTCCGACAATGTCCTCCACCGGTCGTCATATACAAAATTGAAATAAGCAGATGAAAGGAAAAGGGGGGGGGGTATTTTATCTTCACGTTTTCATTAAAATGTAGAGTAACCAAACGGGGATACAGCACTCACTGCTGCCCCCATCCTAACTTTGAGTTTTTTTTCTTTTTCGCTTTCTTAAATTTTTTTTTTTCTAAACTTGTATACATACGGTTTTTATTTCAACAACAAGTAACAAATTGACGCACATAGGTGTTGGTTGATTATAAGTCTACCCCCATGGAATACGATTTTCCGTTTTTTTTTTTTGGGGGGGGGGTAATAATTTGTGAACTGCCCCACTCCTTTTTAAAATGTTGAATCCAATAATACCTTTACGTTGTAAAATTTTATTTTTAATTCACCTCAATTTTTGAGTAAATACTAAGAGTTCTATGGCGAATTGAACGATTGGTATGTCTGTACATACGGATACAGCTTTCCGTCATCGCTAAAAATAAACCGTACTGTATCGTTGATATTTTGAGACAGTACAGTTTCTGCTCATTTGCATAAGAAACGCCCACAAAAAGTGTTCTGTATCGCAGTTACAGTATGCTTGACTTCAAAGGAAAACTCGCCGGGTCATGTCACAAATAATTATAATAATTTAATTTTGCTGAAAGTGAAACGTCTTCTCATAAAAGGAGGGGGAGGGTCGTTCATAACCCGAGTCCAAGTCCTTTATTTTAAAAGAATGTGATTTTATATTTGAAAATAAATAGAGCCTTTTGCTGAACCTGTCCATGGAAAGCTAAGCAGAGAGAGAAAGAAAGAAGAGAGAGAGAGAGAGTTCACCTATTTCATGTTCTACAAAAGTTTCGAACTTATTTTCAGATCCCCCTCCATCGGTAAGAGTTTGATTTGAGATTTTCTCTGTTGTTGGAACAATACTGGTGGTGTCAGGGGGATTTCCTATAAAATAAATGTACACAACTTTTATTCATTAGAAGTATTTTTAAAATACAACAAGCAAATTCAAGGAATTGTGGTCCCCCGCTTTCGGTGTCTTTGTGGGTGAGATGCCATTTTTTATGGCATATTTTGTCAAATATGAACGCCCTAAATTACGTCATTTAGAAATTATCATCGAAGTTTATTTCTTTGAAAAATAAAGTCAATCGTGAAGGTCAAGGGGCCAGAATTCATACATAGCAAGATAATGCACATGTCAAAAGTATGAAAATACTATCTCTTCTCAATCTAAACTTATAAGGAACAAGATGTGTTTGTGAAAAACTGATGCCCCCATATGGCAACATAGTGAAAATTAAACTTTTCTTAAATGCAAATTAAATATATAGACCTAAAGTAGGGTCTTCTCACAAGAAAAACGATTGTGCCGTATGAAAGCCCTAGCACCATCTGTTCAAAAATTATTATGAGGGATAAGTGTTTGAAAGGTAGTCAAACTCCAAGGTCAAAAGTCAAAGTTGTTGCTTTCTTAAGAAAGGTCTTGTTGCAAGTATTACATATGTGAGATATGAAAGTCGTAACCCTTACCGTTCAAAAGTTATGGCCAAGATTAAGGGTTTTAAAAAGAAGGTCAAACTCCAAGGTTAAGGTCAAAGTGTCAAAGATCTTGAAATCAAGTCAAAGGCCTTCTCACAAGGATTACATACGTGAAGTATGAAAGCCCTAGCCCTTACCGTTCAAAAGAAATGGTAAAGGTTAAAGTTTTTCCATAAGTACAGAAATCTCAGAAGGTCAAGGTCAAGAGGTCAAAGTTTTTGGTATCCTTTGAAAGGTCTAGCCACAAGGATTACACATGTGAAGCACCCTGCAGGAGAGTCTTTCACAAACTTACGAAAAAACTTTTATATTTCACATATGTATTTTTTGTGGCAAGACCTTTCATTGGATACCAACAACTTTGACCTTGACCTTGGAAATTTCCGTACTTATGAAAAAACTTTAGCCTTGATCATAACTTTTGAACGGTAAGGGCTAGGGCTTCCATTGGATACCAAGAACTTTGACCCTTTGACCTTGATCTTGGAGTTTGACCTACTTTTCAAAAACTTTGATCTTGGTCACTACTTTTGAACGGTAGATACTAGGACTTTCATATTCCACATGTGTATTTTTTGTGGCAAGACCTTTCATTGGATACCAATACCTTTGACCTTTTGACCTTGACCTTGGAGATTTCCGTACTTATGAAAAAACTTTAACCTTGACCATGACTTTTGAATGGTAAGGACTGGGGCTTTTATACTTCACATATGTAATCCTTGTGAGAAGACCTTTCATTGGATACCAGGAACTTTGACCCTTTGACCTTCACCTTGGAGATTGACCTATTTTTCAAAAACTTTTACCTTGGTCATAACTATTGAACTGTTCGGGTTAGGGTTTTCATCCTTCACATGCTGTAAATGTTACCTATATGTTAAAAATATCTTTTTTGAACCCTCACCATAACTTTTGAACCATGAGAGATAGAGATTTCATATTTGGTATGCAAACTCCACTAATCAAGTTCTTTCAGATGACATCAAGGTCAATGACCTTGTGACCTTGACTGTGACCTATTTCCTAAAATAGCTTTCTCGAACTTTGTTGCCGCCGAGCGCATAGTGTTTCACAAACACATCTTGTCTTGTTATTAAATGAAAAATAAGTAACATCAGGTTCCTGTGCTTTTAAGTCATCATTTCGTAAGTTCTGTGGTCTATACAATGACCTTGTCAGTAAGTACAATTTATCATAATTCATGAAGTCAATATATGTTGACTGACGTTTTTCTGATTGGTAGTCCATTATTGTCCCCCGCTTGAAAAGTGGGGGATATTAATTTGGGTTTGTCCGTCCGTCCGTCCGTTCGTCTTACTCTCTGTCTGTAACGCTTTCGTTTCCACACGATATCTCGAGAACCCTTTGAGCTTTTGCAATGAAATTTAGCATAGCAACTCCCTATGGACTAAAGAAGACCCCTATTGATTTTGAGGTCAAAAGGTCAAAGGTCAAGGTCATAAATAAGCAAATTCTGTCTGTTAAAAAAGTTTCGTTTCCACACGATATCTCTAGAACCATTTGAGCTATCGCAATGGAATTTTACATAACAACACCCTGTGGCCTAAAGAAGACCCCTATTGATTTTGAGGTCAAAAGGTCAAAGTTCAAGGTCGTAAATTTATACATTCTGTCTGTGTGTAACACTATCATTTCCGGGCGATATTTCAAGAAGATTTTGAGCTTATGCAATGTAATTTTATACCAAAACTCCCTAGGACGTCTCTCGCCCCTCTCAAAGTGCCCCGCCCCGTTTGTTTTATTAGTATTTATAGTATTACATGTCGCTATTTTTAGCGCAGGGGCATGAGGAGAGTTATTGCGTATAAAACAGGTTCTCGGCGGACTTTATGTTCTTATTACATCTATTATAACTGTTTAATAAAGGCTAAATAAATCAAACACCATGGATTGTGTAAAATTTTGAGAATACCGAACATGAAAACATGAATATATACATGTATGTGACTTCAGTTCTGCATATACTTCACTCCGTGTAAAGCGACGCCATGTAAAGCAACTCCGTGGTCTAACGTCACAGTACCCATTATTGCCGAAAAATACCACATTTTTGTTTGTCACATCCAAAATATAAGTTTATTTGAAATAATTTCTATATGTATCTCTGCAATGTTCATTCAATTAACATGAGATATATTTTTCATTTGAAACAAGTCCATCTCGACTTACTTTTGGGCTAAAAATAAACCCCGTCCATGGCCTTCGATAAACAGGAAGTAGAGTACCCATTATTGCCGCTTATATCTTTTCCTCGTAATTCGCCAACTAATCGCAAATTAAACCAATTATTTTTAAATTCATGACACGCACGTTAGTGGTTATGTCTCTCGCTTCAAATGTGAGAGGTCCCGGGATCGAATCTCGGTCGAACCTTTTTTTTTTTTTTTGAATACTTTTTTTTTTTACTAAAATGATAGTATTCAGCATGTGAAATGAAAAATTTATGAGGTTATAAAATCATCATTACAGTGTGATAAATATTCCATATAAAAAAATCTTCTATACACATAATAAAGAATAAGCAATCAAATCTTTATATGCATATTGACATACATGTATTTTATTTCCTTCAGTATTCATGTATACATTTAATAATTCTACAAATTCAGTCAGGGGGAGCCGACTTTTTCCCTAAGCGGGGGACACGAATTCTCTGAATTAGCTTGTTTATACACTGAATTGACGGCGGATATTCCGGTATTTCCCTATCATGACAAGGAGCACAAGGCGGGTGTGACAGATCGGTAGGGGATGCTCATTCCTCCATGGCACCTGATCCCAGCTCTGATGTTTTGGAGGTCCTTGTTTGCTCTGCTCCAATTTTGTATTGTTTTATGGGATTTTGAGCATGAATACTGTTCGTTACATATCTCCGTATATTTCTTTCAAATCACCAGATAAATCAAATTAAACTGAAATCCGAAATACCACGTACAGCACTAATCGCAAAGTCTGCTTAGCAGGGTTCTTATTTAATCATTCTCACAGTAAATGTACACATGTCACTTACCTTGAATATTTGATACATGGGTTGATGAAAAAATAGTTATGTTGTGGATAGCAAAGATAAAAAAATAGGACAAAGAGATGAAAGTTATTTTTGTTAATGCCAGTCATTTACGCAAATAAATAATGAATTCATGGGAGGGGGGTGTATAATTTATGAACTATACTTGGATCATTGAAAATAGCAAATAAGGAATCCGTTTAAAATCGTTAAGAACAAGTGTTTTTTTTTCGCGTTGACTTCTTCAAAAGAAGTACATATGTACATTATTGTATAATCAAGAACCGAGTTCAAACACTGTATATACGCGTATAAGAATGACATTAATTTTATATGCATGATGAAGTATGGGTATTTTCCTTCCTCAGAGAGAGAGAGAGAGAGAGAGAGATGTCTCCCAATATATAATATACCAGGGTAATTGTAAACCCAGAATGGCCTAGATATGGAGAACCATGGGCGAAGGTATGGAAAAGGGGGAGGGGGTTTATAAATTAACAATAATTGTTTGGGTTTCTCATGTCAGAATAGCAGTTACATTGTGAGACATCTGAAAAATCATAATTATACATGTATAAACCTGCATCTAAGGTGTACCTTGAGGGAAAAAATGTATCTTAATGTAATTATAGTTTAAAAAAAAAAATGCACGGGAAGAATGTAAGTGATTCTGCAAACTTACCTTTTCCAAAGAACATTACTATAAGTGTAGTAGGCACATAACAAGGAGATTGAATCATTCAGGTAGATTCAGTCCAATAAAATAATGTGTACCTACACATAATCAAAGTTCACAGATTACATAGCTAGCTTCCACTTATCATGATATGGTTTCATATCATGTATGACACATTCTTTATAAATAACTGAAATGTGTTTGTATTCAATTACTTATGTCATTTACTTATTCATTTGCTACTCATTTTCTACTTATCTACGTGACAAAATATATCCAAAAGGGGGGCGTCAGCCATACCGGTATATAGTTAGTGCATAGTTTGCAAGCGAGGTGGATCTAGGTTTTCTTGTTAATTAGAAAACTGGGGACGTATATCGAGTTTGAGAATAAATTGATGAGAAAATAAGAAGAAGGGTTGTGGGATTCGACGTCATGTAACAATGTAATAAACGTTAAAAAAAAAACCCTACCCCATCCTAACCCCAAATCCCGGTTCTATACATATCGAAAAGGTTTCACGTTTCTTCTTTTTTTCTACACTTCAAACATTTTAATAGTTTCTAAACAACTTTAAATTGATTCTTCCGTGAATGAATTACATTTTTAGCTCACCTGAGCCGAAGGCTCAAGTGAGCTTTTCTGATCACATTTTGTCCGGCGTCCGTCCGTCCGTCTAGCTGTCCGTCTGTCTGTCTAAACGTAAACTTTTCACATTTTACTTCTTCTGAAGAAGTTGGCCAATTTCAACCAAACTTGCCACAAAGCATCCTTGGGTGAAAAAAGTTTATTCAAATGAAGGGCCACGCCCTCATTCAAGGGGAGATAATTGAGAATTAGTGAAAATTTGGTGGTATGATTTGAAAATCTTCTTCTCAAGAACCACTGTGCCAGGAAAGATGAAACGTATGGGGAAACATCCTCAGGTAGTGTAGATTCAAATCTGTTCAAATCATGTCCCCCGGGGGTAGGGCGGAGCCACAATGGCCGACCAAAGTTTTTCATAGAAATATATAGGAAAATTCTTTAAAAATCTTCTTCTCAAGAATGACAAAGCCATAATTTCACATTTATAAGAAGCATGCTCAGGTAGTGTAGATTCAAGTTTCTTCAAATCATGACCCCCAGGGGTTGGGCGGGGCCAAAATGGCCGACCAAAGTTTTACATAGAAATATATAGGAAAATTCTTTTAAACATCTTCTTCTCAAGAATGACAAAGCCATAATTCATCATATTTATATGGAAGCATGCTCAGGTAGTGTAGATTCAAATTTGTTCAAATCATGACCCCACGGGGTAGGGCGGGGCCAAAATGACCGACCAAAGTTTTTAAAGATATATATAGGAAAATTTTTTAAAAATCATTTTCTAAAAAATAGCAAATCCATGATTAGTCATGGGACTACTTTGGGATGTAAACTTTACAATAAAAAGCCATTTTCTACCTTTTCCTACCCTTAGTGCTCATGTGAGCGATGTGGCCCATGGGCCTCTTGTTATCTTAAAATGCTACAAAATTTATGGCAGGACGTTGATGAATTATAGTGACTGACATAGACCCTACACGTTCTATAACGCGTTGGGTTAAAGGTAAGAGGTAGCCAGGAAATTATTTTTGAAAAGTTGTCTAAAAAAGATAAGGAGACCAAACAATTTAAAAAATAAATACATTACCGTCCAAACCAACAAAATTTTAAGGGACTGTGGATGGGCAGAGGTCCTCTCTCTTTTCGACCCCCCCCCCTCCCACCCCCCACCCCCCCCCCCCAAAAAAGAGACACGGAATGTGACATTAATTAAGATCAAAAGACTCTTCTTGGAACAAAAGTTGGGGATATTTTTTCCCTGAAAGAAACGGAGCAGTCCTTTCTGTGCCCCGACACTAACCTTTTTAAAAAACTCATACTCTACAGTCTCTTGAAAGGTGTTACGTAACATTTCAATGACTGGCACTGATATGTTTTTTTGTTGTTTGTTTGTTGTTGTTTTTTTTCTCTCTTCTTTTTTGAATGATTGTACTAGTAGCTTTCTTAAATGCAACTCAAACTCGTAAGTCAAAAGATAAACCATAACAGTATCTACAGAAAGGACTTGTCACAAGGAATTAGACAACCTTAGCACCAATCATTCTAAAGTTCAAGGTTTTAAATTGGGTCAATTTCCAAGGTCATTGTCTAATTGTAAAAATAATGGTGTCAATGGAAGGTATTGTCAAAAGAAACGCAAATATAAAATACGAAAACCCTAGCACTAACTGTTCAAAAGGTACGACAAAAGTGATGAAAAGCATTATATTGATATTAAAGTTCTTCAAAAATAGGTCAAATTTCAAGGTCAACTTGGTCAAAATTATTGGTACAAAAGAGAAGGTCTTTTCACAAGAGACATATGTGTAACATAAAATTATGAATCAAAAACCAAGGCGCTAATCATTCAAAAGTTATAGTCAAAAATTGAAAGTTGTTAAAAACTAGCCTATAGTCAAGGTCAAATTGTTAGCATATTTGATACCTAAGAGGTGTTCTTGCAACAAAAAATACACATGTGGAATAAGACAATCATAGTACAAACTGTTCAAAAGTTATTGCCAAGGTTAAAAAAGTTTTTTTTTAATTGTTGAATTCCAGGATCAGGGTCAAGGGTAAAAATATTTGATTGACAATATCTATGTTGTTTTTGGAGACCAGTTCTTCCAACAATCTATAGGAATCATAGGCGTCAAAACCGGGGGGGGTTAGGGGGGGCTTACTCCTTCCCCCCCCTTTTTTTTGCAAGGATGTGCATAATATAGGCATGGAAAATTGGGTTTGTCTATTTTTTGTTGCTTTAGCCCCCCCCCCCTTTTTTAATTAGCCCCCCCCCATCCCACTTTCAATTTGCTTCCGATGCTTACGGGAATTCTCAAAGATACTAATTTCGCTCCGTTATTAGCAGATCTATTTTTGTATTCAAATGAAGCAGATTTTGTCTAAAATCTTATGCGCGAAAAACAGAAAACACGTGCCGTGGCCTTCAACTCGACATTAAGTTATATCGACGACGTACTGTCACATGTGTCAATTTACAATGGTAATTTCTATTCTTATGTGGATATATCCCAGTGAACTTGAGATAAAGATACCACAGATTCTGACACGTGCATCTGTTTCATATTTGGATATATTACTTGAAAAATATGTTGATGGCAATCTAACAAGCTACTAGAACATATATATGATAAATGTGATGACTTGAACTTTTCAATAATCAACTTCCCTTACTTATGCATCGATATACCTTCATCACCTGCATACGGAGTTTATATCTCTCAGTTGATTCGATACGTGAGAGTATGATCTACGTATGCATAGGAGTCGGAAACGGGAGGGGGGGGGGGGGGCAATGGTAGACATAATATAGACATTGAGATTGGGGCGTAGGTTTAGCCCCGCACCCCCACTTTCAACAGGTACGTTGCAGTTTAGTCAAAGAATGGTAAATGGTAGTGTTTGGGGTTAAAATTGGTACAGAAACCCCCAACCCCAACCTTCCACGGAAATAAGATTTTCAGAATTTAACAATGGTCAAATATTTCTTTTCTTTTTTTTTCTTTGCAAGTTTTTTTCTGGTTTGATTTTTTCCTCTTTGAATTACCCCCCTCCCCTCCAATTTGCTTCCGATGCCATTTGTTTGTACAATTTCTAAATGAGGTCAATTATTGACAAACAAGTTGATGAAACAAAAATATCAACAGTCTCGTTAAATTCATCAATGTTTCGTAAGTTGTATGGTCGATACAACGATACAACGATCTTGTCAGCAAATAAAATTTATCATTGTATCAAATGCTGACTGACGTTTTCATACTAATTGTTAGTCCATTATATACATACTGAATTGACGACAGATTTTCCCTTATTTCCCGATCATGACGAGGAGCACACGGTGGGTGTGACCAGTCGACAGGGGATGCTGACTCATCCATGGTACCTGATCCCACCTCTGATGTTTTGGAGGTTCTTGTTTGCTCTGCTACAATTTTGTTTTGATGTACGGACTTTTGAGCTTAAATACTGTTCATTATCTCATATATTTCATTGTATAGAAGGAGTCTTAAGTACCAAAAATATCAAGTTTAAGCATGAAAACCCTGGCGCCAACCGTTCAAAAATTATGATCATGTTCAAAATTTAGTAAAAATTTGCAATACTGGGTCAAACTGCAAGGTCAATGTCACGATGTCTTAAATCTTGGTACACAAAGAAAGATCTTGTTGCAAGAAACATACTCATGATAAATTAAATCCATTACTCTAACCAACCAAAAGTTTTTCTTTGCAAAGCTTAAGTTTTTGCGGACAGATAGACAGACGGACGGACATGGCAAAAACTATATGTCCGCGAATCTTCGATTACGGGGGCTTAAAAAGTTACAAACTGAATGTATGATGTCTTTATTATTGTGTAGTGCATGCGTTATAAAAAAGTGATTTCATCAATATTCCCTTATACAATTTTATAGTTGCACTCATCTTTTGAAATAGAATTTTGTGCCAGTCTGTAGTAACCTGGACCTTCAGGATATTGTCGTAAAATATTAAGATTATTTATATGGTTATTTTCTTGCAATTTTTGATGATTATACTTTTTTTTTGCTTAATTTATTCAAATAAAAAGTATATCTACTCTTTGTGAGCTATTTTTCCCCCTTTATGTGTATATTTTGATAGCCAACTTTGGACATTACGATAAACAAATACGACCCGATTGCGGATCAGGAAAGAAAACAAAGAGGATAACATACTCTGATACTCATTACTTGTAAAGATTCGATAGTTTACTTGTGAATGGAACGGTGATGTGTTTGTATTTCAGTGTAAAATGAAACGATGAACGCTCGAACACAAATGCTCGAACTGGTGAGTAGCATGAAGTTATTGAATTCTCTTCCGTTTTTGGCGTAATTTTAGTTCGAAAATGCTCTGCTTTTTGTATCCATACAATATGTGAATGTTGTGTTTTATGAATTAGCTCAATTATCAATGTCTGCAATGAATTTGAAGAGGTTTCTACAGAATTTTAGATTTCAAACCTAATAGTCTGATAGATTTATGAAAATATATGGGAACTCCTCCTCCTAGACCAGCTGTAAGCAAATCCTGGTATTTCTAGGGTCCCTGTTTTACAGCATATTCACAGATTCGTATTCGTTATGTTTCTCAGATCAATCACTGTTTAATTTCTATCTACATCTCTTTTTATATTACAGTCGGTAGAAGGTCGTCAGATTGAAGAGACAGTCAGTGGTGAGTAAAAGGGTTTGTGGTGGATGTAGCTAATTCTTGTTTTTATTATCCCAATGCCAATGAACACAAATTTGTACATATATAATCTCTGTGTCTTTTTTTTTTTCTCTGTCACTCGCTATTCCATTTTTCACATTTTAACAATATCTGAATGTGATGGGGATCAACTGTAGTCTGTAACTATTACATACATGTATATTTCTTCTCTTTTTAACAGGATTTCAACCAATAATAAAATCCATTTATATCAGCAATTTTTTATATGGTTGATGTTATTTTTTCAGGTATATTTCATACGTTGTTGCTTCATCGAACTGTTGGAAAGGTAATCTGATAAATATTCTATCATGTAAATGATGTCAAATTATCAGTATTTTTTTCAGTTTGCTGGTATATTAATAATAAATTAAAGCTGTATTATTTATGCTTGTGTTATCAAAGATTCATTTTTTTTAATTAAAGTTCCATTACAAACAAGAGGGAACTTATTCTATAGGGACGGTTGGGATACAGGATGTAGACTGTGACTTTGTAGATTTTACTTATGTAAGTACATTATGTTTTACCCTGAGTAAAAAAAAAAAAATGATTTTTGAGGTTTACGGTTTTGGTTTTATCAGCACTCCATATTTTTATTTTTTCAAAAGAATTAGAATAAGTGTCAGTTTCAGACCTACTAATTAAAATGCTCTATTTTGATGCTAAACAGTTTACTATTCAATTTATATGCATTGATATTCATAAATGTGGCACTGAAAATTCTAAACAAATTTACGAACTGTCACTTTGTACACTTATTTTGCAGGTGAGAGTGGCATCTCATGGTTTAGATCAGACCATTAAGAAAGACATTGCTTTATTCAGGGACACACTACGCAGCACAGATAATCCTGGATCAGGACAAGTATATAGTTTTTTGCTCCTTGAATAATAAAACACTGCATTCTAAAACAACAGTGTTAAACACATAAAGGCATAAAGTATCTGTTCTTAAACAAAACATGCACATTGAAACAAAAGATTAAAGTTATTGTAATTATTGATGCCTTTTAAGGAAAAAGATTGAGAAATATTATTGGACAGGAATGATTGCATCAATGATTAACCATGTCATCCACAATGGCACAATATCTTGCAATATCTAGAAGTAGTACACTGTTCCTGTACATGTTGATCATCTTTTTTCTGATTAATAGATTTCCTTGGAGTTCTACCAGAAGAAGAGAGCCCGGTGGCCATTTCCTGCCGAGTGCATCCCCTGGGAAGTCTGGACTGTAAAACTGGACATTTTAACTCTTAATAATGAAAATGGTAAGATGGAGTTTTTGTAAAGGGATGCATGAGAATGCTAGATTTATATTTGTATAAATCATTTTTAATAGAGGTGTTGTAAAATTTCACAATATTTAAAAGTTTCATAAAAAGATTTCTGACCACATATTTTCGGAATATTTTACATAAATATAAAGATCTTTTAATGAAAAAAATATTTTGTAGAGAGGCAAATTTGCAGGGAAAAACTAGGAGAAATGTTAGGAGAGAAGGTCATGAATATTGCAGACCTAATGAATCGCCATGAATACGTTCCCAAGATGCCAAACCAAGCAGAACTAGATTTGGTATTCGACACAAGTATCTCAGATGTACAACCTTACTTATTCAGGGTAGGTTTAAGAAACATAAAGTACTTTGAGTCATGTTTCCTGGCTTCTCTTATAGTAACACGAATATTCAAAATAAAAACCAGATGTATTTCTTTGAATTTATTATAATAAGAGATTCTGATTGAAAATCGATTGCAACTGAAATCAGATGTGCAGCTAATGCCCCTTAGATACTGTTGTACCAAATGCTAATTCATTATTACATCATCATTTTTTCCTAGTTGTTTTCTTTCCCAGTCAGACATTACCTTGTCTTTTGTAGATATCCCACCAGACCACCGGTCCATCTCAGTCCTCTGTTGGAACGACAATGAGGAAATTCATCAAGGATACATTGGCTTTATGATGCTATGTCTGGGTCCCCTCATCAAGGCTCACAGCTAGTGACTTTTAGCAAGACCTATATAAGCCAGCTTCTCTTCAACAAGTGTCTTTCACATGGAATATGTGTATGGAGTGAATTATTGTAATTATAGAATTGTGTGAATGGGATATGAGCGATATATAGTTTATTGTGTGTGTCATGTGTATGTCATAATTTTGATTAAAAAGGGAGATACGTGTGCAAGTTTGCTTTAAAATTTTCAGAGATTTTTGTTATATGGTTAATAAACTCATTTGTTTATATTTCATGAAAAATCTTCTTTAATTTCATTATAAATGTTTTTTAATGATGAAATCTGCATTGAAAAGTTGTGAAAGTAAAAAATATTAAGAATATAAAATTAATATGAAATCAAGGTCAAATTGGCATTATTTTTAATGACCGCAATATCAGCTCACCTGAGGTAAAAGCTGATCCATTTTGTCCATTTCTTACTCATATACAGAACAATTTCAATTTCTTTTCAAGAACAACTGATCCAATTTCAACCAAACTTTCCACAAAGCATACACGGGTAAAGGGTACTAGTATTCAAGTTTATTCAAATAAAGGGCCGTCTTTTCTTTCAAGGGGAGATACTGTAGAAGTACTTTTTTCCACGTGGTATTAATTCACGCTATGTACGCGGTCTCAAATTTTCCGCGGAAATTTGTCCAAGCTTACTTAATATTTTAATATAAATGTAAGTCATATAGTGACAGTCTAGGAAATCCGCGTAATTTTCTTGGCCACAGAAATTGAGATTCCAAATTTTTACACAGTAATTATATGATTAGTCAGATGAAGTAGCATCCTCAGGTAGATTGAAATTTGTTCAGTATTATAAAAGGGTTTGGCCACAATATATGATCAAATTTTTACATAAGAATATATATTACAAAGAAAATTTTCCTAAGATAGAATAAAGTTATTACCCTTAGGGGTAGAGTGTGTCAACTTTGATTATTGGGAACAGCAGGGCTATGGTGACAGTTGAGCATTTTGGTCCATATGCTTCTTTTTAGTTGTGTATTTTTAATGCATCATGATTTTAAACATCACACCCAGAACTCATTCTGATGTTTGTCTTGGTATAAAGTTGACTACTTATACATGTATAAAATCAACAATTTGCAGGTGATTAATTACCGGGTAATATTTTTGTACATGTACTTTGCCAGTGTTATAATGAAATTTTCTCATACACGTAAGTGTCAATCATTAATTGACAGAAGATATTTGAATATTGGTAAAGCTAGCACATATATTATATACCGGTATTCATTTATATGTATGTTGTGTATTTTTCCACGTGAAATATCGAGGACATTATCACAATAAATTTTTTGTAACACTTAATTCTTTTCATGATTCTTGCATGCAAAAAAAGAAGAAACTTGACCATTTGTTTGGTATTTGTTAAATCATGAAAAAGTAGAAATTGTCTTGGACTCTCATAAATTATATGTACATGTACTTTTTAAATTTCTTGGCAATGGTATCTTCTTTTCTTTTTATTATATGGAGGACTATGTAGACTCTTGCCTAAGAAAAGTTGGACTCCATTATGTTTTTCAAAACCAAAGATTTTGATACCTTGGAGTTAGAATTCTTCAATGCATTTAGGTATTGTAGTTGCATGGAACCTAATTACTAAGTGAACAAATTGGTATCAGATGAGGTTTTTCTAAATAAGCATCTTTCTTTGTCAAACTCTGGTATATCCTCTTTTTCTTTAAAATAGACTTTTGCCGTACAGATAAATTAAGCCTGTGGATCATAAATCCAAAGCTGTTTGTGCATTTCCTCCTTTTGAAGTTCTTAAAAAGACCAGGAGAGGTTGTGCAATAATAAGGTGTCTTTTGTCTGTCTGTCCATCTGTCTGTCTGTAAAACAAAAAATGCTACTTGATCATACAGTTTTGGACTGATTTCAGTATAATTTGACACACAAGTAGATAGCCTGGTCAGTAGACTACATTAAGATATATAATTCTGTGTTGCCATGGCTATTAATAAGAAAATTCTTTGAAATATTTTTAAAATTCTACTCCTCCTACAGTCTTGGTCTGATTTCAATAAATCTTGCCAAGAAAATGACTAGAAATGCAGGTAAACTCATTTATTTTACTTATATCAGCATGACCTTAATTGTTATTTTCATGGTTTTTAAAAAAAAAAAGTGTGTTAAAATCAAGTAAAAGTTTGGCAAAATCAATATTTAAACTGCCCACAAGCAACAAGCTAATTATTATTGAAAATACTTTATGGAACTGGACTTTTGGACGGCACCTGTATATAAATATCGTAATTATATTAACCAATCAAATTACAATATGCCATTCGGCCCTTGTTTGAAGGAAAAAAAGTACAAGGAAGGGAAAAGTTGGAAACTTTTGAAAATTGTGTCAGTGACTCAATTGATACAGGAAACGAGCGAGGAAGGAGATACAACACATGTATTAGGCAAGTACGATTACAGGGTAATCTTAGTATTACACACGCTTGTTTAACGAATTAGCAAATTAATGGTCAATCTGTATTGTCTTTCTTACACTGCAAATCACACTGAATGACTGACGGGCAATAATAATTTAATATTTATTACAACCAGAAACTGCTCTTACAATATATTTTAATATTATCTTTTCTAACAACAACAATAAAAAAGAAAAGACTGTAAAACTTCATAGTTTAAAAACCATTTTCAACCAAAAAAAACCCCATGAATTATTGCAAGGGATAATCCAGAACTGTTTTTTGACTTTATAATTATATTGTCACGCATGCACTTACAATCTTAGCACACAAAACATGTGGGAGTTTGTCATCATGGAAATATTTCTTACAGGCTAAATAAAATTTAGGCACTTCCCGGGGTTTAAATTGGAATGCCAAGTTGTTTAGTTTTAAAGCGAGACAGTTGACACCTTGGCATAATCAAAATATTGTAGGACAGATGATATTTTTGTAAGATCAATGTTTATCTGAAAGGAGTTGTGTGATTTCATAGACCGAATTTTAATACATGTATCTGCATTACTTAAAAAAAGTACATATGTAACTATTGTCTGATAATGTTGATTGATAATTAATTAAATTGTTGTAGCTTTCTTTGTAAAACTTAGAATGGACATATATTTTATTGACAAAAAGTCAAAAGGATCAGAACTTGAGATCTCCAGATGAATCATTTTCTTTCCCCTACATGAGTAGGTAGCTATAAAAAAAAGAGTTATCATGAGTAATGCAGGTCAGCTCATACACAATAGAAAATCATACTGGTGTGCAACACCTGTCAGGTGTAATCAGTATTTGAGATAAGATCTATTTATCACTTTTACTGCAGCATGAACAGATATAAGATAGTATTGTGTATTGATATATTGATATTTTATATATTTCATTACATACATCTGTATATAGACCTGAATATTTTAACATTTCCGAAAATTTCAAGAAACTTATAGTTTGAACAGAAAAAAATCCTGACTATACTAGGTTTGTTCCAGCTCCCTGTAAATCCAGAATTGAAATATTTCAAATTAAAGAAGAAGGGGGTCTGTGATTCCTGCAATAACAGGGTGCTAAGGGGCATACCAGAGGGACAATGTCATTAAAGGTGGGAAACTTCACAGGCCCACAGGTCTTAGGAACAAACTAGCTAGCCCAAAAATTTGCTATAGTATGACTTGACCCAATACTTGGTCTCAGAGGCCTGAACAGAGGCCCCCTCCTCTTAACCAACACATATCTCTTCACCTTCACAGAGACAAAAGTAGTAGAAATCAGCAGTGTATATGTAAATGTAAATGCTAAATATAAGACTTTCAAAATAAAAGATACATTGGTAGCAAGGTCACAATGCTTGCAGATTTCACAAAAGAGTTGGAGGAGATATAGAAATGCAATCATGTGTTTGTTTGTGGGTGAGTAACATAATTTGCAATGGGATTTATGTGACATTGTCAAATGCTGTTTTGATTTATACATGTACTCTTTGAGAGGGGATTCTTTGTCTTGCGGTGCCCTTGATGTTTTAGGTCCTATTGAAATGTGCCTCTGTATACTATGGACTGTCTCTGCAGACATTTTAGAGTAATTCAAAACAGTACCAAAATAGTTATGGTTTGCAGTAGTAGTCAATGGATATAGCCAGTTTGTGTTGTGATGTTACAAAATTATAATGATTTTGTCTTATTGAACATTTTTACATGAATATACTGCATGTAATTTTGAATAAATTTTCACTCCAAGAAAAACCATTTTCAAAACATGAACAACTACTCATTCAATGCAGTACGTTACTTTTCTGAATATGTTGAATCAAGGCAACCATTTTTCAACATGTTCATAGGAGAAACTGGTGGCATCATAACAAGTATCTTCACAAATCCAGTATGACAAGCTTGAGAAAGTCTGCATTCTAGAAATACGGCAGCTGTCAGAAATGACTGTGATGTGCTGTATACTAAGTGTATACTGAGACCCTTAAACAAGATTTAACAGAAAAGAACAAGAGCATCTCTGAGATTTACAAACGTATTATTTTTTTTGTGTAAATACGGTAAATGTTTTTTTTTTACAATAAGTGTTAACTTTTAAATATTTTAAGTAACAATGGTGCGGCAGGCAATACTTGGAAACTTCCATTTCTAGTGAGAACTTGACGTGACTGTATTGTAGGCATCAGATCCAGATAGAGATACAATCTTGATTGTTATCAAAGTTATTTTTCTTACAAAATGAGTGAATTTGTATTTTGTAAGCTATTGGACTATTTGAGGTGTTAAGATTACAGTTTACTAATGCAGGATAGAGAGTAGTTAGTTAAGATTGTATTGCTAAAGCAGTGTGGAACAACATGGACATTGTTATAATGTTTAAAAATAAACATGTAATGAAGGTCCTTAAAGAAATATTTAAATCGAGAGTTAAGCTTTTATATGTATTGATATGCTAAGTATATATCAGAGAAGGAAGTACTTATAGATCTATATGTGATAAGAATAGCTGTTGAAATGAATTGATAAATTTCCTTGTTGCCCATTTTGGTTTTTGAGAGAGGACAGTGGTCTCGGAGCACTAGCATTCAATACACTCATGACATAAATTTGATAAGAGATGGCTGAGTAACTATGTAACATGTAAAAAAGATTTATTTGAAGAACTGAAACTAAACTTAATTAATTATGGTACCGAAAAAAATGTAACGGAAAGGAAGAAAATGTATGGTTGGCCTGGAAATCAAACCCAGGACCCCTATAGCACTAGACGGGTGCTCTACTGACTGAGCTATCCAGGCCAATATCCATGGCCCAAACCATTACATTCCTCCCTCCATAAATGGTCTTTGCCCTCAAAGACACAACCTAAGTTCTTATTAGCCCTTGACAGAACTTTCACTTGCAGTTCCAGGGGTGCTCAAGTACACCAAATTTGTAACAGGAGGGGAGATTGCCTGGATCGGGAATCGAACCTGGAACCCCTGCATCACGAGTCAGGTGCTCTACCAACTGAATTATCCAGGCCGATATCCACCTCCCAAACTACCCCGGTATTAATAAAAAAAAAAAGACTTTTACTGGAATTGAATATTAATATAGTACATTTACCATATTTGAATAAGAGTACTGGTAATCTGATCTTGGATAATTAATTCCAAACATGGTACACGTTCATCAGCTGTTCATGTAATGACAAGAATATCATGTATGCAACATATTCTTGAGTTACTAAACTATACTTTCAAGTCTCATTTTTAGCTCACCTGACCTTTTCTGATGAATTATGAAAATTATATTTCACTATCGTGATTAATATGTAATAAAGTGTGCATTTTTACTATTAATTTTTCATAAATGTTTAGATTTTGGAAGTATATTTTTATTCACCTAAGTACAATTCTCACATCCCACACTCTTTTGAACTACGAAGGTATTTTATTTTAAATTTAATTTAAGATGTGCATAAAAAAATCATTGTGTGTAGCAGTCAATCATAAGATCAAGAAATACATGTACCCCTTACAAACAACAAGACTTACATCCCTTTTGTCAACTACCGTATGATTCAATTTTCAGTGGGAGATCTATGTTTTGTTTATTGCGGTACAATGAGAGCTAGATAATTTTTCCTTAGACATTGTTATGTGTGACAGCTAAGCCGTCTTGTTAAAGTTAAACAAAGATTAGAAGTATAATTTCCTAGTTGAGGCCATGTAAAGTTGCAAACAGTTTTTCTGAGTGATGAATAAAATTAGAGGTATTTATGATATATATTAATTTAGAAAGTGATAGTTCCTTTAAAAGAAGTAGATTTAAAGTTTCCTTAATAGATATATCATAAAATATTTTTAAAATACATGTACATATTTCACAGTGTTTAAAATCATGAAAATACAAATGTTAATAAGTGTCCTCTTTAGAATGATGGAAAAAATGGGAAATATATAGATTTTATTGTTTTTGATTTTCAAAAACATATGATAAATTAATGCAGAGTTTTGAGGGAAATGTTTATGATATGTTCTCACACCAATTGTTTAACAGGAAATATATTGTCCATTTGGAATTAAGAGTGGTTGTCTATAAACAATGTGCAAAGTTTCGATGAGGACCTCAGACAGTCATTATCGTTGTGTCCCTTTAGGGCATGGTCCAACACGCAGTGGTTGTGACCTCTGATACTATATTTACAAGTCTATTGTGTACGTTCAAGCTGACTTACTCGATACAAATTATTGTTTTTCTTTCTCACATGCTATGAAGTATAGGAAGTGAAGGAGTGTGAATATATGAGTAAGAGACACTGATATTGGAAGTAAGACTTATGAATGTTTTTCTCTGTTTTCAGAAATACTTATCCGGTATGAGTAATGGACCTGGGTCGAACCTTGGAGGAATGGCTGAGCAACTTAGATCTAGGTCAGTACCTGCCAAATTTCCAGGCTGCAGGAATCACAGAAATTTCCCATCTGTTTGCGTTAGATGACGGCTTTTTGACTGATGTTGGTGTATCTCTTCTGGGTCATCGTAAGAGGATCCTTGAGCACCTTCCATCTGTTTCAGGAAGTTCAGCTGGTGAGGAGGATTATGTAAACTGTCCTTCTCCACTGGGCTTAGGTCCTCAGGTGGATGATATTTATGCCAACATTCCACAGAATGTAACAGAGATAGAGAGACGACCATCTGTGCCAAAGACTTTAGAGCCAAAACCAAGTAAATCATATTCATTTAATAAGAAAAAACCTGTTCCAAGACCAAGAGTTTCAAAGACAGCACGGTCCAGCCTTGGGGGTACACAACACAGCCCTAGTGTGACCCCAGATGATAACCTTCCTCCCAGTTATGACACTGTGTTACAGAATCCCCAGGGCTCCATCTCTCTGGGAGGTATCACCAATGAGGAGTCCTCCACTGATGACACAGACATAGACAGAAGTCCATCTACCGCGTGGCAAAATGTGGCTCATGAGGTTCAACATGACTTTTCTGATAATTTTGCTGATTTTGACTTGGGGAAGGTGAATAATGTACAAGGGGTGACTTCTTCTCAGAATGAATTGTTTATGTTAAATCATCTAAGTGGAATACAGAAACAAAATCAGTCTTCTCCTGGAAATTACGCAGAGTTTGCCCAATTTGAAAATGCAGGGAACAGGTCGTCAGAAACATATGAACCAATATGGATGTCAAAGCCAGACACAGAAAGTTCAGGACTGGCAGGAAAGACTGCTCAAGGTTTGTCACCACCTGCTGTACCTGCTGTTTCCACCCCTGAAGCACCACCTCCCTGCAGGGCTTATTTCCCATTTGAAGGAAATGTAAATGAGAGCTTTGGTAGTGCTAGCACTTATCCAAGTGTCAGTCCTGTAAGAAAAGATTTTCAGTTTGAGGAGGACGTTGTGTATTCCAATACAGACACTCTTAAAGAGCCAGATAAAGGACCATCTAACAGATCAGTAACATCATCTGGTGAAATTGGAGATGAAAATGGTAAAAAAGATTTGAATGACTCCACAGAGAGTGATGGAATGAACTCATCATTTGATTTACCTCCCCCTGAATTTGCCCCTCCACCCCTCCCAGATTCAGGATCCACCACTGCAAACCTCTCTTTATTATCGGAGTTTGACCCTTTAAGTGTTCCAGTCTTTCCCCCAGTACCACCACGTGTCACGGCTAATTCCCAGAGTCCTTCACATGGATATATTAACATTGATTCTGAAGCAGAAAAACGCACAAAGACTAACACTTCTTTAGAAAACAGAGACATTTACTCTTTGGCAAACTTTTCCAGTCTGCAAGTCACCAGCACACCTAAAGCCAAAAGCAATGTGATCCAGTCAAACTCTGATCCTTCCCCCTCCCGTTCACCTCAAGACAGACGTCCCTTCCTGTCACAGACTTCCAATATGTCTCTGTCATCAGATCCCTTCAGAGGGGAGGATCCATTTCATGACTTTCATGGGGAGTGTGAGGAATTTAATGAACAGTTTCCTCTACAGAACAGTAGTGCCCGATCAGAAGACTTGTATGATAAATGTCTTTATTCAGAAGCCAGTAGCTCTAGCAGTTCTAGTCCACGACAGACTCTGCCTCAGGGCCACTTGAGTACCTCTTCTGATCTGTACTCTGTGGCATCACCTATTCAAAGTAAGTATAATCAGAGATTAAGGTGTCTGTAGCCATTCGTGTACACTTAGTAGTAGACATTTTAGCTCACCTGAGCCAAAGGTGTAAATGAGCTCTTCTGATTGAAATTTGACTGTTGTTTAGGCATCATCTGATCATATACTTTTAACAATTACATTTTCTCTACAACCACTAGACCAGTTTCTGTCATATTTAGCACAGAGTACCCTTGGGGGAAGGGGGTAAATGGAATGTTCATATCAAAGCCCAGGCCTCTTGAAAGGGAGACAATGAAGGAAAAGTAAAGATAGATTAGAAATTGTATAAATACAATCAACATAATCAAGCTAAAATATAAAATGTATTAAAATGTTCCTTAACATAGCGTATTAGGGTCGATTAAAGTTTAATCAAATCATGGTTCCAGAGAGTACGCTGGGGCTGAAATAAAGGATAAAAGTTTTACATTAGGCATAACAAAAAATTATGTTTGTTTACGGTTACCCGACCGACCCTAATTTTCATCGCCGACCCAAACTTTTTTTTTTCGTCGTAAAAATCCGGAAGTTACTGGCCGGTCAGTTTAACTTTTACATACATCCTTGAAATCGAGATTGAAAGTACAAAAACAAAACCAGCGAGTTCAATTTCTACACCAATGAGTTCGTTGCAATTTGCTTACCATTGTGTGGCAGTTGCAGGGGTGTGCAACTAGCATCGCCTGATGCCCGGTGCTACCGTTTTTGGGGTAGTAAAAATTCAAATTATGCATATAATACATGAGAAATACAAACGGTATTTTCACTCATTGTTTTGCTATTTAATTTCCAACTAATGAAAATTTTCCAGGCAGCATGCTCCAACTGTTCTTAAATTAAACCGTATCCATTTTGAATACCTGACTTAACTTAAAAAAAGATCGTTTTTTCCTAATCCGAATTTCCTCCATTCCTCTGTTAATGGTAAATACGTGCAGATATCTCTTTCCATTATTTACGGTCCCCCAATCAACTAATACCTAAGTGTTATGTGGTTAAACTTTAATATATATCAATTGTATTTAATGGTTTGAAATGAAAATACGAGATTTGCTTCATTTTAGATATTAAAGCTACACTGTTCAGAAAAGAAAAGATAATATAATTTCTTTAAATTTTTAAACTTCAACTTTAAAAGGGATGGCTTAGGACCCTGACTTTCTCAACAATGAACTTTTTACAATATTTGTTTTTACAAACATATTTGGACTGCTCACTTTTAACTTAGGCTGGTAACTTTATTGATTACAAGTTCATTTTTTTAATTGCACACCCCTGAGTTGTAAGGCAATAAGGCACCATACAATGGTAAAACTGTTTTGTACTTGTAATTCAACCAATTCATGTGAATTTGTGTTTAAAAAAATTCAATAAAATATTATTTCAGCATGTAACAGTAAACAAAGATATTTTTTTGTTTGGCCTTAAAGTGATTTAAACAATATAGCAATGAAAAGAATGAAAAATTGTGACATAAAACTTTTCTCTACAAGAATCATTGTGATCTGACTGCAGCAGCTACTGGCAGTCTTGTAGTATGAACATCTATCTGTTCTCTGTGGCTGAGGAAATCATTCTGACAGCGTGTCTTAGTTCCAGGGGATCACTTCCTGTTACCCGAGAGTCAATTTTGAGATTCTGAAGTCATCTTTTAGTACTTCCTACTTTTTGAAGTACCATACATTTTGATGATTTTCCCAAGTATTTCAAGAGACAAATTTTGAGTGAGAACACTTGTAGTAATAAAACCAATTTAATTTTAATACCGTAATAAATACTAATAATATTTCAACTTGTAAACATGGACATGTTTAGGTGTTAATGATATTGATATGTTGCATTGCAAGTGATAGTGTCAAACACTTGTGTGAACCCCCCCCCCCCTTTTTTTTTTGAAGATAGACATAATATAGGCAGTGAAAGTTTTGGCTTAGCCCCCCCCCCCCCCCCCACCCCCAACATCTTAAAAACTTTTTTGTTGGTTTAGCACCCCCCCCCTTTCCACTTTCAATTTGCTTTGGATACCGATGCTGTAAAAGGATGTTCAATAATTTAAAATATTCACACACTTCTTTAATTAACACATTTGCACATTTTTCAGATGTTTGCAGATTTTTCTTTTAAAGTTTTTATTCCAAAATTTTGTAGGAGCAATATAAAGTACCCATCCTTAATGGGTACAAGTACATCAAGTACATGTGCAAGCATTTCTAATATATGAATTGTTCTTAGTAGACATTAAGCATCATGTATTTTATCTCACTATTCCTGCTGAAAATACCAAGTGTATAGTTAAGTTTTATCTTTATTTCAGTGTTGTATTTTAAATTTCAGGCTTGAACTATGGATACTTTGGACAAATTCCATAAACCTCAATGACCTCGTTATTCAGTTTTTCTACATTTTAGCTGGAGAAATTTATTATAATTTTTAAGGGATTCAGTTTGAAGATAATAATATTCTTTATTTAAAAAAAGCTAGATCAAGATTGTATTAAAGCATTTTCTTAAAATCATACATATTTAATTAATATAAAGTGGATCTATATGAACATGATGAACACTTGATATAATCATATTAAGTGAGAGCATAAACCATGTTAAACTGTACAAAGGTGAATGTTGATGTGATAACTTGAAAGTAATTATACGATTTCATTAATTTGTTTTGATACTAAGTATTAGTACGTGAAGAGGCATCAATAGGAATTGAGTACTAAAGCCCGATGGAGTTATTAATGATATCTGAGATTTCATATGGTACATATATCAGAGAGAATTTGAATGTGTACTCTTGCCTTATACCAATAAACATGTATCCATGTTTGATAAAAAAGAAGGGATTGCTTAGTGTTCACTGGGAATGTCTGCCCAAAGAGAACAACTTTCAAAAAACCTTTTTCATGAAAAATTATAAAAAGAAGAATGAAACATACATTGTATGCTACATCAGTTTTCTTCAGGATGTTTTTCTTTTTTTTTTTTTGGCTCGAACAATTGAATTGAGGTTATCCTGTACCATGGGCATGAATGTTGGTATCCAAGTTACAGTTTAAGAACAGAACCCCTGTACAAAGTTAAACTGTCCAGTCTTGCCATAAAACATCCTTGAATGTGCAAATGAACGGCCAAACTGTCTTTGAAAGGGATATTACAGAAATATTTAGACTTGGGGGGGGACGCTGAAAAAAGCTTTTTAAGAATTACTAGGCTAGAAATTATGAAACTTAAACCAATTGAAAGTTTCTTTACTTATAGTGAGGATTTTAGGTTTGTTCAAATCATGGCCCCAGTTGTAGGATGGGGCCACAGTAATGAGTAGTGGTGAAATGGAAATACATGTATATATATAGGAAAATTTTGAATTTATAGCAAATAATAATAATAAAAAAAGGTTAATATAAATTCAATAACAGCAGGGCATTCCCTTCTTTTATATTCTCCTTGCCTAAAAAAAGGTATCTCTAGGTTATAAGTTATTCTCAAATGAAAGATTCATATCAGGTAAAGAAAATCGAGTCAGCGAGAGTAAATAAATCTCACAATGACATCCCAGGCAATGGTAATAAGTGATCCACATGGCGGAAATTAAAACTCCAATCACTTTATAAAACAAATAAAAACAAATAACCAAGCTGGAGAGCATGTGCATATGTGTTAAATGCCCAGAATAAACTACATTAGCACAAATCCATTTTAGATGAGCACTGTAGCCCATAGGCATTTTTGTTCAACATAACTTTTCCTTAATGGAAAGATGAAGCATCAAATAAATTGGCAATTTATGAACAATATTGGTATACCACAGAGATTTTACTTCCGTTTACATACATTGCCACCAAATCTTGTGTGTAAATAAAAATGTGATCAATAAACAATCATAATTTAATATAAACACTGAATGACTTGTTCAAGATATATGGCCTATTGTAAAACGGCAAGTGAGGTACAATCATGATGGTGCTCATTTTTACAACTTCCTCGGATAAATACAGTGTGGACATAATTTATTCAGTGATGAAGTAATTGTAGAACATGGAAGTTAGAGACTAAATTTGATTTTATAAGAGGATTATAATGGATGAGGATGGGTCTGGACATTTGTATGTTAATGTTGAAATGAGACATTTGTACTATAAGTCAGGTAATTATAAAATACCTTAAATATTGCTTAGTTTTTTCTAAATCATTTGATACAGTAACAGTTGATGATACACATCTTGAGTACCATTGAGTTGTGATACATTTGTATACGAATCGTCAATACCGTGCTGAAGAGAACTTTTATAGAATTTAGACATCGATCATGTTAAATTTAAATGAATTATCATGGATTTGGATGTTAATATAAATTTATGGTACCTGAAGCACTTTCATAAGATGACTTTATAGTACATTAAAAGTTAGAAATAACAAGCAACTTCCTTGTCAAGCAATATTATATCAGATAATAAATGGTATGGTCAAAGGTATGGCAGGCACTATTCATTGAGATTGGCTTCTAGGAGTTCCTGCATTTGCATTAGGGGCTGTTGAAGTTATATTTTGTACACCTACTTTATAATTATTTTTGATAATGCATTATTTACTTTTATCAAAGCAGGTGTTTTAGTACTAAACTGTAACTGAAGTAAACAAAACTTCATGACAAGGAAGCATTATAAACCATCAGAAATTTTTTAAAGTTAATTTACTGAACTAACAGTACATATCAAAGGTCAATGTTAAGGTACTAGCTAAGTTCACAACATTTTGATTTATAAGTGTTACCATGATTGCTTAATTTCAGATTTTATTTTAGAAGCACTGGTAATAACAGACCAGCCCTGAAACTGTTTCACTATAATTATAGATAACATATTATGACACAAGGGAAAACCTTTGTGGTTGGATTAAGGTTTACGTTTATAAGTACGTGGTATTTCTGTATGGATAAACACACCAAGCCCCCAAATTTGACTTCTGTTCTGATCTATGGTTATAAGGGTAACTTAGAGGCTTATTATAAGAACAATGACAAAATCTTAGGATGTGTGTTTCTTTAGATAATGAATGGGAATGCAGATTAAAAATATCAGCAGAAAAACAGCTGAAGAAAAATTGAGTGTTAGAAATTGTTTGTTCTAGCTATTTTGTGTTGACTTCTGTGGATTTTCCGAGATTTCCGGAAAGTGAAAGACAAAAGGAAATCTCTACTTCTGTGGATTATAACTGAAGGTTTCTGATCACAAGTTTCAATTTTACTCAATATAACAACCCTCAAGCAAGATATAGACTACATGTACTTATTAGGAAATGCCAGTATCTTCCACTAAAAATTCTGGTAAGACTGTATATTCATAAACATGTACTCTACAGTTTACTTAATTACAGTGTTAATATAAAAGTGTTTAGACTATCAGATTTAAAATACCTTGTACAGGGATTTTCCACGGCCCCGTGTAGGGCCGAATATGGGCCCCATTCCCAATTGCAAAATCACTCCATTTTCCCCAAAAATGAACAGCCTTTGTTTAATTTTTCAAAAATTCATGTAAAACAAACATGGTCAAGTTTGAACTCTTAATGAAATGAACAAAATTTTTGGAGACTTTGGCTTAAACTTTATAATAATAGATCTTTTTTCTGAAGTAAAGTTCTGAATAATGAAGTAAAAAATCAATTTTGGCTAAAGTGTTTATTTATTGAAATACATCTTGCTATAAATTTTCCCAAAAAGTTGTAAAATGTCGTAAAATTCCCAATGGTAAGGGCCTGGGCCCCATTACCAAAATGGAGTGGAAAATTCCTGTTGCAATCAGCAATCTTTGCTGCAGATCTGTAGCTCGCTGGTTTGAAAAAATTGGGATGAACAACCAGAGAGATGCAGTGCCACCCATTAAGAAAAGGTGAAGTCTCTTCATATGGTTAAAATTTTGTATATAAAAAAATCATGTATTATCTAAGTGGCTTAACTTAGATGTACTTTTCTTTGATAGAAAAAAGTAAATGAGGGGTCATCAAACTTCTGGCAGTGACTTTATTTGGGCTACTTACTGGCTACTTGCTGCATTACAAAAGACTGTTATGATAGATTTTTTTTTCAAATGAAAAAGAGCTAAAACAATAAATAGATGCATTTGGAAATTCCTGAATTTGAATTGGATATCTTCATGAAATTTTGTTATGCTTCCTCTTGATGGCAAATAAAACTAGCATTTTGAATGTATTGCATAAGCAATACATGTTCCCTACCAGGTTCCCCTTTTCTCTTTAGGATAGAAGCTTGTTTGAAATAATAATTTAGTGCATCATGAACCTGATCATAATCCCAATTATAAAAAATTTAAATTGCCATAATTCCGACAAAATCAATGACGCAAAACGAAATTCAAACATGATCTGTAACTCATCAAGATACACTTGCATACCAAAAATCAGCTCAATACTGTAAATCTCTTTTTATTCGCGAGAACTTTATTTTCGTGTAATTACGCTAGACAGTGTGCTCGCGAACATTTATTTCTCACGTATAATAGATTAATAGTACCAGTATTCCTTAGGATTATATAGAGCAATGACCACAATTCGTGAAAATTTTGTCTCGCTTATAGAGAATCATTGACTATCTCGCAAAAATAAGGTGTCGCGAAAATTTAGTGATCTACAGTATCTGCAAATGTTTAGGAAAAAAAGCAGAAAACCAAGTGGGACAGACTGACAGACATACGGGGACAGCTAGACGGACGGAATGACAGATGGACGGACTGACAGACTCAGAGGAATATAGTTTCCTCTGCTTTCACCAGTAGGGGACTAAGATAAAAAATGACTTTTAGGATTAACTGTCTTAGATAATTAAACTACACTGTACAGAGAACTATTGTTAAATATTTGTTGTGAATAATGATGTAAATTTGTTTTTGAGATAACCCCTAGGCTATGAGATATCAAATTTATGCACATTCTTAACAGTATACCTTTATATAAAAGTCTACATATATAGGATATCCATAGATGATGTTTTATAGAGCTTCCTGAATCTGTCACAGTGGAGATGAAGTTTTACTGACTTTTTTTAGAGGAAGCAACAGATACTTTAAGTTAATTAATATAGTTAATTAGTATGTGTATAGGATATAATAAGTTTATCCTAAAGTGCTTCATTCAGGGATTGACTTCTTGTGATAGTTATTCTTAATATTTTTGAGGATGAGGAATTCTAATAGTGATTCAGGCAAGTGTATTTTTTAAAGTAAAAAGTTCTAAAATCAATTTTGATAAATAAATTTGTATTTGTGTGTATTTAATGCAGTACCTAAGGTTTACTTTATTTATTTACCTATTGTGTGATTCAGTCAACAATATCAGTAAAGATAAAGTTTTATGTTGGAAGTGAATAAATTTATCTTGGGTAGGTTACAGCATAATAAATACATCAACTTCTCATACTTTTTTTATGGAAACTTGTGTAGTATGAAGTGTGGAGCAGTTGACTCTAAAATGAGCAAAGATTAAAGTTCTTCATTCACATTATGTATTTACTTAAACATACAAAATCAAAAGAAAAGGTAAATGCTGTAAACCAACTTTGCATGTGTGATATATCGATGAGTTTCTTGACATTTTCTCACTGCATGGGTACCACAAATTCAGTTTATATCAGAGTTAGAGGGGGAGGTTGTGTCCAAAATCTACATTAGATTTAATGAATCATTTTTTTAAATTATGGTGTGGCCTTGACCAAAAACTGCCCCCCTTTCAAAATTCCTGGATCCACCACAGGATATATACATATATGCAGAATATTATTCTGTAGCAAAATTTGTTGGAAAGATTTCAAACTGATGAAATGCAAATAAATGTTGTGAATAATAGTTGATACACAGTAAATGTGATGAGATAATGTTTTCAAGTGGTATGAAAAGTATGTGAAAAAGTGGACATGCTTAATAGTAAATATAGATGCATTGTCATATCTCTATTATGATGGTGTGTAGTATGGACAAATAGTCATCAACACATTGAAATATGCACCTGTTCTCTTAAAAATATTTTACACAGGAAAATAATTTGCTGATTTTTTAATTATTATTTTTCAGACTACAGCTCTGAAGACAGTTCTGATGCTGATGAAAAGTCCATTGACTCCATGGAAAATGGACTGTCTAACTTGGCCATGTCTCCTGTGGAAATTGTACCTGTAGGACAAGTCACTCAGGTAAATTTCAAGTCATTGGGTTGGTTTGTAGGACAAGTCACAAAGGTAAATTTCAAGTCATTGGATTGGTTTGTAGGACAAGTCACTCAGGTAAATTTCAAGTCATTGGGTTGGTTTGTAGGACAAGTCACTCAGGTAATTTTCAAGTCATTGGGTTGGTTTGTAGGACAAGTCACTCAGATAAATTTCAAGTCATTGTTGGTTGGTAGGACAAGTCACTCAGGTAAATTTCAAGTCATTGGGTTGGTTTGTAGGACAAGTCACTCAGATAAATTTCAAGTCCTTGGGTTGGTTTGTAGGACAAGACACTCAGGTAAATTTCAAGTCATTGGGTTGGTTGGAAGGACAAGTCACTCTGTGAAGTCTTAATTTAAAGGAATAGTTTGTACCTGTAGGACAAGTCACTCAGATAATTTTCAAGTCATTGGGTTGGTTTGTAGGACAAGTCACTCAGGTAAATTTCAAGTCATTGGGTTGGTTTGTAGGACAAGTTACTCTGTGAAGTCTTACGTTATAGGAATAGTTTGTACCTGTAGGACAAGTCACTCAGATAATTTTCAAGTCATTGGGTTGGTTTGTAGGACAAGTCACTCTGTGAAGTCTTACGTTATAGGAATAGGTTGTATCTGTAGGACAAGTCACTCAGGTAAATTTCAAGTCATTGGGTTGGTTTGTAGGACAAGTTACTCAGGTAAATTTCAAGTCAGTGGGTTGGTTTGTACCTGTAGAACAAGTTACTCTGATTAGGCTTGAGTAATGAAGTAGTTTGGATCTGTAATACAAGTCACTCAGGTAAATTTCAAGACATTGGGTTGGTTTGTATCTTTAAGGATATCCGATTCTCAACCAAGAACGATAACTCTTAAAATAGTTATTTTATTTAAAAATCTCAAATAGGGGTATTTTATAGCACTGCTGTGGGGCAGGCCATTAATGCAAGTCTTAAGTCATAGGGGTAGTTTGTACCTACAGGTTGGTCAATCAGCTAAGTATCAAGTCATACATGTAGACAGTAGCTTGTACTGTAGGACAATCCATTAAGTACATCTAAAGTCATCAGGTTAGTTTTAACCAGAGTAGCACTAGTGAATTATAAATTTAAAGTCATAGGGATAGTTTTTACCCATGGGACTTGTGACTTGTGACTTGTGTAAATTTAAAGTCAGAGGGGTAGCTTGTATTTGTAGGACAAGTTCATTAGATAAGTTTTTGTCATAGGGGTAGTTTGTACCTGTAGGAGAAGTCAGGTAAATCTAAAGTCATTGGGGATGTTAGTTTGCATCTGTAGGAGAGGGTGGATTGTAACTATTGGTCAAGACACTCAAGTAAGCTTTAAGTCATATGTTTAGAGGGTAGGTTGTATGTGAAGAACAAGTCATTTGAGTAAGTCTTAAGTCATACATTTAGGGAATAAGTTGTACATGTGTACAGGTAGAACAATTCACTCAGGTAAGTATACTGTCATAGGAAGTAGCTTGTATCTGAAAGACAAGTCACTCAGATAAGTCTACAGTCCCAAAAAGTAGCTTTTACATGTACCCTTAGGACAAGTCAATCAGGTAAGTCTAAAGGCTTAGTGGCCAGCCATGTTTAAGTAGAAATTGTACCTGCAGAACAAATCACTCATTATTAATATTATAAGTCTGAAATCATAGCCAGTTGCATTGTGTACCTTTGAGACAAGTCACTCAAATAAGTCTGAAGTCACATGGGATATAGATTTGTATAAAAGATCACATTTTTGAAAACTTCAGACAAACTGTTCTCCATCCTAATTCTTAATTAAATTTTTGCAGCAAAGAAGAAATGAAAAAGCAGGTTACCTGTTTAAACAGGGAGGGTAAGAATTTCAAAATATCACTTTCATTTATTTCAAAGTTTTACATTTCTGCATATTTTCCTGACCAAACAATGAAAGTTTTTTTTTTTTTTTCAAAACTGTTTATTTGAATTGTGTCTAACATATATAAGTTATTTTTGTCTGTAAACAAAGTAAATAGTTTTTATGTAAATTACCCAGTAAATACCTGACCTGAATACCTGGCTGTAACTCAGTATGCAAGCATGGAGGATGGTACATGTCATGTGCATAGCTTGTTTGAACTTCCTTAAAACCAATTGGAATTGATCATTTTAAAATATAATTTAAGGCTCTTTAAAGATTGCTAGAGTATTAAGATGGCCCTTTATAGCAAATAATTGCCTTTTATAGTAAATTATTCTCTTTTATAGTCATTTATGCCCGAGTAGATCATGCACATCTGACTTAGATTTCAAGTTCAGCTTTATAAAAAAAAAATTAACACTGTGAAGATGGTGAATGAACAGATGAGTTAAGGCTGTGTTTTAATGAGTCAGCAGCGCCTCAAGCACATTTCAGTTTATTCATTAACTGAGTTAGAGTCACCAAGATTTCATATTGGCTTGTATAGGTTTGAACTTTATACTATGAAAACGATGCACTGAACTTTGCATTCATTTTTTTTTTCTCACTGGTTTAGCATTAGAGTGATGTTTGATATGAAGAATTATGCCTTATTTTCCCCACCTTAATACAAGGAAGTTTTATTTACCTGATTACCTGTGAGCTGGTTTATATTTAAAAAATTAGTTGATATCTACCAGGTAGTCCCTGGCCTCATACCTTTATGGCATAAAGTTACATACCGTGGATGGAGATGCAAATTTTGCTGGCAAACACACAACTTAATGTAGACCATATGTGGGTTCATAAAAGTGTAAACTGGAGTTAAGAGATACATGTATAAATATCCATGACAGAGTTATTATATACATAGCAGTCAACTGTTCTGGTTTGGGTCGTGAAAATCAGCCAGGGTAGCTCAGTCATCAGAGCACCTGACTATAGTGATACAGGGGTCCTGGTCCGATTCTTGGTCTAGCCATACATGTTCTCCTTTCCTGTTACAAAATGATTTGGCCTACTGTGTGTATAAACTGTTATGAAAACAGAAAAGGTTGCATTTTGATATGTTTGAGGTAATTTTAAAATAGCTAAATGATAAGCCAAAACTTGCCTGTTATTTCTGAATCATTAACATTCAGTGTTGCTTAATTAAATCATTGAGATTGTTATATAGAATCAATGTTATCTGTGTTTTTAAGATAATGTGCAGACTAGGTGTATGGTTAACTTTATAATAATATGTCAGTCACAATCCGTGAATCACTTTTTGTGGTATAAGTGGATCTCCCTAGGTGTTTGTTTTTGACGTCTATTACATGTAGTAAGCATGGCAATTAGGAAGTAGGAAGGACTCAGCCATCAAGAATTTTAAGTATCATCACACGAGACATAGGGCTCAAATAATACTAGAACTTATTGCTTCTTGTTTATATATCATAGATTTAGTGTTTCTGAATAGTGCATTATTTTTTAACTCATTTTCAAAGGGAAAAATGCAAAAGTTTTTTTTCTCCCCTTAGTTTTGCAACCAATTAAAGGTATTTTTGTTCAATCAACCGAGTTTATCTAATGGAAACCCTGCATGATCATTCTTCTAGACAGCTCAGAGAGTAGGAGGTTGGATTTTTACAAAAAAGTTACTTAAAGAACCCAAAAATTGTTTTATATGCAGTTAAAACACAAAAAATAAGATATTGGCATCTGTTGTTGGGTTGAAAATTTTGCAGGATGCAATATTGCAACTCCATTTTTAGCTCAGCTTTGCTAAAAGCTCATTACAAGCTTTTTTGATCAAGCACTGGAACATCATCTATCTATCCACCCAGCTGTCTGACTCTGTACACTTCACTTTTTGACATCTTCTATAGAATCATTTATAGAATTTTAACCAAATGTGGCTCAAAGCATAGAGAGTTTTAAATTTTTCAAATAAAGGATAAAGCCCTTCTTCCAAGGGAAACAATTAAGGAAGGACCAAAAAGGACTTCATTTAATTTTTAAAAGTCTTCTTCTGAAGAATCATTTCACCAGAAAAGATGAAAATTACATGAAAGCTCTCTGAAGTTGTGCTGATTTTAATGAATTGTTTAAATCATGGCCCCTTAGAATAAAAGGGGGGGGGGTTTACAGGAAAAAAAACATGGTCTTATTTTTTAGGAAATTTCTTTTGGTTGTAAACATGAAAGTTTGAAATTAATTAAAGCATGAATTCTGGGTAGGGCAAGACCAGAAAATGTGAATAAAAATTTGCATAAAAATATATTGGGAAGGGGGGATCTACTAATGAAAATTCACAGAGATAGAGTAACTCAGGTGAGAGTAGTGGCCTATGGCCCAGTTGTATGATATTGATATAAATTAACAGTTTGTACTAATATTTTATTTGTTACTGATACAGATTGAAGGGTAATAAAGGTTGGAGAAAGCGCTGGGTCCTTTTCACAGGAAATGATCTGCGTTACTATGACAGCCGAAAGGTACATCTTACTGAACAGATTACTTTTTCTGAATCTGATTTTGTAATTTTGACAAACATTGAAAGTGATGTATTAAAATTGTTTCTGTGTAAATGTTGAGTGATTCTATTTTGATCCATTTTATTTATTTTCAACAGTCTCAAGTTTCAAAAAGAATTGTTCCATTGTCTTATATGGAGAAAGTGGAAACACTTGTCAAGGTAAATTTGGAACCTTCAATTTGAATTGAAATGTTTTTTGAATAAAAATTACTACTTCTATTCACCAAATAAAGTTAAAAGATGTAATTCTGTTGTATTTTGAAAGAGACGATTTGTGTAGAATTCAGTGCTGAATGTTTAGTTAGTATGCTCTATTGATTTCTATGATGATGACTTGGTTTCAGGATAGCGACAAGGACAAATTTAAGTTCAACCTCCATACCACCAACCGCGTGTTCCAGTTTGCCGCGGATTCTCTACAGGAATGTACACTGTGGTGCAGTACATTGATGGAGTGTATCCTCAAGTACAAGGTCAGCTTACAATAGGAAACTTGCAAAGTCAAAATATATACAGTCAATGGTGAAAAGCCAAGAAATTGGTTTACACATTACCAATAAGAGCTCTGAAAAAAAGCTTAATCAAAATATTTTCATACAGGATTTTATTACACTCCTTTGACCATTAAGGCCATTGGATCTCCTAATAAAGTACTACATGTATTTCAAAATAACACAATTTATTTTTTTTAGGCACCACCTGGTGGGGAGCCTGTGGGGCTGGATATGAATGAGCCAGATAAACAGGTACCACATACTAACTGCATTTCATCATGTTTTAAACAAATTGTCCCTTCTCATTTCAACATGGTGAAAGAAGGACCCTTGACCCTGCCCTTGTTGTTGACCTGACTTACCTTAGCCTCTGCGCAGCCTAGCTCTGTCATTCAGGTTTTTCAAGCTCCAGGTCTTAGGTCCTTATTTCTCCATGTTGACTTCACACAAGGGGTGATTATTTGTATTTTAAAAAACATAACAGTACTTCATACAAAAAATAATGTACAGAAGATTCAGTTGGAAGCTCATAAAATGATTTCATAGGTTAAGGTCAGATTATGTTTGCATTTATCAAGAAGTTGTCGCAAGAATATACATAGGTAATTATGCCTTGATTTATTCTGTAAAAGTTTACAGTGCTGATTTTCAGCATTAAGAAGTTAATGAAATCAATATTGGAATAGTGTATATGTTGATACTTTTCATTTCAGGGTTATATTAAATTTGAGAGACGGAACAATAAGTATTATGTGGCAGTAAAACAAGGAAAGATGTGTTATTACCACTCAGAACAGGTAACAGTGATTTACAACAGATATCAGAATGGTGCTCTGTACAAGATAAATCTGATACCAAAATGTGCTTCAATTGTTCTATATAATTAGTGACCTTATTAGTCTGTGACATTTTGTCACTTACCGGTATTTTGTGGGTGGAATGATTGTCAGCAGGAAATCACATTTTTTAGTAAATGGATTTGATGATCAAATTACAAAACACAGGTTGAGGAAAAAATTACTTAACTAGTATTAAACCAAATGAATTAGGGTTGACTTGGTCAGACTTATACATGTATGTAAGATGGAGCACATGACACTGCTTTTCACACTGAATCATTGGAACCTTGTCTCTTGACCATGACACCCATCATAGAATTTAAAACTTTGTATGAAAATTTAGCTGCCCTGCAGACGTGCAGTAATTGAATTATCCTGTTAACTAAAATCATAAATGAACAGATGCATTGTAAAATGACATTCTTATTTCTTGTTTTGATTTTTTTTTTAGGATTTTAAACAAGGATCTCCTATAAATGAAATCGACATGAAGTTAGCAGCTGTTAAAGAGGTCGGCAAAGGAAAGCTACAGTTATCTACGCATTACGCACATTTTCTGTAAGTTTCCTTGTTTATTTATTGTAATATTGATGAGAGGTCTCAAGTACCTATTTCTCTTTATTGACAAATTTAGTCTGTATCACAATAAATATACCATTAAATATATTCAGAACTTCTAATACAATTCACTTTAAAGTCTTCAAATAGGAAATAAATGAGAAAATAACGTGGGTAACTTCCCTGTTTGGAAGTGTTAAGGCCCAACAAACTCTTTATATAATGTATGAATAGCCAACTTTTTTCACACTTTTTCACACAGATTGATGCCAGAGAGCTACAGTGAATGTGTGCTCTGGAAAATGGCATTTGAAGAGGCAATAGCTGATGGTCTTGGTGATAATACGGTACATATCACTTGTTTTTGTCAGTTACTAAAGCTTTATCCAATACTTTCTATGTTCAATTGATTTTAGCATATGATTATTTTTAAAACTCGATCACTAATTTCCTTTTATTAAGCATGATGATGTTAAACTTTTGAAATCTCATTTTTCAATTGATTTCCTCCTATCTCTCAGTCAATCTGTGATTTTTAAAGATCTTTCTTTAAAGTTTTGTTAAAATACACTCTTTTCAAAAGACTTATTACCATGACAAAGCAAGGTGTTTATGGTTATACCAGAATTCTTAATAAAACATCTATATATTAAAGATTTTGATACTTCCTGTACAAAGAGAAATGTTACTACATTTTTCATGTTTTAATTTTAATACAGTATTTATTTTTGTCTGATACAGTACAGTTTATATTTTGTTTGCTAACAGATTCTTGATCAAGTGATGGAGAACCCCAGTAACAGAGTCTGTGCTGACTGCTCTGCTGAAGGTAGGCTAACTCTTACATTCTGACACACCCACAACATAATAAGTACGAAAGATACCATACATATACATACATGTATTACTAAAACTACAAGTCATAATTAATATCTGTTGAGTCCTACTGTGAGGAATGAGATTCACTTGGTTTGAAGTCTCAATTCACTATAAGTGTTTTCCATATAAGCATGTTTTACTGTGGTAGAAGTTACAGGGAAAAATCTTTTTTTTACTTTAATGTTATATTTACATTAAAAAAATTTATTTGCAGATCCTCATTGGGCTTCCATTAATATGGGTATTGTGTTGTGTAAAAAATGTGCTGGTAAGTTTAGAAACTTGATTGAATAATTAGTAAATTAAGATGTAGTTATCTTTTTAAGTATTGACCAATAAGGTGCATTCTTCCCTTTATCATTGAGTTAAATATTACATAGATGATGGTTGTATGGTGTTGTGTAGAAACTGTAGAAGGAAGTACCGGTATGGTATTTTTCAGATAGGATTGCCATTAGGTGTAAAGCTTTATATATTAAGGACATCCTCTTTATATTTTGTCTGTGATCCATTCATACAGTTACCTGTTTATGTCAGGTCAATAGTCATGATTTATTTGAAATTAAATTACCAGGCACTACATATTTTAAATTTTTGCATTCCTTGTTTGTAAGTGTATATCAATGAGAGACAAAGTGGAATAGAGAGAGACAGGGGAAAGGGTAGGTGGGGGTTCAAAAGCCCCCATAGTACATTGTATTTCTTTTGTCCAATATTGAACATTGTTTTACACAAAAAGTTTACAATATACAGGAAACTTTTTTTTTTCAATAAAAAAAAGAAATACATTGTGCATGTACCAGTTTATGTTAGTTATTAATACAGTCAATTCTCGAATTATCGCCATTCGATTCATCGCCATTTTCGCATTACCGCCATGATTTCCCAAGAACGTTTTTCCTGCTATATAAAATTCTCTTTATAACGCCAAATTCGCATACCGCCATCCGCCACCCTGTTTTCACAACAAACGTCCATTTTTAAGTGTCAATTATCTCGATAATACCGCCACAGGTGCATGTGGTCAGTGAAGCACGGCTAATTGGTTGACGCTATCCCTGTTGTAAAGCATGCAAAGCCAGTCAAGGTGCAATTAAGTAAATTAAATAAACAATAATTTTAACATGAACTGTTAGAATAATTTTGTTTTCTGTTTAATAAAACCATTTATAAATTAACACTTCGCCACGAAAGCGGTCGTTGCAAAGTACGCCGATAACGATAAATATTTTGATGATCTTTGCTTTTAAAAACAATGCAGAGTTTGCTTAAAAATTATTAACAAGTCAGAAATTGTGAACGTTTCATTAACAATGATTTCATAAACAATGAATTTATTCAAGAACTTATTTTGCGTACTATAGGCAATATATCACGACGATCGACCCAGCATTTTTTTTTCCAATATCAAACGTGCAGATTTACATGCATACACATGTACTTGTCTTAATTTCATAACTGAATATTTTGTTTTAGCAAAATTGTACATTAAAAAAATTACTTGAAGTATTTTCAAACATAGAAATATGTTTATATATACATGTACATGTGATAATAAGAATAGAAACGCTAAATGGTTTTTCTAAAAACGATAACTCTATGTCTTATTTCCTAAAAGATGGGAAATTCAATTCATCGCCAAATTCGTTATACCGCCATGATTTCTAAGTTACAAAAGGTGGCGGTTTATCGAGAATTAACTGTACATGTACTATGATAAATATTTGTTAAATCATCAATGCATATCGCCATTAGGGGTGGGACGATATACCGATGCACCGATACATATCGATATTTTCCTCTAAGATACGGTTTACGATACAAGCATTCAAATATCGGTACGAAACGATACACGAACGACATATCCGAAAATTGAAAATGAAAGTACCTGTCCTTGAAAATGGCGGCCTGTACGAAGCGAAGAGATGGTGTTGATATTGAAACACACTTTAGAACTGATAAGTCGTTGATTAGGGGTAATACGTTTTCACTTTTATGCAGCCTTGGAAGATTGGACAAGAAAAGTTCGGTGTGCAAAGCGTGCTATACACAGAAAACTTATCGTTTCCAGAACATTTGATATTAAATTGTTAGTCTATTCATACTTTTTTTTGTAATCTCAACTTGGCTACAGACTTTCAGCAATTAATAATAATGTAAATGTGATTTTTTTAAAATGAATTTTTAGGCAGTGTTCATTGATATACTACACAACTATTTGTAAACAACTTGTTCATAGAAATTTGGTAATATGTACAATTATCCTGTACTATTGTTTTTGTAAAGTTTTAGTCAATGAAGTTGATGAACTTCAAGTATTAATTTCATAGCACACATCATTTGATATAGAATAATTTTTTGAGTTAATGTCAAGACAAAAAAATTATATAAAATACTAATTCTTTTAAATAGTTTTATAATTCATCATGTTGTGTTAATGTCAAGACAAAAAAATGAAATAAAATACTATTTTTTAATAGTTTTATGATTTATCATAATATCGAGATACGTATCGTATCGTGCCAATATATCGAGATATGTATCGTATCGCAAGATCTGTGTATCGTCCCACCCCTAATCGCCATGTTATTTTGACTCTAAACTACACATGAACTATTAGATGTGTTTCTAAAGATTAATTTTGCTACTTGACAATGGAAAAAAAGAGAGATAGAGAAGTAATCTTTTGTAACACATAGCTCTACAATGTAAGACTCTCAAGTCAACCCAGACCTGGCTGGGATTTGTCTTTAGTTGGTGGAAGGGGTGGTAGTTTCATCATGTTCACAGGTCAATACTTCGAGTCAATTACTTTACACACTTCATTTTCTATCCACGCACAAAATCCATGCTTTATACTCAGTTTACACAGAGCATTTTTTTCTCTAGTTTTTCATGTCATTATTATAAACTTAATGTTCCTTCTCAATACCTCTTCTATTACTCTGTGTTTATCTTTTTGAAGATTTTCACTGTGGACTGATTCTCAGAATTGGTATGATCTATTTGGAGCCAGTTACAAGCTTTTACTGAAAACAAATTTACTTTTAAATCAAAATAATCCATTAAATTTTTAGTTTTTTAAGCTTTTCTTTAGATTTCACATTTTTCTACCTGTTCACATGCAAAAAAAAAAAAAAAGAAAGAAAGAAAGAAAAAGAAATGCTAGTGAATTTCTACACTGTCTATAACCCTTAATTAAAGAAGAATAATTTATGTATATTAAATTATAGAGTAGGCATTAAAAATTAGTTATTCATAAATTACTGTATAAGTTTACAAGGTCAACTGCAATAAAAGTAATTTTGTGAGTGAACATCTGCATAGAAAAGAGATTGAAATAAATGTACATGTATTTCAGTATTTGTTTATAAGCTTTAAAATTATCATTTATGGTGAAAGGCGAATATGTATACCATAAAGATTCCAAAGATGTTGTTGTGGACATGAAGATACATGTACATGTACTTAAATTTATTAGATTGTCTAATAATCACACAATATATAAGAGTAGTTAAAGTTATCAAAAATACTTGTACCTGTGTAAGTTCTGAATTTCATTGAGGTTAGCTTTGACAGTTTAATCAAGTACATATATTTCTGCTGGTATGTTCCTCTGGTGTTTGGGCTTTACTCCTAAACTTAAATGTGATTGATGTATCATGAGGTAATCACTGCTGTGGCCATTGTTATTGTAACTAGAGAGCTTCGATCAGGAAGTAAGAAGGACATGTATTCAAGATTTGGAGATGTGTAGATTTAAGATTTGTAGGTCATTCATGATAAGAGTTTTTGTCTAAAAGGAAGTAATGCTTATAAACATCCATAACAATAACAAGAAAAATAATGCATTGACTCTTACTAGAGGAAGAAATTTTTTTTCGAGGTTTCATTTGTATTATTAATTATGCCTTTTATCATTCAATATATACTGATTTCAATTTTTTTTTCAGGGATTCATCGGAATTTTGAGCATTCCCTATCTCGTGTTAAATCTCTCCGTATGGATACCAAAATATGGACGCCAAGTCTTATTGAGGTGTTTATAAATTCTCTTTAAAATCAATGTGGAAACAACTCAAATACAGACACTTTTCCAGGATATTATCAACAATAATTAAGCTTTGTGTCCTGATTTATTGATTTTAATGACGCAACAAACATTATCATTTGCATAAGTGAGAGCTTCGTATGAAAGATATTTAACTTGACCATAATTTGTTATTTTTTAATTAAGTTGATGAAGGCCATTGGAAACAAAAATGCCAATGAGTTTTGGGAGAAGAGTCTACCGCAAGACACGAGGATAAACTCAGACACATCAGCCCCCCATAGAAAGGCGCATATAGAAAACAAATACAAAGCCAAGCTTTACTGTGATAAAATTTCCATATCAGACAACCAAAAAGCACTCAATGAGGTACATTTTGTTGTTGAAAGGCTAACAAAAGTTAAAGCATGTGCATGAAATTTTTAATTAATAATAGTGTATTTCTTCTAGTCCATTCATTGAAATTTAAAGACACTCTTTTATCTATTGTAGATGTTATTAGCATTGAGTGAAAATGAAAATTTATTGGAGACAATGAAAGTTCTCTTCTCAGGTGCCAATGTAAGTAAATTGTCTGACGAAATATCAGATGCCAGTTCTTATTTGATACATTTGGTCACATTCTATTGTTGAAATACATTTTGTATGTCCCTTTTTCTTTCAGATTTATTACACAAATAGTGAAGGTGAAACTGGTAAGAATATTTCTTTGCAGTTTTTTAAAACCCAATGTTTCTATTCAGTAATTTTGGGGAGAGTAAGGAAAGAGAATCCCAAACAACTTCCAATAAAATTATCTCCCTTGTTTTGTAGTTTTGTACTCTGGGTAATATAATTATGTCCTCACCTAGAACTTGTTGAACTATAAGTATTACACTGTGCCATTATTAACATTACGGTTTCCCCCACAGCAAAACATGGACACTGTCATATTGGTATTGTACTTGTATGGGAGCATTCTGTAAGCCCAGTGATCACATTTTCTGTTGTTTTCTATATTCATTTGATCTTTTTGTTTTTGTAGCGTACAAGATAGCCAAGCGTTTTGGACAAAGACTCACAATGGTAAACAAATATATAAGATACTTCTGGTTGTATATTATTGTAATTTTTCCTGAAATTGAACAAAAACAAAAATTGATATTTTGTCCTTTCAGGAATTTCTTTATCAAAATGGAGGAGATCGTAAGTTCAATCTGCTGCATAAATTTGTAGATTTACTTGGCATAAATGTATGACTTTCATTTTAAAAGTGTTTTTACTTATATGTCGTTTGTGTTGTTTGTGTTTAGGGACCTCCAACACTTACAGTGACAATGATGAGGTATGTTTAGGACTTCAATCTTTATCACCAATTTAAGAGTCTTTTACAACAGAACTTTTTAAAATCTTACATTTGTATGAACTCTGAGTGATATTTGTTACAGGTTCAGGCAGCCAAGTTACGAGGTGAAGTCTGTCTAGACGGTTATCTGCAGAAGACGGGGAGTAAAAAGAAAGGTAATGTTTGTCATTTACCACCCTAGCTACAATGTATGTCTACTGTAATAGTTACAAGAACATGTTATTTAAGAAATAAAGTCCGCGTTTTCGTGAATGTTGCAGATTAACCTCTGAGTTTGAGAAATGTTGTTTGAAAGATAAAAGGCTTTTATATTTCAAACAACATTTCGAGACCGATGAGGTTATTCTGCATCATTCACGACAACAAGGACTTTATTTCTATTCTGCTAAGTAGCTCTTAAATACGACTGATTGTTTCTCTATAGAGAGACAAATTAGGTCACCATGCTGTGATAACACTGTTCCGTTTAGCACCAGAGTGTAAATTTGTTCATTTACCTCTGAAAAGAATGCAGACGATTTGTACTTTCGCAGCATTAAAATTAGCCTTTTATTAATTATGAATCTGTTTGTAGCTTATAAAAATAAATCTTTTTGAATATACAATAACAAAATCAGTTTCCTATTTTACCACTTTATCACTAAAATCACGGAGTTTAAATATGGCGTAGGGAGGTCCGTGAAACAGCCCCGCTTAGCTTTAGAAACCTACATTCATCAGCTACTTTCTGCAATATACAGTGTTTAAATTGCAAAAGACAACACATCGATGTGGTCTAAATATGTATTTCATTCTTAAGTCAAATGTACATTTCAACTGCACAGGTTTGATATGTGTTTCTGATCTGATAATTTTTTGTTGACGTTCATGATTTATTGGAGAATAATGTCTGCTGCATTTCTTTGATCTCGGCAATAATCGTAGTAGAATTTCAAATATTATCCTCTCTAGTTAAGTCTGAGTTTGGATCTGCATAACAGTACTGTGACAGACCTTAAATTTTTGAAATACATTATGAAAGTCAGATTTTGTGTACAATTAATAGCCTTGTTTAAAATTCTACACAGATTTCTTAAGGAGGTGGTGTGTTATTGAACATGGGTGTCTGCGATATTTTTCAAGTCAAACTGTGAGTATAACTTTCTTAGTACTCAATGGTCTTTCCCTTTTGTAATTTGTACATGTTAACTGTTAAAAATTGATGTGTTAGCTGTGTACCACCAAATAACATTCAATTTTTCTAACTACTAGTGTATAGACTATATTCAAAGAGTTAATGAAAATGTTAAAATTTATTTGAAATATAACGTAACCATCTCATTCTGTATATTTATTTATTATGCATATCTTAGGAGGTAAATTGCCTTTTGTGTGAGTGTACTTGTTTATTTGGAGTGAAGCATTTAAATAAAATACTGTAGTGAGAAGTGTTGGTATATCTTTACTTTTGCTTGATTTCATTTAGTGTGTAAATGCATTGTAGTTGTTAGAAAATAATCTAAATAGTTGGTGTAATGCCTCCTCAGCTTTCAGTGAAATTGTAATGTTGACCACTGTCAACAAATTAATTGTTTCTATATACAGAAATTGAAGCTTTATCAACTTATAAGCAATTGTATAAGATATTTATGTTTTGTTTTTTTTTACTTTAATCAATACATTTTTTTTAAAAAAAAGCTTTTATTGTTATCAGCATTTAGGTAATTTTTTAATAAAACATTTATTTATTAATTTCTAAGTGCAGGAAATTTTGAAAGTTTTGCCTCCCCTTATAAAAAAAATACATACTTTTTGGATGGTGCAATGTTCTTTCTACATGAATTTCTCAGCATTCTTTCACCATGAGTATCAGACAAAATTTAACTTTGATCTAGAAACAGATTTTATGTTATTCCCATTGGTTCCAATTAAATTTATTTTTAATCTTTCTTAACTTTGTGTTATGTCCAATAGTTTATATCATTTAATTTGCAAAAACTTACACTATGGATACTTTTAGTTGCACACCCATTACATAATTTCTCTATGCTTGCAAAGTCATACACTTGACATTATTTTGTGTACTTACAGAGTTCGGTAGCCAAGGACAGTGTTGACAATGATATCATGATGTGTGTCCAGGCTGTCACTATTTCTGACAAGTAAGTCAATGTTAAAGTTAATATCCTTAAAAAAAAAAGAAAACTCAAGATGTAAAAGGAAATCAGTGAGATTGAAGCCCCGAATGATGTAATTCAGAGTTTGTAGAAACTGAAATAGACTTATGACTGATAAGTACTGAATTACTTACTGTAGGTCATTGTCTAATGTGAGAAACTTAAATAAAAGGTCAGTACACTGCATGTTGATACACTACACTCCTCCCCTACTGTACACTACTGCAGAAAGTCTCCACTAACAAACTATATAATACATGACTAGGTTATTAGATTTAGTGGTTACATTTGCATGAAAATATAAGTTATATAAATATGTACGTATATTGTACAAAATATAATTCTTATTATGCATTGGTATGTTTGATTTTTGGAAGTTTATAGTAATTCAGTTTGGTGCAAAATCTTGGTAAAAAATGTTGGATGAATGTATTGCATGCTGGATAATGATAGTGTGCCAGTTCAGTCTTATATTCCAGTTACATTTAAAAATCTCATGATTATTGAAATCTGATGTGAATACAGCTGATTGGTTTGTCAAAAAATCCAGAATTTACTGTATAACATCCAATTGTCTTATAAAGCTAGGTTATCTAGAATAATGGTTTATCAAATTCAGGGGTATGGTGAAATTAGTTGGATGTTCTCAGTGTGCTATGAGTATTCAGGAATGTGAAAATGAAATCTAAATTTTGAAATCTCAAATAATGAATATCTAACTTGTTAACAAACAAGCCGTTTTTTCACTGTTAAGACACTGCACTCTTGGTACATGTTCAAAGTTTCAATTCTATTGCATTATTATAAATCACCTGTGTTTTGCAAATCTTTACAATTCAAGTAGATAATTAACATGATATTCACTTGTGAGACGTGATATCCCTAACTGTTATGTATGAGAATCTTACACATGTATGTCCACTGCTAGAAAATCTCTGATTATTTATCATTAATGTAAACTTTTGTGTACAGCTAAATGAGTAGTTTGCTAGGGACTTTAGAATTTAGAGTTTGGTTTGTGCAAGTTGATTTTTGCATGATTTGTTATAAAATAATCTTAGATATGTATATCTTGGTAACTTACTTGAGGGAAAAAGTTAGTGCTTAGATTTTACCAGAATGACGGATGATTAAAGGAAATTGACATGATAGTTATATTTCAAAGTCCAGAATGTTCTGTGAACATTTTACTTCCTTTGGCATCTTTATGACTAGCATCATGAATTACCATATTTTTCAGTACTATTTTTATTAACTATGAAATTACAAGTACATATATAGTACCTAATTTATTCAGTCAACAAAAAACAAATATTAAACACCCCTCAGTCAAACTCATGCTTTGTTTCTTTTGGCCTTTGATTCTGACTTAAGATTGGGAACAAAAAAATTAAAATAAGGCCACACCAATTTAATTTCTTGTTCGTCGGACATTTGATGAAAAAAAGTAAGAGCGGTCCAGGGGTTAAATAATATTATTACTATTTGTAGATAATTGTTTTAGGTGGAGGGTGAAAAAATTTGAGCGGACAATTATGTTTTTTCTGATTTGCAGTGTAAGCAGATGAAAAATACTATAAATAGAGCGGAAATGGAACAGAAAATAGCTCAGAATTTTAATGGTGCAGGAAATTTAAATTAATATTATTTGTCTAGTTTGGTGTAAATAGGAGCATGTGGATCCGACGAACAAAAATATTTATTGGTGTGGCCTAATGATCTTACTTTTGATTAAAAAAAAGATTTCGCTTCTATAACATTTTTTTTGTTGTTAAATTTAACTTTTAAATTTTGAGATTAGAGATTGAGGTAAAGCGTATGTTGGTCATTTGAGGATTTTACTAAACATGATCTTGGATATCTACTCTCTAGTGTGGATAGACATTAGAAAAATAATACTGAATTTTCAGGTATCCAGAGGCATTTGAGCTAAGTACCTGTAAAAAAGACAACAGGGAGTATTTATTTGCTGCCTCCACTCCTCAAGAAAAGAAAAGCTGGATGGTTGCATTAGCTAAGGTATGTTATTCATAATGAATTGTCTGAATATTTATTACTTTGACTGAGATTTTTATATCATTTTTCAAACTTTCCTCTCTGCAACATAAGTCATGGCTTTCATATTCATGCTGCCCCCATGCATAATTGATGATTCGAGCATACTGTAAAATCACATATTTTCATGGGGTCAGATTTTTGTGGTTTGAGGAAAAATTGTTGGTTCATGGGGATTTGATTTCGTGGATGAAGAACTTTTTAGTAGTTGTGCATATGAAAATTTACATTTCATGGTGGACATAAATTTGTGGGTCTCTTCATACCACGAAAACAACGAAAATTAAACCCCAACAAAAATTAGTGATTTCACAGTATATACTTTTTTTTCCCATTTGTTTTTCTGCCAAAACCTTTGCCTGTAAATTTTGAGGGGGTGCACTATGGCTTGCATATTTCCCAGGTGTTTTCCTTTTGACAAGAAAATTATTTGGTAACACCATTTTTTTTCTTCTTGATCTTTTGGTTTGACCAATTTTTACAAAAAAAAGTCCACACATTATATTTTGTCATAACTTTTGAACAGTTTGTTATTGGGCTTTCTTCTTCGCATTTAGAATATATTAACCTATTTGAAAAAAAATGTCTCCACAGTAATATGAATTTACCCTCTTTTTTCACAGTTATTTTGCCCCATCTCTCTAATGGAAGATGTTGGTCAGTCTGAGTTTAACTTGGCTGGTAACTTCTACATCAAGGATGTTGCCTCTGTAAGTGTCAACCAGTTTGTAACCACTAAGCAATACAGTGAACAGTACATTAGATCTTGCAGTCACCTTTGTTGTGGAAATTGTGCTATTTATTATCATTTCTCTTTTGTCATTCTAGGAGTGGGAGAAAACTTGGTTGATGATCAACAACAGAATTCTAGAGTATTATGACCAGGTAAAGTGTAAAAATTAAGAATCAGAATCTAATTTTTTTATAGTTTATTTGGTAAATCATGCATAACAATAATAAATACAGCACTTTTGATGATAACTATAGAGCACTTGACATAACACAGTTTTCAACATGACAATTTAAAACCAGTTTTACAAATAAATAGGAACATTTGTACATAATATAACATAGAGCAACAAATAAATTGAAACTTTTTATAAATTGTTAGCTTTTAAAAATACCAAGCCATTGTATCATATTGAACAAATATTTCATGATTTCTTAACATACATGTACAATTTATAATTTCAGTTACATTTTTAGATAGATCTAATAAAAAAATACATAATTTTTACATTTCCACTGAGCTTTAAATTATCACATTTTCACTTTGTATCACCTCCGTAGAAGGTGTATCACCTCCATATCACAAATTGCATCACGGTTGAATTAGACACTAGTACACTTGAACTTGTTGATCTTCTGGGTCTGTCCTAGGCGAGTTCTCTTGTTGGCGAACCACTTCCTGACTTGTCCTTCTGTGATGCCTCCAAACACTGACATGGACTGGACCACCTTGGGACTCGGGTAGGGATGCTGGACGTTGCTCTGGTACCACTCTTCCATCATCTCGGTCGCTCCCTTCTTTAGCACTGGCTTGCTCCTGAAGAGGGAAGTTTTGGCTGGTTTTCTGGCTTTGGGTGTCTTCTTTTCCAGTTGACCTAAACTGTTTTCCACTCTCTCCATCATTCTGTGTAACATGCTGTCATAGTAGGCGTTGTACATCTGTTTAAGGTGGTCTGGACTGTTCTTGTGAAGGTGGTGAAGCATCTTGAAGCGATTTGTCTCAATAACTGCAGCGTGGTAGCGATGAAAGCTGGAGATTTCTTCAATTTTGGAGGGATACTGTTGTCGAAGTCTGTCATATCGCAACTGTAGTCGCTGATCACGTAGAGCCACAGAATGGGGGATAGGAGTTTGCACAGTCTCTATCAGGATGTCAGGTGTAGAATCTGTCAAGCACTCTTTCATCAAGGTTGATTGGAGGGCACTGAAGAATTCCTGTTTGGAGGACTGCTGTATGTCGGATCTAAGTAGACTGATGAGTGCGTTGTCAATCCTTGTTTCGGCTGGTGAGGTGCTGTACTCCTTGGGTGGTGATTGGGGTGGTGTTGTGTGGCTGCTGAAGGTCTTTTTTGCTTGTGGGTCCTCACTGAGTGGTGGAGACAAGGAATCCAGTGTTGCTATCACTTCCTCAAGATCAAGCTCTGGTGGTTCTGGACAGTTGTTCAGCTTTTTCTCTAGGTCTTGCAGTGCAGAGGAATCAAATGGGGATGTTGGTCCAAGTGCTGTTTCCAGGAAGTCCAGGTCATCCATGATGAATCACAGTTGACACAAACACAGTAACAGAAAACACTGAACACATTAACAGAAACACTTTGGTGATGCCACTTGTATCACACACAAAAAATAACAGATCAAACCACATATAGAGAATACCACAACTTCAGAATAGAGGCTTTTGGAAGATTTTGTCACTGAACTCGATTGATCAATGATCAATTTTGACATGTGACAGGCTGACATGCCTTTTTATGGAAGTTGATGAAACTCTTAGACAAATATCTATGATTTCATTGGTTAAGAGGACCTGAGATTATGAGAGACAATATTTTCATTGGATACTTTCATAATCAATTTTGATCAAGTAAATTCTAATTGGTGGAAAAATTTAATTACATGTATTGATATCAGCTTGGACGTACAATTAATCATGAACAGTGGTCATTGCAAGATGAAGTGGGCTTGTGACTGGCCATTAAACCCTCTTCTAATGATGTACCATACAAGGTGTAATTGACTTCAGCAAATTATATATCCCAAGCTCTGCTATTTAACCTTAATTAAATATTTAGTTTAAATTGATATGTGGTTCTGTAAAAAATCATCTTAATTTTATGAATCTATAGGTATATTAAATGATTTTATCATCACATGCTAATTATTTTTTTTTATTCTTTCTTTCAGAATAAACAAGAATTCTGCAAAATTGATCTCAGGAAAGCTTTTAATATTAGTAAGTAATAATTGTTATACAGGAAATTGTATATGTGAACATTTACAATGAAATATTTATTAAGTATTTTTCTGAGAAGTTTGCAACTGGATTTGTTCACATTTTAGAATACAGTGAATCCACTCTTGCATGTAAAGTTTGTATGGAAGTGGGCAAGTGTTTGGCACTGGATGTTCATGGAAAGTATGTACATTATTCACAAGATAAATTTCAATGAGAGAAATAAAACTAATAAATCATTATATCAAAGTACATGCTGCTATTACATGGATCTTACTCTCTTTTTAAATTGTGTGTATTCTGATTACAGGTCACTGTATTTTCAAGCAGATCTTGCTCGAGACACAGAAAGGTTGTTAAACGCATTCAGTAAAGCCATGAAAGTAAGGATTTGATGTTTGGGTTTTAACAAAAATCATAAATAATTCAAATATTTTTAATAATTTTTAAAATTTGTTCTGTTATCATGCAGATCATTTTGTTATTTGTTTTATTGTGATGGTGCTAAGTATAAGAGAATAGGTGGCTCTTTTCTGGCAGGACACATGTAAACGGAGGTTAATCCCCCACAGTAGTATATAAGTTATGAAGATTAACCATACTGAAAAATCGTCTTGTCTAAGGTTGATTGTACTGGCATTTTTACATGTGTCTCTTTTGTATTGCTAACTGAAATAAATAGTAAGCTAGTAGTATATAGTCCTTTATTTATGCTTTTCCTATTTTAGACAGGAGGAGACACATTAGAGGACCAACATCTATCTCCATCAAATGTCCCGGTGATCATTGAAAAGTGTGTCTGTTTTATTGAAGACTATGGTAAGTCTGGTGTCATGTAGCAAATAGAATCTTAGGTTAATGGGCTTTCACATTAAAATCATGTGAACTTTTCCCCATTCTTTATCAGGTATACAAGAGGAGGGAATCTACCGACTGTCAGGGGTGAAATCCAAAGTACAGGCTCTACTGGACAAATTCATGTCAGGTATGTATAGATGTAGCACTGGGGATACAAGACTTATAGTGATGTATTTCATTTATATCTTAACAAGTTCTCCAAGCTCATAAAAACAAGAATGAAAACCTTATTTTATTGAACAAAATTAATTTCAGAAAGAAATTCAGATGATTTAATATTTGCATAAAAAAGAGGATATGAATGGCAAAAACAAAAAAACTAGCGACAATAGTCTGACAGACAATGCATTATAATTGCATGTTATATTCTCAAAATCAAGTGTTTTATATTCTGTTATTGGTTTATAACATTTTGATATTCCACCTGATTAGGATTGTTTTTCCTATAGATGCTCACTCGGTGGTGCTACAACAGGGGGTGAACCAGGTCCATGAGGTGGCAGCTTGTCTCAAATTATTCTTCCGCAGTCTCAAGGACCCCCTCCTCATGAGCTCCAAGTATCCTATGTGGATTGAAAATGCTGGTAAGTTTTAAAAACAGTGAAACTGACTGAATAAAATGAATAAAAAGGAGAAAGGAAGACACAATTTAATCTGCCAGGCTATTTGGCTTGCCATTTTGCTTTATGCTACATGTTTATAGCTGAAATGCATGAAGATGAACATCAACATAAGACTACGCAATTATGCTGTAGATACTCATTTTTTTCAGTATTTTTTTTAAATATAATTTTTGACAGCTGAATTGTGCATAGTTGATCTGTCAATAAAGATTTTAAGAAGGAAAAAAATGTGATGATGATAAATATTTTGATTTCTACAGATGATATAATGCATGGTAAGTTTGGGGCTTTATTATGATGTGTGTGATCTTATGCAATGCTTAATAATCAGCAGTACACAGGGAATAGTGAATGTTCGATATGAATTGTAATGCTGCAGATAAATTGTACTACACTTTATACAGGGCATTCTATCATAACATTTCATTTTTTGTACTGGTGCATTCTATTTCTAGTTTCAAAAACATTTCAACTGTATTTATCAGTTGGCAAGATATAGGTTTTCATCACCAAGATATTCTTAATGAAATAAAAAGATTGAATATTTAATTTATCAGAGGTATGTTATATGTTGATATAAAATGATGTACTTTTGTACCTTTTAAAGTAATTTTGGTTTACTTAATTAGTGATTTTATGATTTTTTTGGTAAACATTATAATTGATAATAAATGAGAAAACTAGTTTAACGTGTGTTTTTCTATATGACAAGAAAATTGTATTTCTTGATTTCTTAATATCTGTACTCGAGATTCTCAATATTTAATTCTCAGAGCATGCCCTAAACTTTATTTAAATTCACTAATGCGTGAATCAACTTTCAGGAATTAAAACATAGCTGACTAACCTCTTAGGCATGATATTCTTGATATTTTAGTATGCTAGACCCATGAGCTTTAAAAAAAATGTTTGATTGATTTTGTTGTTTTATGTTTTAGGTCGTATGGATCCACAAGTGAAGTTAGAGTGGTACCAGTTTCTGATAAGAGAACTTCCACCCATAAATTACAACACACTCAAGCGACTTATACACCACTTCAACAGGTACTACATTGCAAATTTGATTTACCAAATCCTCAACTTTTTTTTATCACAAAGCCTTCACTGAAAAAAAGGACTTGATAATCGAATTGATATTAATGCTTTTAGCAGTACCGGTAATTATTAAGACTTTGTCATGAGAGACCAGTAAAACATCAATATATCCAAAGATCTTTACCATTTCTAAAATTGAATACTTATCCATATACTTATTTTAGTTTCAAAATATGGATTAGGGTTTTTTTCCCTCTGGAAATTATGTTTTTGTGTCATGATGGTACAGTACAAATGGGAATTATTTTTTTGGAGTTGTTTAAATTGCTTTTATAGCAGTACATGTAATGTTTTGAACATATTTTATTGACAACATGTTGAGGGATTGGACACAAGTTCCAAAAACTTAGATAGTCCTCTCCCATACATAAAATCTCAATAGCCATACAAAATTTACAAAGTTTTACAAGGACAAGGTCCCAGACATGACATTAATAGGCAGATCAAAAAAGATATGACAAAAAAGCAAGGGTAATGTAACTATCAAATATCATTTTTATGTAAGAGTTTTCAAAATGTCTATAAGAAATCTAAGCCAGGGAATTATTAACATGAAGATATTGAGAAAAAGCTAGTATTATGGCCAATTTTTTTAAACATACATATTGCTGATGGATAAATTATTTGATTTTAACAGCTGAGTTGAATTGGGAGTGTAGGTACTATCTGTAGCCCTATGTGTCAGTGTAAATGTGTATGTTGTTTTTCACCAAATTATTTTTAGAGTTACATATTTTTTGTACAATTATATAAAAATGTATTGATATATTTTCAGTATTTTGTACAGTTTGTTCAACATGAAAACTACCACAGTCTGAGTGCATTTTATTTAGTTGGAAATTTCTTGAACTTTTTATGGCATGCTCACATTTTAATTGGATTACATTTTGTATTTCACTTTCTACACCATATTTCTTTCTTTTTGGACAAACACAATAACATTTACCCCATAGTTTTTCAATTTAAAGCTTTCTTTTATGTTGTAAATTCAAACCCTCTCAATTATCTATGCTATGTATGGTCTTCAAGGAGGATCTAAATTTTGCAATAGATTAAGGTCAAATCAGTGTAAGGGGTGGTGAGATCCACATGTAGATAGTGAGATCCACATATAGAGAACATCATTTAGAACTGACACCAGGCTTAGATCATTCAGAGCTGATGCCAAGATTATATAATAGGGAATATGGTACAAAAATGAACCACTGCAGCATACAGACAAATTGAAGCATTTTTTTGTATAAACTGGAGCTTTTTATATCAATATTTTTTTAATAAATATCCATGTGTATCATAATATAAAATGTTAAAGTGTTATGTACCATTGTGGCAACTCATTTGAGAGATCAAATGGAATTAGGGGGTAGAATTGCCTTGACTGAAAGAGGAGCATAATGTTGTATATGTACATCAATTCGAGCCAAAAAAAAAGATTGATAATCACTGAAGTATTTGCATTTTAATTCTGTGTTATCATAGTGAAGATTTGTACCACCATTTAAAGTAATTTTGTGCATGTCTTTGATATTTATGTTTTCTTTGTGTGACTTGTAGTTCTTCTTCAAGCAATGCAAAGATTAAAATTCTATTCAATTTTAAATAAGCTATAGCACATTATGGTAAATTTCCTTAAAAGATGTTAAATGCAATAACCAGTTGCAAAGATTCCTTTTAGATAAAAATAAATAAATCATTTTTTAATTTTTTTTTTTCTTCAAAATAAACAAGTAATTTATTATAATTAATTTGTCTGTATCCCTTTTCCCCCAGGCTATCAAAGTACTCAGCCCAGAATAAGATGACAGAAAAGAACATAGCCATTGCCTTTGGTCCAACATTAATGCAGACTGAAGCAGAGGTATGAACATTTTCTGATTTATTTACAACAGAGATTTTCTGTGTGTATTTCAGGCATTTCTGTTTCATTGGCAAATATATTTGCAAGCATTACATTATTATGCCCCCCTCCTCGAAGAAGAGAGTGCATATTGCTTTGTTACTGTCTGTCCGTTGGTTACGGTCTTTTAATCCATCAATAGATTCCATTCATTTTCTCTGCAGAGGTTGCACGGATACTGAAATGCCATTTGGTATACAGATTAACCATAAGAATATCAGGGTCTGTTTTGGGTTTGATCAACCAATTTTTTAAGAGAGCTATGCCCTTTCAACTTTGAAAAATTCCAATTATTTGCATTAAGTTTCTGTTCATTTTCTGTACTTGTGTGTTATGGAGGAAGGAGTGGATTAGTGTTTCACAAATATTGTGAACAAGATAATATTAATTGTTGTCCATGAAGTTCCTCATTCTTGAAATTGTTTCTCTTATTAATTTTACAGTCTGAAGTTAACAGCACACACGTACAGTTACAGATGGTTGTGATAGGAGACATCATGAAACATCACCAGAAACTATTCAAGGTGAGATACCAGTATTATGACTTTTTAATGAGTTACATGTATTGCCTTTAAGAAATCCATTACAGTTTATTTCACAGAAAAATTTGTGCAAGTTTTTCACTGAACTGAATGGTACAAATGTGTCATTTTTGTTTTATTTAAATGTGTATTGCATACTGTATATGGGGTTATTTTCGCCCTGTGTTATTTTCGCCCTTTCACACTTGCAGGCAATTTTTCCCTGTTTTATATTCGCCCAGTCTTAGTTTTATTTAAGAAATTATTCTGTAGTGTTTAAATTCATCCTGTTTTAAATTCGATCAAATGAGGGTAGGGTGAAAGGGGCAAAAATAAAATAGGGGGGCAAACATTTCCCTGCATACAGTGTATAATTTCTGTAATTTCTGTTTCATTGAACTGTGTGTTACTTACATAATTGATTTCTGTTACAGTTGGAGGATGAAGAGAAGATGATGCAGGAGAAGGTAGACATGGGAAAACAGATTTTAGAAGTCATTAACAATAGCAGAGAAGTAAGTGACAGGATTTTTATCATATTTTTATTGCCAGGGTATGTCAAACCTCTGTGAGATTTTTATGGCTAGCACTATGTTTAATAGTTTTAAACCATGCTCAGCCTTGCCGAATCTTTTTCTCTGTCGTGATCAAATGTTTAATTTTGTATTACAGAGTGTGGATATTAATGAGTCGTTAAAGATCAGTGTTTATTTCCTCAGTCGTAACGGCAACACATACAATCCAGAGGTATAGTCACTTCAGATACTGATACTGTAAATGTTTCATAATTCTGATTCAAAAGAGTTTAATTTTTTTTAGAAAGGTGCTCTCTCATTCTTCATCATTCTTATGTATCTTTGTTGTCAACTCTGCCTCTATGTGGATTCAAAAATGAGGATAACAATTAGTTTACATGAGTACATGTATATAATTAATCTGAAGGAATCAGGCCTTGTAGATAGATTCTCTTTGTTGGCTTATTGATAAAAAAATTGTAAGCACACAAAAGTCAAGTAAAAAAAAAATTTTTTTAAAAAGGTTAATTTTATTTACTACTGTAAAATTGTGGCAATGTATTTTTCAGATTAATATCCACACCACAGTTAAACAAGTGATTGATCAGCTAAAACACAGATTTAATGCAACCCATGAAGATTACACCTTGCATGAAGTTCTGTGTGATGGAGGCTTGGGTAAAATAATTGTACTTTAATTTTATGTCTAATACATGTAGTTGGAAAATTATACACAGATGTACCTACTGTATACGAGTATTGTGGGAATTGTATACAATTCCAGAAGTAGAAATTTTATATACATGTATTTTTAACTTTGTAGAGCGTCCCCTCCACAACACAGACACCCCCCACTCTGTGGTCAAAGCTTGGTGGAACTGGCCGGAGTGTTACAGGAAACAGGCGTGTCTCTGTCTAAAGCCCACATCTGATCTCATGCTGAAACTGTCCAACATGGTAAGTCCCCCCCCCCCTCCCACTCACCCACCCCCACCCCCAACACACACACACACACATCTGATCTCATGCTGAAATTGTCCAACATGGTACCCACCCCCCCCCCCCCCCCACACACACACACCCCCAGACCCCCTCACACACACACACACACATCTGTATCTCAAAGAGAAAAATTATCCTCGTTATAACTGTCAAATATGGTAAGACTAGATTAAAATCTTAAAGGCTAATTGATGACAAGTATACATTTAGATCAGGTCTGTAGTGAAACATGAGAAACCTAAATGGTACAAAAAACAAATGGTACAAATTATCTCCCATTTTTTCAGTATGATCCAAGTCGAGCTCTGTTTGCTGATATAAAGTTGATAGAAAAGAAGCCTTTAGGATTGCTGAGTAAATCCAATAAGTATGCATTCCAGTTCCAGCAGTCCAGACTGTCATACTACAAAGACGCCAAAGTAAGCTTAGCTAAAAAAAACTCTTACAATGTGGATTGTTAGTTACTTTACTTTGTACAAGTTGTTCAAAATACTTATTAAGTAAAAGTAAAGGAAAGTAGCAGCAAATATAGAGACCTAGGCAATGAATCTCAAGTTCAAGTGATGATTGGGCATCAATTTTTTCTTCGTTAATTTTGTAGTACAATGTATCTCAATCCAATTAAAATCAGACTTCTTAAATCTGCACTTCATGCACTCTTTTGTGGAGTGTACATGGTGCAGATCTAAGAATTCTGATTTTAATTAGATTGATTGTATCTTGTGTCTTTTACAGTCAGCTGGTGGATCACCTGTAGGGTCCTGGAATATTGAGGATTTGGTCATTTATTATGGAATGGATCCCTTAATAAGGAAAGGTGACAAGTAAGTAAAAAGACTATTGGAACATGTTGAATGTATGAACCTGTACTTCTAGTACCAATACAAAACTTTTTCTTATTTCCCTTAAATATGAGATACAGGGGAGTTTAAAGTTTCTGTTTATTCTTTTTCAGATATGGAGTCACATTTCTTAAAAGAGGAGAAATCCCAGGGTAAGTTTGAATTATATTTCAATCCAACACACTTGTAATAATTTAACACTCACCCTCTTTAATCCTCATCTAAAAGTTGTCCTGAAAAATAGTTATTTTTGCTCTACAGTCAGATCTCAAATCTCTACACATACAATTGGAGAAAAGATCTAATTTATATTTAATATATACTTGTACTTAAAACTTGGATATTTTTCAGATCTAAGGAGACCCCAATTTTTGGACACACCTTGTGTTTTTCTTCAGAAAGCGAGTCACTGTATTGGATGTCTGCTATGCTTGTGGCTCAGGTAAGGGTGAAGACTAGCACAGGTCAATATATTGTATGATAAAGGAAGGTGTATAAATAGATGAAGAGACTCGTAACAGCGAAGGTAAATTAGAATTATGTAAAGTTCAAGATAAGATTCTGTTGTCGTTGTTGATGTTTTTCCGGTGTTTAACATATAGATGTCTATTACGCAGCACCCTGAGGGATTGCTAGTGTGAGGGTACGGGGATCTAGCAGTTCTGTAGAGGTAGATACACTCCACATATCCACCCCAGTGTGGGAGACCGAAGCTACTGCTGTACAGTTAACTACAAAACTTCTCCAATCGTGTTCAAGTAATCTGACATATCTTTGTTACAAAGTGTATAGATTGGGTGCTTTATGTGAATTAAGAAGTTGTTGAACTTGTTATCCTGGAATGCATTTGAATGTAAATCATTTACTTTGTGTGTGAGATTTCTCTAAACACATTGCCAGTAGAAGTATGCTTAGAATATATGTTAGGCTTCCAATACAGTGAAGCAGTTTTCTGTGGGTTGTATTTCATTTTCCATGATATTTTCAAATTGAAACATAATGAATTATTTTCTGTCCTTTTAATCAAGTAAATTGATGCCTAGTTTGAGAAATAGAGAACACTGTATTTTAATGTATGTTTTTAAAAAAGTAAGATTGAGCACTCAAATATTTATACAAAAGATATACAGTATTTTTCAGATTGCAGAATATCTTTGAAAGGAAATGATCAATACTAATAGTTACCTTACATAGAAATGTAAATAAGTTATTTTTGACAGGAATCGTGCAGGATTCATATTGTAGATAATGTACATATGTATTTAATGTATATATTGTAAAGTCATGTATTTATATTTCAGTTGTAAATTAATAAGTATAAAAGTGACACATATATGTAAATAGAGTATTATGTATATATTTATTGCAAGAGATGTTTATTTTTACTGTTGAGATATTACTTTCTTAATTGTTTTTATACATGGAAAAAAAGATGAAGTCTAGATTGGAATATGTTGTAGTGTAATGATGAAAAGAGAATGATTATTTTTTTTAAAGAAGAATTTTTGTACTTCTTCAGAGAGACCATTAACTGTAATGGATAAATCTTTATTGATCACTCTTATTTTCCGAGTAGACTTATCAAATGAACAATAATTTTGTACTTTTTTGGAAGTGCTTTATTTGCCAAATATATAGTGTTGTAGATTTGAATTTTTTTTTTTACATAAAATGTTTAATTTTTCTATGAAGTGCAATATAAAGAAGTTTTATTTGAAAGAATTTTTTTCTATAATTAAACACTTTTGTGCATATATGTATGTCATCTTCATAAAGGTAGCTTTAGAAGTGTCATCGTCATTTACACAGTTGTAATTTTTAGTGCATTTCTTGGTTATAGTATGCAGTTCTTTCTTTCTGTAAATAAAGTTAATTGCACATAACAAGTATATGTAGCATATGATAAAATGTGCTTACAAATGAAAATAATCTTGTTTTATTTGAAATCGTTATGCATATGAATTTACTTCATTTGAAATTGTTTTAACAATGAGAGGAATTTGGTTTTTTATGTATTGTTCTTAATGATTTACATTTGATATTTTAGGTATAATTTTTTTATTACATTTTTCAATGTAGGTTGAATGTTTTGTAGTTGTATCTTTGTGAGTGACTGACTAGCATCTTGGTACACCAAGGAGAAGACCTGTCTTCTTGCTTATTCTGTTTCTTTGTTAATAGCCATTGGTTCCCTGTAAGTTAACATGCATGTACATAAGATAAAGACTAAATACTTTTTTTGAGAGAGATACATAAATGTTGAAAACATTAATAATGTGGAAAGGTCAAAATACCACTAAATCATAATTGTCAAAATTTCCAAAGAGCAATCTCAAATTTTAATACACTGTTCAATTTTTAACTTGCAATATCGCTGAAAATACCGAAATTGTCAAAACATAACCATTCAATGAAACCTTGGTGTCAGTGCTTTCCTCCACATATGCAGAATAATTCCAATGCAACATTTCATTTCATCAAGCCGTTTATCAAAGTCATGTTCTGTCTAACTTGCTGGTGCTAGATTTTTACTTGCTTTGAGTAAATTTTAAAAAAGGGAAAGGAAGTCAGGGTAATAACTCATAAAAACAGTATCTTGTCTGATGAAATTGAACTGAAAAGTAATTAATACTTGTAAAACCTTAAACATGTATAAATTTTTTAAATCAAAAGTAAAAGACATTGAATTTTTCCTTTAATTTTTTTCATAATCTGTTATATTTGACATTGAATTAGAAAGTACTCTCCACTCACTTATAATTAGTTGTTCTGCTATATGTTGTTTACTTCATCATTACCTGTATATAACAAAGCTAGTGCTGGCACTTAATATACAAGACAAGTTTAGCACCGAGTACCTATCTGTTTTATAAGCAAGCATAAAATGTCACGAGTTGTACATGTTGTAATTGTGTTATATTTTGTTACATTTTTTATATATTTTGAAAGTTTTGAATATATGTACAACTTGGTTTTGGTTGTAAATTGTTGCTAACTATTTATTATGTTCAAATAATAATTGCAGAAAAATTAAGCTTTAAAATTTTTTCATAAGCAAAATATGATTTGACGATGTGTACTTAAAGCTCCGAATGTTTTATGAATTTGCTACTGCAATAAATGGTTTAAAACTGTTGGACTGTTTGTGAAAAATATTGGAGTTTCTTCACTCAGGGATTCTTAAATGACAATTATCTTAAGGAGGGTAAAGGAAGTAGCTTAAGGTCAAGAACATTTTTAATTTGTGACCTTTGAATATTGTCAGAATGATATGAAACAGTATTTCCCCTTTGACCTAATTTGATAGAATTCCACACAGTGTCATAAGGTCATAAAGATGTGCAATCAAAGCAGAGTTTTGAGAAAAGAATTTGTCTCAATGTACAGTGTATGCCTAAAGTCTCTTTGGCTTTATATGGGTCATTCTTCAGTGAGAGTGTCCTTGAGCAAAGGTTTTCTCAAATGTCAAGGTTAGAATCTTTTAGCTGAAAATTATCATAAATATATATATATATATGAGCTAGCATCGATCCAAACTGCCATGAATTTAAATTATATGGGCTCCTTTTGGCATGTTGGTGTCAGGTTTTTTACTGTAAGGTCAGGATTTACAATATGATAAAATGTACAATCATAGTTTGGGTATCTACTTAATTCTTTTAATGTCTAATGTCTTATTCATTATCAGAAAGATCATTTAGATGTGCAGAGACTCAAAGATCTCTGACCAAAGTCAAAATACATTTCATTTGTGATTTTGGGCTCACTTGAGATGAAAGCTCATAAGAGCTTTTCTGATCACATTTTGTCTGTAGTCTGTCCATCTGTTAATTTTAAATATTTTGGATTTTTTCCAGAACCACTGGGCCAATTTCAACTAAACTTGCCACAAAGCATCCTTGGGTGAAGGGGATTCAAGTTTGTTCAAATTAAGAGCCACAGCCTCTTCCAAGGGGAGATAATTAAAAATTAGAGAAAAATTAAGAGCATCTTTTATAAATCTTCTTTTCAATAACCACAGGACCATGTAAAAATCCTTAGGTAGTTCATGATTTGAACAAACTTGAATCTGCATTATGTCAAACAGCTTTCACATAAAGTTCATCTTTTCTAGTGTACTGGCTCTTGAGAAAATTTTAAAATATTAATCAAATTTGAATTCCCATTACCAAAGGATACTCTGTGCCAAGTTTGGTTGAAATCAACCCATTGGTTCTTGAGAAGATGAAAATAAGGAAAGATTACAATTTAGAGAACAAATTTTGATCAGAAAAGCTCACTTGGGCCTTCAGCTCAAGTAAGCTTAGAAAAAAAATGGAATCTTCAAGATGCATCTACTTAAGTTTCATTTTCCCTGGTTCAGTGGTTTTTAAGAAGAATATTTAAAGATATTTCATACAAATACCCATGTAAAACTTTCATTGTCCTATGTGGCCCCTTCCTACCCCTGGGGATCATGGTTTGACTAAACTGGAATACAATTCATGCCGGGAAGCTTTCAGCAATTTGGCACAATATATGTACTTGAATTCAGCATCTATTTTCTGCAAGTGAAATATAGTACCTGCATAGTTTAATAATGGGATATGATATTAACAAAGCATCGGCAATGACAATATTACAAGTAGCTAAAAGATTTCTGACAGAATTCGCTCATAACTGGTCCTCTCTTTACTAAGTCCCATTCACATTCCCCACTGTAAAATTACCTGCATGTTTAAATACACAAAAACAAATTCATATGTAAAATTTCATTATTGTATTGTATGTAGTTTACATGTACAATAATATTTATAAAATATTCATTTTAACAAACATGGTATTAATTTTCCATTGTAAAATGGACAGAAATATACATGTGGACTACACAAAAATCTGTAAATAACAAAGAAAAATAAAGTGCAATGTAACAGTGAGAAAAACACATCTTTTATGAGTAGAAAATATTTTTCATGAACTATACTTTGCTTTTGTAACAACCAAGAAGTTTTGATTGTTTCTTGTCGTTACCTCGGCTAATAGTTCCCCTCGCATCATGGCCGATTTTATGAAACTGGACTCTATACATAAGACATGCAAGTACCAGGGTATATAAAAATAACTGTTCTAAAACTCAAAATTAGATGTTGAGTCATACGACTTATAATCCTGACCATATAAGGATATCATAGATAAAAGCTGCCCTAATTTCACATAGTATCTGATAGTCAGGAATACAGTCAACATTGGTTAGTGAAAGAGTGAATTCCAAGGTCACTGATTTTTATAAATACAGAGGAAAACTTTAAAATTTTTCTTATCTTTTTGTTTTAATTTGTTAATGGTTTTCTTGTTTTATTTTACTTCAGGATTTTTTTTTATAATTCAAAATGCATAAAATATTTGAGAGCTGATGAACTTTCATGTACATAGATGTAACATTAGTCAACGCCTTTGAAATTACCATATGAAAATGAAACTAATGCCAAATATAATACTTATATTTATTATTCAGGTCACAACCCATGTCAATTAAGCTATACCTAAAAACCTTGTAACATGTAATAAATATGCTTATAAGCAGTATGTACTCTGTGTATTTTTTTTTTGTTTCTACTATTTGATACACTGTGGTCACAGCTAAATGTTACATGTATTAATTTTAATCCATTCTTATTTAATATTGGATAAGTTTTTCATGAGGCTTTAAACAAAGGTAAGTAACAAGATTCCATTTCTAACATAATGAGTAAATAAGGTAAACACAAATCACTGGGTTGAATATGGATGACAGTCAGCAAAACTACACAGAAAAAAAAAATCTCAGCCACACCCCTCATCTGTTTATCTTTGTTCAGTAGTCATCATCAACTGGTTACAAATATATGTACATGAATAAAATAACAAATTAAATACCATTGAATTATCACATATTCAACACAGAGCAGGTTTTATTGCTTTAAACAATCAGGATTTGAAGAAGTTGTCACACTTCATATTAATATCACATTATTGAGTTTAATATTGATGCATAACTTTATCATATAGATGAAAGTAAACATGTACAACATATTTATCGATACACTTTTTCTATATTTGAAATATCTTTTTAAATCAAAAGTCACTTTACTGAATTAAGCCTTATTCTAAAAGAAAAAAATAGTTTTAATTTTGCTATTACAAGGTGAATAATTTCCTTTTTCAAAAATCTTGGATATGATAATAATTGTACAAATATAAATTGTACACAAAAATTCAATTTAATGCTGATAAATATATTACATTTTGTTAAACTAGCTTTTACAGTTATTTAAAGAATAAATCTTCCAACTATAATGGATTTTCAAGTTTTCTCTATCTTGTCCATAGAACAAAATGACCTCACTTGACAATGTCGATATTTAAATACTGAAGTCATATAAATGTTGGAAAATATCACAATTTTCACAACTTCCTGATTTTAAATATTCTGGTACAACATACCTGCATAATAGAAATGATAATAAGTATATATATATATATAAAATTAAAAACTTAAACAATGGCTAATCAACTTGTTGACATCGCCATGACAACTGAGGTCAGCTGACGGTCTCTGTTGCTACGTGCCCTATAAGATATACGTTGTCATAAAGGTCACCTGCCAGGTCATCGTCTACATTTTGTGCTGCTCGACGGGTGTTCTTGATGAATTCTCTCTTGGACATTTTGTTTTTTACTGCGGGACTGCTCAGGTCTACTGACAACATGATCAGGGAGAAGCATAACACAAATACAGTATCTGAAAAAGCACCAGGAGCAAAAGTCAACAATCAGATTTACATAAATTAAAAAAAAATAATACAAGTCACTGTTATATTTCTTTTAAATTATAAAAACTACCCAAGAAAAAATCACATTTGAAAAAGTCATTCCATCTCTTTACAAATATAAATTGTTTGAGATGTGTACATTAGAGTTTTTACCTTTATCTAGCCCTAGTTTAGGATTACAAAGGCAGAATCTGTCTGAGAATTTGTCGATTATATCTGTCAGGTATTCTCCCCTGTTGTTTGGAGCAGAGATATTACCGAAGAGTTTACGGAGGGCGTTAGGTAAAAACTGGTTTTGAAAGTTTTGTAACTGCAGAAGGTGGTCTAATACATCTCTCCTGTAAAAAAATAATAATTTCTTATTAAATTTTTACAATAAATCATAGCACATAATTAATTAATTAAATTTTTTTTTTTTTTTTTTGCATTTTGACCAAGTTTTAGACATTTGTGATATTATTATTGTACTTCGGCAGAAAATATTTTAGAATTAAAATATCATTTGATACACTTTCATGGGCATCTTATAAAAGTGTGAAAGTTATACAAGTGATGGGTCCCCTTCAACAAATTATTGCACGTACCAGGTATATATAAAAACATGATAAATTAAACTATTCAAAATTTAGCACAATGATTGGTATCAAATGCTTGCCCTAACCATGAAACATAGATAGAACTTCTACCGTTAAAATGATATTGTCCAATGGACCAGGTTTCAGGACTTATACCGAGACACAGTTAGATTATTCTAACCATATGAAAAAGTGCTACAGATGAGATGTTGCATTGTATTCTTTTATGCTTTATTAATCAGTGCATCATTGTTTGCACCAAAACCACTCAATTATGAAGTTTGATTTTTAAGGATTTCTATCCCTAATGGGACCTAATTCCCTACCCTTAAATGTCCGTCAAGTACATAATACACTGATATTATATTAAAGCACGAGAAAGTTTTGAAAATGTCATTAATTAAGCAGTAGTTAATTAAAAAAGATTGCATTGAAGTCTATGGGAAAAAGTGTTTTTTCAAAATAAAAATTCAAATAATTTGAATATCAATAAATCCTGCGGTGGAAAGATGCATTTAAACTTTAAAAATAGAATGACAATTGAAAACAATTTTTTTACCAGCAGAATTTTTTTAAATTGATTTTTTTTATTAATTAAAAAAAGGGGAGATAACTCTTACCAGAACTCAAGGTCATAAATTAGGGCATATCCCACTATGCATACTAATAGTAATAAATGGGAAATATGTCTAAATAAAATTCAATGCCTACATAACAGTTATGTATTCAATTTCACTGAATTTGTTCTTAATAGGGATTTAATACCTTAAGTGCACATGCAGTAATGCATCCATCCTTATCATCTAGGGCTGGGACGATACAACTTTTTCGATATCGATACGTATCACGATATTTGAGCCACGATACGATATGTATCACGATATACTTAATTGCTTATAAAATCTTTTTTTGCATTGAAATAAACAAATTATTTCTTTGCAACTAAGAATAATTTATTCAAAATAGTTGTTTATGTATTGTAAAACAAAAATATTTTAATCAAATGGTGTTAATTATTATTTATTTCATATCTATATTTATATTTCACTTATTTATTTTATATATTAAACCCCAAATGTTAAATAAACCCAAAAAAATAGAAATAAGATTTTTTTTAACGATATTTCATCATATGTATCGATATGCGTATCGTCCTCACATATATCACGATATATCAATATCTCGATATATTGTCCCAGCCCTATTATCATCAATGCCATGTATTACTTGGATATGTCAAGGTATATGGTATAACATACAGTGTTGTAGTAACATTCAAGTAAGATAGCTTTGAATTATACTCACCTCATACCTAAATATTCTCTCTTTTTATCAGGCTTTATTTTGTTTGTGAAGTGTAAAAATTTTGCCATTTCTAATGCATTATTTTCCATGATGCCTCTTTTGAATAGATATTCCTCTCCCTACAAAAGATATCAATGTTTTAGGAAAGATATGTCTGAAGAACAGCAAAACAACTGGTCAATGGGCACTTGGTCCTGCTATTCTTCACCAGAGTATTTTCCCTTCATTTTCCATTTTATTATAGAAAAGTTGAGATTCACATAATTTTTACTTCATATAGATAATAGGAATAAAATTTTTAAGTTGTACTGTAATACAATAATAACTTTTTTAACTTGGAAATTTTAAAAAAAAAATCACACTGAAATTATAACACTATAATCTTCTTACCTCAAATGGATTTCCATTAAATGTAAGTGAAGCCTCATCCAACAATAGAAATAGTTTCTTATAAGACAGTCTTACTGGTTGTCTTATGTACTTGTACACACTGGCATACCCCCAGGATGCCTTACACAATCTGGAATTTAAAATGAAAATAATATATAATATTTTATAGAAATTGATATATACATGTATTATCGTGATTATGATCAAGTTTTATTGTAGAAGATTAAAAATGATTGAGTTTAAAAACTGCAAACATACATATGTACATGTACAAAGAAAACCAAAATCTGAAAGTCAATTGTTTGGGTATGAGACACATAAAAATCAGTTCTTTCTATTATCTCTTATTTTAAGCAAAAAAAATTAATATGAACACTCGGTCAGAAATATCAAACTATATTAAAGAAACAGTAAAACTCACCCCATCCATAAGACATCGTCATTGGCCAAGTTATCCCAGACGCAGGCAGCTAGACACAGATCAGTGGCGTCTAAGTGGGAGAGGATAGCCATGCTGATTTCTGGTGGCAGCTCAGCCAGGTTAGGGAATGTGGTGGCCACCACCTGGTTGTTTCCATCTTCATTCTGTGATTCTAAATGCCGGCGCAGGATCTGTCCCATATCCTGTGTATAACAAATTAAGTCTCATTGGCCACAACATTTAAATGCAGGTTCATTATTTTCAATATTCTTTATTCTGTTAGTAATATCTTCAAGTTCATTTCATTTCAATATCATATATGTTGTCATCTTTTTTATCTCCCTTTAGAAAGAATCACTACCACAATTTTAAACACCCTCCATCCCCAAATAATTTGTGGTTAACTGTTTGAGAACAGATTGATTTTGTTGATGAACTGGCAATAGTAAAACAAACTTCGAAAAGAAGTTCAACCGAGGCTCTGGCTTGGGAAAGCTGTTTTAAACAATAAAATACTTTCTTTGTTTGTTATTACAGTAACTGGAATTAACGGAAGCAGCTGTTGCAGAAAAAATACAAAACCTGCGTAAGCGGGTTATGTAAATTTTTTCTGCAATAGCTGCGACCATTAATTCCAGTAATAACAAACAAAGAAAGACATTTTTTGTTTATATTCATATCTGTTTAAATAATTATTTAAAGAAGGATTAAAAGTTAAATTATTGTATTAATGATGCACACGTCTTTATACGTTTCATTGACGGAACAGCCACTGATCAAGAAATCTGTACAGGCAACATGCCTAATGTAGTTCATGCAGTGATTAACGCAATGGGTTTTCTTCAGAAATAAAGGAGAAAATATTCAGTGGATGTAAATATACAGTAATAAACATTTCCTTACATGAACTGCATTATGGAATAAAACACTACAGGGAGATAACTGTAGGCATATCACACATTAACTCTCAATGAATTTAAATAAAAATCGTTTGAATGAAAAAACGATTGCTATATAGACCGTAGATACGAAGCACTAGTTTCATTTTTGTTTACCATGATTACATCGAGGAAATTCGGGATGAAAGACAATCGATAATTTTATGAAATCAATAGAGGCTGTCATGTAATATTAACAAAATATTACTTACAATTCGAACCCGTTCCAATGAACTACATAATACTACTTCTGTAACCAGTTATTAATGATCATACATCGTAAAAAATTACAAAATGTAGAAAATGACGTGGAACCCAGTGTTGTTTTGATACTCCGCACTTCATGAAACAAATAATTTCATTGGTCAAAAATATTTGCTGAAGGTAGTCAAAATCAACATTTAACGACATGGGAACGTGGTTTTGAACTTAATTTTTTAAAATTCTTTGTTTGATTTAAAAGTTTCAATTATTGATGGGCCTTTTGCGATTTTATGATGCCTGGTTATACTGTGTAATGTTACACACCTTCTGTAAATCAACATTTTTATTCTTTAGGAAATTCCAGCTAAAACTATACAATGTATTTATGTTTTTATGTTTATATTTATTTATTCACCAATCAAGGGCCCTCTGGGGGCATATACAGTTAAGAAACAAACAATATAATCTTGATTATAACAATGCAAAATTGACTTGATCCTCACTTGTAAAAGTTTTCAGATTTGAAATACTGATACACAGGGTATAGTTCACAATGAAATATAAGCATTACATATAATATAATAATAATATAATAATACAATATGACGAGGAAAAAATAATAATAAAATACCAAGCTATGTTAATCTTCTAGTAAAAATACAAGGATTTTCGTCATTTTATATCTGGTCAAATCTCCCGGTAATGTATGCTGATATTTTGTGTAGGAAACTTCAGAACATCTTATATTACTATGATTTAGAATTGAGAATATCTTTCTAAATAAATCAGTAGGAAAGGCACATTGTACATAGAGATTGTGTACATGTATAACTATATATTCGTTGCATATGTCCTTAATTGGCAAGCTCCAAAAAATGTATTTTAATTCAGAAAATGTTCAATAAATTTATTTCAGGATAAAAAATATACTTATCCAGGCATTCGGAGAAAATTGAATTTTTAAAAATACTTATACATGCAGTATTTTAGTTTTAGTTCTGTTATTTGCTTCAATATTGTTATCAGTCTAATTACACATTATGCTGAAAAATCTATAACCCATCAAAGATCATTCTTAATATCATATCATGCCAACAAACATTGAGCACTATCTATAATCAGATTAGAGGAGATTTGATTTCGTTCAAACTGTATTTATTTCTCTACTTGTGTGGAAGCTCCAACAATTGAAGGACCTTTGTGCGGTTTTATAATGCTGCTACAAATTACATGGGCACGCCAAATTCACAAAAATGAGATAAATCTAGTTTCACAATTGATAAACTAAGTTTATCGACTGTAAACTATAGTTAACGATTCGTTAAGTATAGTTAACGATCCGTTAAGTATAGTTTTCATCTGTAAAACTATATTTAACGGTTGTAAACTATAGTTTACGAATGATAATCTAAGTTTATCTGTCTGTAATAAGCGTTAACAATAGATTTTGTTGATAAACATTGATTCACGTTTGTAAACTATAGTTTACAATCGTAAACTATAGTTAAGAGTTGTTAATCATAGTTTCACAAATCGTGAAACTATATTTATCAGATCGTTAACTATAGTTAACGGTTTGTAAACTATAGTTTACAAATCGTGAAACTGTATTTATCAGATAATCTATGTTTTGCAATCGCAAATGATTGTTTTCAGTGTTAAGTATAGTTTACGGTTGTGAAACATAGATTATCGCGTTAACTATGGTTTACGGATGTAAAATATAGATTAACGTTGTTAACTATAGTTTACAGTCCGTAAACCATAGTTTACAACCGATAAATCTAGTTATCGACTGTGAATCTATGTTTATCTCATTTTTGTGAATTTGGCGTGCCATATACATGTACATCTCCTCTAAATTGAGGAAATACAAGCGAAACTTATGTTTTTGTTAATTTAAACAAGAAACGGGAATTTTTATACCCCCCGCTTGAAAAGCGGGAGGGTATATAGTATACACTTATCCCATGGTTGTGAGTGGGATAGCTCTTTTTATCAAACCCGAATGAAAGATGAAACAGAATCTTTATTTATTGCCATTGCACCATCCTTTTTGAGGGCTTGCCCGAGGGCAAAACATGGTTTTGTCTAGGCCATTTTTGTGAAAGAGCTATCCCAAAACAACCATGGGATAAATGTTTTATTATACTGATGTAAATTATAATTTCTAAGGTTTGAATTTTCATTTTTTAGTTAAAATAATACTGCAAAATGTTACGAAATCCTGATGACGTCACAATTACTAAGTCATTTGACATCATCAGGCTATGGTTTTATCTCTGGAAATCAAAATTGGCGTCAAACATTGCATGAAAACTTTCCAAGGGGTTTGCCTACACGCAAAAAATACCCCATGTGGGTATAGCTTATATATGCGGGGAAATTTTCAGACTATTTGAAGAATAGTTATTTTACCTTCTGAACTTTATATAGGAAACATTTTAACAGAAGTATAATAATAATCGTTAATTCCGTCCGTCCGTCCGTCTGTCTGTTACGCTTTGGGGTACCCATCTCTTTAACTTATCCGCAACTCCTCTCATTCCACTGAATGAAATTTGATGAAACTTTCACAGAATCTTTATTACATATTGCCATTGTGCACCTTCTATTTTACTTTTTGATCCGACATATATTTTGGGTTTCCCGGCCACAGCAAATCATGGACTTTGCCATTATGACTATATGGCAATCGTAACTACTCGGCCATTTCCGTGAACAATAATATTATTTATCTTTCGGAAATCTTTCGGAAAATGGCCGAGTAGTTACGAATGAACTATATGGAGGCTAGCCTGGTTTCCTGTCCCTGTTTTGCTTCGTATACTCCGCGTCACCTGCCTTGGCAAAGGATGAGCCAGGGGACCAGGCTATATGGAGGCGGGGGGTATCATTTAGTGAGCTCATCGCTCACAGTACCTCTAGTTTAATTTCATGTCTGTTTATCTGAAAGCCCATTAACCTCATTTTTGTAGTTAAAATATATATTTCGTGTTATAAAGCAAAAGTTTTGCTGTTATTCGCGAAGCTTACGCATTAAAATGTGAAAGTTTTGCGTTTATTTACGAAAGTTTACCGTTATAGATCCAACGCAATTTTTTTTGTTCACCTACAAAACTGAGCTCTTTAAATCAGGCTTTCACGAGTACGTTTAAATCTTAGAAATATTAATATGCTGACCCCCCCCCCCCCCCCCCCCCCCCCCCCACCGAACATCTGATGAACTTATTTTTTTAATTTAGAATATAGAATATCTACAGAAAAGGTACAGCTTTGCCTACACGCTGTACATATAACCTTAACGAATCAACCAATATACATGTGTTGATATACAAGTATATATATAAAGATGGTTGTACCAACACGGATTTTTACAGTTGTTGATTGTTTGTTTTTTTTACTTTTGTTTTTCATTTTACAGTTGCGATTTTTTTTTTATTCTTACAGTCTTTAAAATACTGTACAACTAGTTGGTTCAATCAACAGAACTATCAAGCGATTTATATTGACTGGACACATAGATTAATGGCAAAAAGGGGGTACTAAAGAAGGGAATCAAACTCAAAAATCCAGATGATGTTTATCAGTTGTGAGCAGAGCAAGTACGTCTCTACAAAAATCTGGATGGGATCCAGTGCCATGGGCAGGTAAATATCCCCTGTAGAGTGGTAACTCTCACCAAAAAGCGAGTCCTTTGTCTCGATTGGGTAAACAGGGTAATTCGTAGGAAAAAAGCATTGATATTGAGCTAATAATTTGTATTATCTAAACGTCTGTCAATGTCCAAGCTAAGAAGTTGTATTCAACAGATGGATAACTTAGCATTTCCATTGTTAACTTCTGAAAAATTAGGTGCAAATTTTACTTATGTTAATAAATGTATTTCTGGAAACTTTTTTGCAATCTTGACAATAGTCATAGTCTGTTATCAACTGGTGTTGATTCGGTACGCAAGAGAATGTTCTGATAAGAACCAGTTTTGAAACCGATGAAATACAATTCTCATTTAACCTTGGACTTTCAATAAAGCGTGGTGTTTTCGACGATACATAATTAGTGTCTGAAATTTACCCAGCCTTTCATTCACTGTTGAAATATACATTCCGGCGTATGTCAACGAGTGTTTCGATATCCCAATGATAACGCATCGTACGGCAGAGAGGTGGGGCTTAAGTTGTCTCATCGTTGTCAACAACAATTTAAAGTTGTTGATGTTATTATTAATTTCTTAACCAATGAGAATCTATTCGCCATTTGAGAGACGTTAATTACTTAGTGTCGAGAAAGTCACGCCCTACTGAAAGTCCAAGGTTAATTGAGAAACGTACTAAATTATTGACAAATAAGTTGATGTTAGCAGGCTTTCAACATTCTCGTTTACAGTCAACATGTCTACAGTGTATAAATATTATGACCATTATATAAATATTGTTTGCATTAAGATTAGTCAAACGTCTTACCCAAAACTCAACAAAATCAAGAAAAAATTAAACTTCCAGATGTCGAAGGAATTGAAATATACATAAATATAAGAATGTAAGTACCATTGAATAGACTATTTTACTGACACGTTTCTAACTCACACGTTTCTAACTACATGTACTAATTAAGCCATTCTATCTATGCTGATTTTGACTTCTAAGATTTATTTCAAATCATTACAGAAGACTCGCGATGGAATGACCGTTGGACAGGGGATGCTTACTTGTCATAGGCATCTGAACCCACCTCTGAAGTCTCCAATTATTCGTATGCAGTCACATGATCTTTTGAGACAACAGCAAGGGCGGGTACACCATTTTTTTTTGGAACAAACAGTTTTCCGTTGAGGAAAGGGTGAGTTAAATTAGAGAACATATTTTTAATGTCTTCACATCATGAAGTATAATTTTCGAAGTTCGAAAAACAATTTTTTGTTTCACAGTCGTCATTTGCCATAGCAATACAGTTTCAGTGTTTTGATTGTCATTGTACTCTTTACATAGCACGATTTTAGAGCAGCCATAATTGAAGGGCCTTCAAAGTTTGGAAACGACAAATTAAACGTAAGATCCTTGAGATAGAACTCCTTATAAGCCGTAACATTGTAATATAATAATTATAATACATTGGTGAATAAAAATGTAGGAAAACTAGACACATTACTTGAATACTGCTTTGGCATACAAATTAAGGGCTTTTCCTGCAACTGTGAACGTGTTAACGTGTTAAACATGTATATTTTAATCCTTTAACTTCTTACTCCAGTCGAATAAGGGTGGGGGGTGGGGTCATACAATTTCAATAATTTTCACTTCGGCACACATTTATACTATTATAATACTAACATCACATCCAAAAACAAATTTATTCATATAGCAAGTTTTATTTCTTTGCATTGAAAATGCACCAATTGTTCCTTCCTTCAACTTATATCACAGTCTTCTAACACAATCTCAAATACGTGTAAATACCAACAAACAGACAGAGCACAGTTTTGCGTCTTTGACAGTTATTCAAAAAAGATGCCATGAACCATGGCGATGGCAAACAGAGAATGGTTTTTATACTCGATACAGGAGTAATTGTCTGTCTTAGCATCCCAGAGACATCGGCTGGCCACTTCCAGACCCTGTTCCGAGCACTGTCCAATAATAACATTACAGATAATCTTATAGCGGGGAAATTCCATATTTCTGACCTTATTTCGAATCAATTGGGCAAGATCACAGCATAATTTACTGGCGGTTTTATTGTCATATGACACACTGGACAGCTGTTCATCTAAGATTTCTTTGACGGCTTTTCGTACTTTCCATGGCACGAATGTGCTGTCTTCATCCGGAGACATCTTGTAAGTGTTTTCCATCCGAACTTTAGGTTTACTGGCTAGGCTGTTTTGTTCCTCCGGGAGATCGAGAAGAGCTTTAGTGAGACGTCGGCCCGCTAAAGCGGTGGTTCCGGACAGTTTCATGATGGACTTTCGGCGACCTCCTCCCCCCGGGGGTTTGATTGACTGTTTCCTGGAGGACTTGCTACCCCCCGATACATCCGCGACGTCATCTGTCACTACGATAGGAATGGACTCCTTCCTCTGTCAATGAAAGCCAAATGATTAAATCTGCATGGCCTTATGATATTAAAATATGAAATAGAATTGTTGCAATGTTATAAAAAAATTCTGGTCATATATATCGACAATTTATTTTTAATGTATTTAGCTCAGTAGGCCAAATAAAGTATTTGGAATGTGTGAACACTTCGATATTTTACTCAACATAAGGTGTCAATGTCATATCCCAATGACAATGTAGGCGCTGAATAACTGATAAAAGGATTACGAGGTTTTGATTAAAAGAAACTATTTTCTTTTTTTTATTACATTGAAATTTGAGAACGACATGTTTAAGAACAAGTAATGAAAAAATGAGCGACGAAATAAATAACAATTGTCCTTCGGCTTCGGGGGGAGGGGGGGGGGGCTGAGGTCACAAACTCCTCAAAATGTCTTAACCCTAGAATAACATCAACATGGTCAAGGTGGCAAACTTTACAGCAGAGGTGAAGCATTCAAGACAATGTGTATGATAACGATTATTATGTAACTAACGGTAACTAATCCGTGAAATATAGATTAAATGATTTTGTCTGAGTTGTTTTAAAGACTTAATCTACGTCTTTGACAATCGGCGCAATAACATGTATGCATCATAGCTAATCTTCTTAAAAAGAATTGCTAATTAAAACAATATTAATAACGGTGAACCGATTTATTAAAAAAATGTCTTACATATCAAGAAAAACATATTTCTACACCACAAAATGTAGAAAACCGTCGTAGAAAATATCAAACTCGTTGTGACAATTTTACGACATTAAGATAAGAAAAAATGTCATAAAAAAATTCTGCGACTTACCGAATCCATTGTTAAAATGTCTGTGAATTTTCACTCTGCAATAGATTAAGTTCAAGACATGTAAATTGTTTCACAGGGGGTACCATTAGTCTGTTTTGACTACAAAAATGCAGTTTTGGGGAATGAAATTAAATACACTTCACGTAACCTAGTTCATAAAAATTCAGATCAAGTATTTAAAAAAGATAATTTGCAATATAGATTGATTTACAGACAGCAATGCAAACAATACGTAAGATTACTATTTGCTTTTTTTAATGTTACCTGTTTAAATTGCCAGAATGCATTTAAAAAAGGTGTCTTCCTACAAAATACGCTCATTTCAACATTTTTCATGTTTTGTCAAAGTTATCACATTACAAGATTGTTTTAATAAAAGAAAGCAAGTAGGTAGAAATGTGCACAATTTAACAGTTTTATCACTGCAAAGTTGCATCTCCAGACAATTTTAAATGTTTACACTCAGTTTTTGTGAATGACATTAACCCACTTTTAAGCCCATTCATACTAAATCTGAAAAAAAAATGTAAATGGTGCCCCAAAATAAAAAAAAATCCTACTTCTTTTATCTAAAGACACACACAACAACAGCATGTAGACAAACAAATTATAAACACAATTCGAAAACAAAATAAAAGAAAACAAAAACTTACAAACATTCTACAAATAAAAACATAAATACCGATACTGACCTTTTCGAGTCAGATGATATCACCACTTTCGCTGGAATAATACACTCTCCCTTTTTTTCTCCTAAAATTTATCTTTTAATTAAATGTCTTCCCGTTTATCTCAGTCATATTTATTCATGGTGCGTCCGTTATATTCTACAAACGCAATATGCGCACAAAATGTATTCAAATCACTACTTAACAACTCAACGGGAGAGTCCCTAAGCTAGATTTTAAATACAGCTATATATTCTCCGATTTATCGGGCAAAATGTAAATGTGTACTCGCTTGTAAACGGATTAAGGAAAATTTTCAATAAAATAATCCTCATGGTCTTTATAATGCGATGAAATGGCAACCTTTGAACGTAAACATATCAACAGGACATTGTCCAATAAAGAAAGCATTTTGATAACAAGGTATAATATTTTCTTATTTCTCTTTCGCCGTAATTGATTGATCGTAACCCATCTCGTTAATTTGTTTTAAAACAGCAATAAAAGTCAATCGATGGGATCGGAATCAATTATAGAGAGGGCCGACTGAGTGTATGTTAATTGTGAATCGCCAGAGATTACCGTAGTCATGGATATACAGATGATATCAATGCCTTAAAACGCAACTTTTTCTTTCATTGTGAGGAAAAACACGTTCATAACCCCCCTTAACTCTGACACGTAAAAAGATAAGATCAATGTCTGATTAAAAATTGCTTTTCTCGTTTGTCACCTTAACAAGTGTAAACAAATCCTCTGAACAATGGTATGTTGAAGGGGGGAAATGTTGATCATAAATCTAAGTCCATTGGAAAACGTTAAGGTGAAAAATAAATAGATATTAAATACATAAATAACAAATAAAAATACATTATTTCAAAATTATTAAATAATTATACGACTGTAGATTTTGTCCCTTCCTTGATATGACATAAGAACATCGTTCTTTTTAAAGGTTATATTGAACAGGCATTACGGCTGGTGCGAAAGTCTTACATTATATTACATACTTTAAGAAAAAAAATACGTTTGATTTTTTTATTTTAATTTTCAAATCCCCCAGAATTTCATAAATATAGTTTTAAATATGACATGCAGTCAACTGCTTAAATTAGTGCCAACTACTGAATGACACTGCTTATTGCTTGCTGTCAACTTCTTATTGCAGATATGGCCTACTGTGTCGAGCTTAATGCTTTAAATAAACCATAAGTAACAATATTTACTATAATCCCAAAACAAAATTGGAAACATGCAGCTTACGTCATTTAAATTTCATCTGTTTGAAAAACATCTGATGATACACACTAACGTCTGGAAAAAAAAACAACAACAATGAATTGAAATTGTAGTTTGAAATTAATTCTTAATCCACCTGAGCGATTGTTAAATACATTGAACGCCCGAAAAAAAGGGGGGGGGGGGTCACAAATTTATTGACGAACGGTAACTCTGATTTCAGGAAGTAAACCAAAACAAGGAAGTACCCTGTATGTTTATATCATTTCCGTTTTTTATCAGCTGTCAAAAAAATTGAGTTTCAACTTTCAAGGTACAGACAATTGTTCTACTTTTCTTATAAAGTAACGATTTTTTTTATAGTTATGTACTTGTACTTGTTTATACATGCATTGTAGAAAACATGTAAAATCGGAAGGGGCGTTATTCCACTATAGTAACATTACTGAAATCCATTATATCCTTGAAATCATCAAAAACGAAACTAACCCCGTTTTGTTAACATTTTTTAAACAAAAAAAACATTATTTTCATATATTTAATGTTTTTTTTGTGTCTAAGAAGATCGAACATGCACCAAAGCGTTCAGATTACATTGGCGTCGGAAGCAAATATATTGTAAAAAAAAAATCAAAAAAATGTATTTTTATTTTTAAGAAGTACCAAATTTTTTTTCCAAACACCACCACTTTCCACATTTTGAACCTATCCTAAGACGTATCTGTGGAAAGTGGAGGGGCTAAACCTACAAAGATATGTTCAATGTCTATACTAAGTATATATTTATATGCTATGGATTATATGCATATGGTACAATACATGTATTTTCATGCTGTTAGACAAACTAACCCTAGAACTAAAGAGCCATATCTGCCTTATCAACTGTCAACTCAAGAATTTAAAAGGAAATGACCTGTTTCTATTTATACCCTTTCAATTCAAGATCAACTGAACTACATGTATTTTGTTATTATTATCATTTTTTTTGTAATGTTTGACAATCATTTTACTTGTTCCTTTTCATAAAAATAAAACACTCAGCTATAAATTTCCGGTAAATTAAATAGTTTAAGACTGTCTTTTCTCAATATCATAGGTGTAATGTGTATATTAAAAAATTCTGAAATTATGTATATTATGAAACATATTCACGAAAACGTAGAAAAGATGCACAAAGAAAAAATAATTTTAAAAAAGCGTAAATCAGTGAAAAAAACCCCCGAGGGGATCGAACTCGCAATCAACATATTCACAGCATTTCTTATTATATCAGAAAAATTTAATATATACATGTATTTTCATTATTTTAAATATTAAGACCACCTTTAACGAAAATTATCTGAATGTATAATGAATAAATCATATCCAAATAAAATTATTCAGAAGCTGTTTTTCTGGTTAAGGGTGGTCTTTGGCAACAGTTTGTCATCGTTTAGGTGGATATCTCAATATTTACTATATCCTCGTAAACTGAATGATTCTCATATTACATAACATGAGGAAAGGAAGGTCTTGTCACAATGAATACACCTGTGAAATATGAAAGCCAGGCCCCCATCCACTCATAAGTTAAGGGCAAAGTTAAAGTTTTTGCGGACAGATAAACAGACAGACAGACGGACGGACAGGATGAAACCATATACAAGCCCCCCCCCCCCCCCGAATTTTCCATTACGGGGGCATAAAGATGATAATTTTAAATATGACTCCACATGCATGTATCTTCTTTTTTTGAAAAATCTGGAGATATGCATTTTCATTCAGATTTTAGAGTGGCAAGTGAACAGATCAGAAAACAAACAATTCCTTTCGTTTTTGGTACTTGGGCTACATTTACACAAAGAGGATGGGGGGATAAGGCGGACAAAATGCCTATAGCGTCAGATATAAAAGAAATCACATTTGATTCATGTTTGTGATATGACCCTTGACTCTATGGACGAAGTATTTCTCGGAAAGATGTCATAATTAAAGTGTACTTTTAAGGTATAGTGGGTCTTCGCTCCATTGTTTTGTCCCCCGCTTTCGCGAAAGCGAGGGGGTTCGTCCGTCCGTCTGTCCGTTACAAAAACTTTAACCTTGCCCATAACTTTTGATTTAGTGGAGCTATTACTTTCATGTTTCATAAGTGTATTTCTTGTGATAAGACCTTTCTTTGGGTACCGCCAAATTTGACCTTTTGACCTTGACCTTGGAGTTTGACCCACTTTTACACAAAAATTCCATAATATTACTTTGGCCATAACTTTTGAATGGTAGATACTAGTACTTTCATATTTCACATATATATTTTTTGTGACAAGACCGTTCATGGGATCCAACAACTTTGACCTTTTGACCTTGGAGATTTTTATACTTGTGAAAAAACTTTAACCTTGACCATAACTTTTGAACGGTAAGGGCTAGGGCTTTCATACTTCATATATGTAATCCTTGTGAGAAGGCCTTTCATTGGATACCAAGAACTTTGACCCTTTGACCTTGACCTTGGAGTTTGCCCTACTTTTCAAAAACTTTGACCTTTGCCACAACTTTTGAACAATATAGATACTAGGATTTTAATATTTCGCATATGTATTCTTTGTGGCAAGACCTTTCATTTGATATCAACAACCTTGACCTTTTGACCTTGACATTGGAGATTTTTCGTACTTATGAAAAAACTTTAAAGAGGCTGGGGGGTGGCAGCATTTTCAGACTATTTCGATCTCCTTTAAAAAAACTTATAAAGATATACAAAAATTGAACAATTTCAAAACTTTTGCCAAATAATACAGTTTCATACTTCTAAAAAAATAATTTAAACATATGTACATCAAACTTTTGTGGTAAGAAGGCTTTCATACTTCACATATGTAATCCTTGTGAGAAGGCTCGGATACCAAAAACTTTAACCCTTTGATCTTGACCTTGGCGTGCAGTGATTATTTCTAAGTAAATGTCATATGATGGGTGTTCATATTACACACAATATATCATAAAAAATGACATCTCACCCACAAAGACACCGAAAGCGGGGGACCACAATTCCTTGAATTTGCTTGTTGTAAACTAAAAAAATATTCATTAATTTTATCGCAAACTTTTAGGATTATCTTTCAAAAAAAAATGGAGCGAAGACCCACCCATAATGAAAGATTTTGTTAAAGTATGAAAAAATGATCGTTTTTGTTCTTTTAAGTCTGTGTATGCTTTTTCATAGGCAAACATTTTGTCTTAGTGAGATTTTTGTAAATTATAGAGAATTTATATTAAGTATACTTTCATATTTTAATGAAATATGGTATAAAATTTGGATATAATTGAGATTAAATTTTTCACTTTTTATCTGTCGCGCTATAGGCATTCTGCCCGCCTTATCCCCTATCTTCTTTAAGTATTTACGAAAATAAAATTATGCTGGTAAATGGGGGGGGGGTTTCATATGGTGTAAAAAATGCTATCCCTTATTTGGTAATTTGCGGGTATTTATTAAAACAAGATGAGTTTGTGAAACACTGATGCCCTTGTATGTCAGCTTATGTCGAAAGTTAGTTGGTTTCTCAAATGGATGAAATTCAAACGCAAAGGTCAAGAAATCAAAAATGATGTTGCCTATGATAGTACTATATAAACCAAAACACCAAGGGTTTAAAATTTATGGCCAAGGCGTATGCAGACGCAAAACAGATAAAAAATTGACATGGCCTAATGTCTAAAAACATTTGGGATAAGTGTATAGAAGGTCTTTAATCCATAAGAGGCTTTGCCTTTTTAAAGTCGTTATACATAACCCCGTGTTATGCATGTTTCTTTATAACTTCTAGTTAAAAATATCCACGGAAAATATTACTTTTTTTCAGAATTTATTGGAAAAACCAGCAATGGGTGAACGGAGCGGTGCCCAGGACGTGACACGCTGCAGTTTGTGCGAGAAGTCAGCGATAGACATGTACTGTGATGTCTGCCATGTCAGCCTTTGCAAGCCCTGCACCGCAGAGCACATTTCTGATGAATATGACAAACATAAAGTGGTTCCATTCGAACAAAGAAATTCAAACTTGATTTATCCAAAATGTGCAACACACCAGTCTAAAACTTGTGAATTTCAATGCAAGGAATGCGACATATTTGTTTGCTCTTTGTGCATGGCATCTGAAATACACAGGGGTCATAAATTTTCTATTTTGACAGAAATCTACAACTTAAAGAAAAAAGCCATCAAAAGAGATACAGAAGAATTGAAAAGGATAGTTTCTCCAAAGTATGAAGAAATTGTCACTGACATCGAAACGGAGATGACAAGACTGGACGAGGAATACGCAAAACTTGCGGAAGATGTGACGAAACATGGAGAAGTTTGGCATCGAGAAATTGACATGATTTTGAACAAAATAAAAAATGAAATCGATGTCATGAAACATCAACATTTGGCTATTTTGCAGAAACATTTGGAGGAAACCAAAGCGATTCATTCTCTCATTGAACAAACCATAACATCAGTGGAAGAAACGGGGGAATCGAATGAAATGTCAGTGACAGTGTCATACAAGTCCAAAAATAAAGTTTTTCGGAAATTTCCCCCTAAAGTTCAAGTGTCACTTCCAACATTCATTCCAATAACAATGGGCAACGAACAGTCTTCCAAGCTTTTTGGAACTTTAATACCACTAGCTACAACAACCATAGAAAATGGCTATAAACACTCCATCAAAATTATACCCCGAGATCTTTTGGATAAGCCAGAGTTAATTACCACCATCAACACCGAGTATGAATACCTTTGCTGTGTGACATGTTTCAATGATGAAGAAATCTGGACAAGTGGAGTTGTAAGCGATATTACATGCTTTGACAGTCATGGTTCACTCATAAAGACTGTGAAAACGAAGTCCGGGGGATGGTTGTACGATATAGCGGTTACAGACGAGGGAGATCTAGTGTATACGGATTGTAACACAGCAACTGTGAATAAAGTACGGGATGGCCAAACGGAGGAGATAATCAGCCTTCAGGGATGGGAGCCCAGAAATCTCTGCGTTGCTTCCTCCGGCGACCTCCTGGTCATCATGTTTCGTGACGATAAAACAGAAACCAAAGTCGTGCGATATTCAGGCTCCACAGAGAAACAGACAATTCAGTTTGACGAGGAGGGAATCCCGCTATACCCAGGCAACAGTAACATAGAATACATCACTGAGAACAGGAACCTGGATATCTGTGTAGCTAACTATACAGCTGGTGACGTAGTGGTGGTCAATGAGGCTGGAAAACTCCGATTTAGATACACAGGTCAACAATCCACGGATAACGACAAAGCATTTCAACCGCATGGCATCACCACGGACAGTCAATGTCAGATCCTGATTGCGGATTACAACAACAACCGTATCCACATCCTAGACCAGAACGGACAGTTTATCCGATATATATAGATAGCTGTGGTCTAACTACACCTTACGGACTGTGTGTCGACATAGACGACAATTTGTTTGTGGCTGAATTTTCAAATGGGACAATTAAGAAAATTAAGTATCTGGAATAGGCGCCACAGATTAGGTGTAATTTTTTGTATGTTGTTAAAATATGTATTGTTTCAAAAATATTATTTGACTTTTGAGCTCAAAATTAAGTAGAAGTCCTCTTCAAGATGAGAATTATGATATAACACTCATGTGCTTAGAGATTTCATCTGGAATCAAAGGTTTTTTTGTCAGACAGAATGACAAACAGATAATGAGACGGACAGACAGACCCAAGTTAACCTTTTCTTTCAAACCAGATATTTCTGTCAAGACTATAGCTGTACTAATTTGTACATATACCAAATGAAGGAGAAAAGAAGCAGTTTTATGGCAAGATTGCAATCAGAGGAAAGAGTAGCCTTAAAAAGAATTTTAAAAATTTAGTAACCATGAAAACATTACTCATCAATATAAAAACAAGACGTCCAGGGGCCACATCGTTCAAAGCGAAAACCAATTCAGTATATTGAAAGGTTTAAATATAAAAGTGGGTTCGGGGAGGGGGGTATTTCTATACTTTCTACGAATGCTTTTAAATTTGTAAAATTTGATTGATATAGCCTTTATATTTTCCTTTGTACGCCTATAACTTTGATCTCCAATTGTGGCCCCACCCTAACCCCTGAGGTCATGATATGATCGAACAAACTTGAATTTAATTAAAAACTATCTGAGGATGCTTCAACATGAGTTTTATCTTTCCTGCCCCAGTGATTCTTGAGAAGATTTTTAAAGATTTTTCCTATTCATTCCTATGTTAAACTTTGATCACCCATTGTGGACCCAGTCTACCCCTTGGGTCATGACTTGAATAAACTTGAATCTACACTAGATGAGAATGCTTCCACATGAGATTCATCTTTCCTGATCCAGTGGTTCTTGAGAGATTTTTAGCTCACCTGAGCCAAAAGCTCCATTAAGCTTTTCTGATCAAAATTTGTCCGTTGTCTGTCGCTGTTCTAGTCGTTGTCGTCGTCGTAAACTTTTCACATTTTCATCTTTTTCTCAAGAACCACATGGCCAATTTCAACCAAACTTGCCATAAAGTAGAGAGCTGTTGAAATGAAAGGCAAAGTGATAATTATGAATTAATGTGTGTGTGTGTGGAAGCAGTCTCAGGTAGTGTAGATTCAAGTTTGATCAAATCATGATCCCCGGGGGTAGGGCGGGGCCACAGTGGCTGATCAAAGTTTAACATAGGAATATATAGGAGAAATCTTAAAAAATCTTCTTCTCAAGAACCACTGGGCCAGGAAAAATGAAACTTATGTGGAAGCATCCTCAGGTAGTGTAGATTCAATTTTATTCAAATTATGACCCCCCGGGTGTAGGGCGGGGTCACAATGCCGATCACAGGTTTACATAGGAATATATAGGAACATTCTTTAAAAATCTTCTCAAGAACCATTGGGCCAGAAAGATGAAACTCGTGGAAGCATCCTTAGGTAGTGTAGATTCAATTTTGTTCAAATCATGACCCCGGGGGTAGGGCGGGGCCACAACGGCTGATCAAAGTTTTACTTTGGAATATATAGGAGAAATCTTTTTAAAAAAATCTTCTTCTCCAGAACAACCGGGCCAAGAAAGATGAAACTCATGTGGAAGCATCCTCAAATAGTGTAGATTCAATTTTGTTCAAATCATGACCCCCGGGGGTAGGGCGGGGCCACAATGGACGATTAAAGTTTTCCATATGAATGAATACGTCGGATTTTTTAAACTCTTCTTTAGTCAAGTCATGATTGGTCATATCTTTATGTAAGCACCCTCACGTAGTGGTGATTCAAGTTTGTTCAAGTCATGAACGGGAAGTATAGGGGTTGGTAGGGTGGGCCACAACTGGGGATCAAAGTTTTGCCTTGAAATATGAAGGAATTTTTTTCCCAAGAACAGAAAAGCCATGTTTAATCATATTGATATGGAGGCATTCTCAGGTAGTACAAAGTCACACTGGTTCAAATGAGGGCTCCCAGGGGTAGGGTTGGGCCACAATGGGGGGGGGGGCAAATAAATAAATAAATATGAAAAAAAATCATCTGCTCAAAAACAGCATAGGCATTTGTTGTATGGAAGTATCATCAGGTAGTTGGTAGTTTAAAATTCCAGACCCCCCCCCCCCTGCAAAATTCTCAATACTGCTTTATTTTTTAGCCAATGTGCGCAGGTGTGCGATGTGGCTCATGGGTCTCTTGTTGAAAGATGCCATCAATTTTTCACTATTTCATAATTATCTCCCCTTGGAAGAGGATATGGCCCTTCATTTGAACAAACTTGAATTCCCTTCACCCAGGGATACTTTGTTACAAGTTTGGTTAAAATGGGCCCAGTTCTGGAGAAGAAGATGTAAATGTGAAAAGTTTACGATGACAACTACACCAACGACAACAACAACGACGACAGACAACGGAAAATTTTTGAACAGAAAAGCTCACTTGAGCCTTTGGCTAAAATGTTCTTAGGATATTATGAATGTTAATAATTTTATACAATCAGTTGACTGTATGTATATAGCTTTAAGAACTAGGTTGTAGAAGGTCATCTGCTCTGACACTTATATCCTTGTCAGATCTCTTATCCAAGAACAGGACCTAGAATGAATCCGCAAAATTCCTTATCATAAGGTTGCAGCTTAAAAAAAAACGATCTTATAGAAAAAAAATTCTTTTTATATACGCTGCAGTGTATGCACTATCTGTGATTAAATTACTAGAAACTCTAATACATTAAACAAGCACACCCTGAACCAAACCCAACCCCCCAAATAAACTAATTTCATAACTTTGAAGAACAAAAATTGTCTCTTGTGATTCATATCAAAAATTAAATAGATAGAAATTAAGAAAATTCCTTTAACATTAACAAATAAAGAGCTAAAATGTAGAATAGGTGATTTCGATATTTATTTTAGAGCAACGAATTCAAAATTAATATTTAATAATTTCATAAAAGGTTTTATTAAAACAAGAAATATTCATAAAATGCCCAGCAAGAAAAGTATTCAATACTAATTTTATTTCATGATGAACCATCAATTTAAACCAAACATTCATATATTTAATGAAATCTAATCCTATTATACAGACAAATGAAAATTGAAAAAAAAAACACGAACGTAAAGTATTAATAACTACATTACTTTTATACAAAACATTAGCTTGATGCCTCATTTTATCGAAAAAGCCCACAAAAAATAAACAATGTAAATGTACATACATTACATAATATATGAAGACATAACCTACAAAATTTGCAAAACTAATGCATACATTATAATTATATAATACAAGATCTTTTGAAAAGCATCAGGGCCGGCCAGGAAAAACTAGAGATAAAACAATTTTAAAAACTCGAGAAACCTGTGTCTGTTGCCAAGTGCCGCTGGATGCAAAAAATAGTTGCGACGGACCTCACAACTTATATCAAAACCTAATTAAAATGTTTTATTTATATCTCAAAAATATGAAAACTTTGATGTTACCGCTTAATTAAATCAGTGGCTAGAAGTCAATTTCTATTGGTCACTTCCTGACCAATTCACACTAAACTGTATAAATATCTTGTCATTAATACAACATATTTCCCATATACTGTATCTTAATAAAGAAAGTGTAAAGCAGATGGAGGGAGGTGTTTTTTAAGTACATATATTGCTTAAATATGAATGTGAATAAATACCTGTATGAAACAGTAATTTACTTAATATAAATACAAGTTCAGAGACAAGAAGAAAGAAAATTTTAAAAAAGAATTACATTCAGAAAAAAGGATTAACAATTGTTTCCTTTTAATTCAAAGAGAAGTAAAATATTTTCCATGTTGAATTATAGTTATGAGTCAATATTATGTTCACATGATTATATATATATATATATATATATATATATATATATATATATATATATATATATATATATATATATAAAAGTAGCATTTTGAAAGTATTTAACAGAAATTTCTATTTTGATTTAGAAATCAAGGCAACACTGTTCATCAAAATCAAAAACTGATGCACTAAATTATGTATCTTAGTGTAGTCTTCTTCTGTGCCAAGTTATATTGAAATCAGATGAAAACTGTAGGAGGAGTAGCGTTTTAAAGGAATTTCTTAGAAAATTTTTATTTTTAGTAACCATGGCAACACCCTTCAGCAAAATCAAAAACCCGATGCTCTGTTTTATGTATTTTAGTGTAGTCTATTTGTGTGCCAAGTTATATTGAACTTTACCAAAACTGTAGGAGAGATTTTGAAAAATTGTTTACAGACAGGGGGGGGGGGATGACGGACACTTTACCATTGAATAAAATCTTATGAAATAGAGCTAAATAACGTAGAAATTAATAAATTATATTCATTTTAAGAAAATCTTTGACTAAGTAAAAGGGGAAGACATGTTATTTAAATATACATGGAATCTTTGAAAAAAAAAAAAAGGATTTTTATCCAAACATATTGATCTCATAGCTATAAGGTACAAAGGGAAATTTAGGAGCTTTTCTGAAAAATAAAACCACGAAAGTAACCCTTCATGTAGTAAAAATAAAAACAATGTAAATATGCTTCAACTGAAGTGCTGTCTAAAATAACTGCACCAAAGTGGCTTATTTTGATAAGAATATTTTTTATACATATTTTTTGACATATTTAAAAATAGGTACAATGAGGTTTGGAGTCTTTGAGATATTTCCTCTAAAACTTGTTTCTCTAAAAAAGTAAGAAAATAAGTCTCCATTTAAAATATATACTGTTACAATGTACTTCAAATGATACATTATCTTTAGTAAAAATCTGTGTGATGTGTATTCTTATTCACAATTTTTATTCCAATGTCATCATTACTGTAATGAGGTACACGGGAGGCTGCGAGTCTGACAGATATCTCCTCTCAACCTTGTTCATAAAAAATGTAGGGAGGGGACTCAGATCAGTCCATTTAACAAAACACCCTTAATACAAAAAAAAAAAATAACTAAAATAAGACAAAAAGTAATAAAAAGCTCTTAATCTAAAAAAAAAAGTCAGAGGAGACAGAGTTTTTCATTTAGATTAAAAAAAAAAAATAAAAAGAGAAAAAAGAAAGATTGTAATCAAAATATCCTTGATTTATTAAAAAGAATTAAAAAAACAACAACAAACTACAGTATCAGAGATAGTAATGAAATGTTCTTAATTGAAAAAAAGGAAGGAAAAAAAAGCATAATTCCGACTTTAAAAAATATGTTCTTAAAAATATAAATATAATTAAAGAACATGTTCTGTAAATAAAAGTCTGTGTAAGAGTTGCTGACTTTTCTTC